GCTTCGCCCCGCACTTCGCCGGTAGCCGTGGTTGCGCTTCGTCCTCAGGACCCTCCTCCGGCAATAGCCTAAGATCGGAGGGTACAAGGAACATGGCCCTGTATCTAGGGATAGGACACCTCATGAAGGAAACTGCGTATAGAAACTGGGGAATTTGAATTGGTTACCCAATTCTTATTGATAATGCGCAATTATGCGATCAATTCTAACTTCAAAAACTGATCAAACAGAAGTAACCATACCAGCATAGCTAGACAAAGAAGATCGAATAAAAATGTTTTACACATGAAAAAAATGATTATCCCAAAAAATGACCTGGGGGGGTTGGGTGTCCCCATTTTGTAGAGCCAAATCTGACTTTTGGCGCCCCAGGCCTCTACAGAATGAGGAACCTGCCACAAATCTGGCAAGGGGTTTTCTCTACAAAATCAGGGCACCCAACCCCCCTTTTTTTGGTGCATTTTTGTGATTTTCAGAACCACTGGCCCCTACAAAGTGGGGAACCTGGCATCAGCAAACATTTAAGCAGAATTGCTACTTGGAAGAAAGAAAACCATCAAAAATACAAAGATCCATTTTGTAGAGGGATGATGTGAAAGAACCTTGGTCTCCCCGTCTCACCTGAAAACCCTGAAACGTACAAAAAAAATTACTTTACTTCGTGTGATCCCCACCATGACATTTATACATTTTCTTACTGGCAAATCTTCTGGCATTCTATCTGACATATCTTCTGACATTCTATTTGGCATTCTATCTGGCATATCTTCTGGCATATGATCTGGCATATCTTCTGGCATATCTTCTGCATTCTATCTGGCATATCTTCTGGCATATATTCTGACATATCTTCTGGCATTCTATCTGACATATCTTCTGGCATATATTCTGACATATCTTCTGGCATATCTTCTGGCATATATTCTGACATATCTTCTGGCATTCTATCTGGCATTCTATCTGGCATTCTATCTGGCATTCTATCTGGCATATCTTCTGGAATATCTTCTGGCATATCTATCTGGCATATCTTCTGGCATATTTTCTGGCATTCTATCTGGCAAATCTTCTGGCATTCTATCTGGCATTCTATCTGGCATATCTTCGGCATTCTATCTGGCATATCTTCGGCATATATTCTGACATATCTTCTGGCATTCTATCTGGCATTCTATTTGGCATTCTATCTGGCAGATCTTCTGGCATATCTTCTGGCATTCTTTCTGACATTCTTTCTAACTTTCTTCTGCACATTCTTTGTCCCATATCTTCCTACATGAGGTCCGGCAGGGAACACTTGGCGTGGATACTCGCGGTTGAGGTCCGGCAGGGAACACTGGGCGTGGATGGTCGTGGTTGAGGTCCGGCAGGGAACACTTGGCATGGATACTCGCGGTTGAGGTCCGGCAGGGAACACTGGGCGTGGATGGTCGCGGTTGAGGTCCGGCAGGGAACACTGGGCGTGGATGGTCGTGGTTGAGGTCCGGCAGGGAACACTGGGCGTGGATGGTCGTGGTTGAGGTCCGGCAGCGAACACTGTGGATCGCGAGTCGCAGTTGAGCAGGAGGACGAGGAGGACAACGAGGACGAGGAGGAGGAGGACGAGGCAGGAGGAGGCGGAGGAGGAGGAGGAGGAGCAGGAGGAGGAGGAGGAGCAGGAGGAGCAGGAGGAGGAGGAGGACGAGGAGGCAACTGACATAAAATCTAACAACCCTCACCTGGCAGGTGGGGAAAAATGTAGAGGCAACTCCTGTTCCACATTTCCAGTTTTTGTAAAATCTCTATAATTTGTAAATATTTATGCACATGAATGTTGACAAACCCCAAAACCTCTAAAGAATGAGGAACCTACAGTTTCAGCCACGCTCCCACTACAAAATCAGGAACCTGTCCTTGCACACCCTTGCAGGCACTTAGGCTGTCCAAAAAAATGGTTTTGACGGACCTCTACAGAATGAGGAACCTGCCACAAATATAGCAAGAGGTTTTCTCTACAAAATCAGGGCACCCAATCCCATTTTTTTGGTGCACTTTTATGATTTTCAGAAACACTAAAACCTCTACAGAATGAGGAACCTACAGTTTCAGTCAACTACAAAATTGTCCCTCTCCAAAATCAGGAACCTGTAATTGCATATCCTTGCAGGCACTTTTAGGCTGTCCAAAGAAATGGTTTTGGCGGACCCCCGGGGGTCCTGATAATGGAGTGGATTTTTTTGGGGGGATAAAAATTGACACTTCCACTAAAAGAACTCACCTCCGGAAGGCTCATCTAATCTTTTTGGAGCCAGGACTTTAGAGACTAGTCCGAAGATTGCCTTGATCCAAGACCAGTCTCCTATTTCTGGAGCCTTTTGCAGCCTTGTGACCAGCAAACAAATGAAAACCAAGAAGGAACGACAAGATGTGGGCTTGGTGGGTTGATCATTTCCAAGCGGGGGAAAGGCCAAGACCCCACCATGGCTGAAAACGCAAAAAACCTCGTAGCCGCGAGCTAATCATACCTGGTTCACAGAAAAACATGCTCGTCAGTTTGTATCATCCCGGCATTTTTAGGCTTACACATATTTTTTGAACGCCCTGTTCGAACATGTGAGATCACCAACTCATTTCAGGTCACCTCCTGTTTTTTTTTGGTATCAATTTCACCCAGCTTCGCCCCATCCAACGAAGCCACGTCCAGGACGCCCAGGGACTCAGATTTTGAGGTGGGCCGTTTGAACTCCAAATGATGCAGTCGATGTCGCAACTTCATGGCCATCGCCTCACGGCGATAGAAGCTGTGTAGGATCTCACAGTCTGGAAACAGTTTATTAGATGTTGCCAGGAACCTACATGCATATATAAAAACATATAAAAACAAAATAAAACAAACATCTAAATATTGTATATATATACATATACATATATGTGTATACAAAAAGTATTCATATACAGTATATTGTCTATATATAAAAGAGATTGCAAAAGATTACAAATGACAAATGCATGATTGTGAATGCGTCTGCATTCTGTACATGACTTTCTTCCTGCGCATCTTCACTGGTGGATTTCAACGACGAGCTCACCTGTGGGAACATCCATAGAACCACAACGAATCATGGTCACATGGTCATTGCCTGTTGCTTTCACTGGGAAGAAAGCCGAAACAAAAATCCAGGCCGTCTGAACATGTCTCAAATATGCGTGCAACACCCTTCGTGTAGCGTGTAAAAATTGCACCAGGTTGGGCTGAACAACGAGGAAGAATTGAACCTTTTAAGCAGGGCATTCTCGAGCCGACCGACCCTTTGGTCGAACCTATGTCTGGGATTATTCGGAAACCAAAAAGTATTCTTCGGAAATTTACAGGTAAAACGCGGCCGACCGGAACGAGGACCCAAACTTTGTGCGAGCCTGCGCGCTCAAGAGGCACTTTATGGAAACTTGCACGAAAACTTGCCGGGGCCCGCGGCGCAGACTTTGTGCGAGCTTGCGCGCTCGAAATGCACATCAACATGTCACATGTTGTCTGACGCGGAAATTTACAAGAAAAGTGCCGGGCCATAAGGCCGGGGACAACACCTTGTGCAAGCCTGCGCAGCCGAAATGCACGTGAACATGTCACAAGAGCCATTTGATACGGAAATTTAGAGGAAAAATGCCGTGCCCAGCTGGAGCGCTCTGATCAAGCACCGGCCTTTACTCCCATACTCCCATACTGTCAGAACCCCTCAGCGTGGACACACTGTTTGGGGAAAAATACATGAATTCCCTTGATTTTGTCGAAAATAGGCTACCCCAATCCCATTTCATGATAAGTGTTGACAGTCATTTTCCCATTCAAGTGGTCATATATTAGTAATATCATGTCATATTAATATTGAAATCAGCAATTTCATAATCAACAGACATATACAAATGAAAATTGTCCATTCATCTTGACATATAATTATTCATCTTAAAAACAAATATCGCTATATATCATTTTCATAGTCAACAGAAATATATCAATAATCAACAATAATATACTGGTTGGTGGTTTCAACCCCTCTGAAAAATGATGGAGTTCGTCAGTTGGGATGATGACATTCCCAATATATGGAAAAATAAAAGTCATGTTCCAAACCACCAACCAGTATATGTTCCATTCATCTTGATATGGTACATCCTGATCTTCCCCGGGCATGAACCCCGCTGCCCGTTGCGTTTCAAGGCCCGGCCTTCAACTTGATGGGATTGATCACGGCGGCCCGGCCCCCCGCAGCGTGAAGGTCCTGGCGATGCGAAGAAGCATCCACGACTTATCAGTGGTGTGAAAATTTGACAAACTGCGATGTACTATGTATGGTACACTATCTGATGGTATACACTATCTAGTGGTATATCTGTGGTGTACTATAATAGATGTACTATAATAGTATATGTACTATATAGATATATAGTATACTATATAATGGTAATTCACTATTATATTAGTATACTCATTAATGTAATGATTTAATAGTATATTAATAGTGAATTACTCTGAATTACTCATTATGTAATATAGTACCATATTCTTTTGGGTAAGCCGTTTAACAGCTACATTGTTCTACTAAAACAACGAATGATTCTGTCTACCCACTTTTATAATGTGGTACAACTGATTTAACTGTGTGTGAACGCAAAATGGATGTGATTTAGCTGGATGTGATTTCACCCAGCTAGCAACAGTGATGCATAACTAACGTTCTTTAACTACTATTACATCATCTACAGCTTATTCATGCTTATTTTATGAGCTATAACTGAAGGGATTTTAGAAAGTGCGTTATGATATGCTTAATTTCAACTAAATAACTCGCATGCACCCAAGTACGCATGCCATAGTCTTACCAAATCAGTTTCAAGCCCATCCAGGCATGGATCTGCACACATTGGGCCCCCAAAATGAATAGAAGAAATGCAAAAATTAGCAGGGTTTCTGGTGAAAGGCAATGTTTGAGGCAAGGAATTGAAACTTCCCAAATCAGAATTAAAACCGACCATAAATCTGTAACCATCATTGGATTTGTGGACAATCAGTAGAAAAAATCAAGTTGAGTTTTCTCTGGAGTGGCGCTGCCGGTTGAAATGGCATGGACGCCACCATTCAATCCACCATCATCGTAACCAATCTTTGAACAAAACGACAGGAATTCCAGCTAGGATGGCGCCCATGGTTGGAGTTGGCCAACCAACATTATAGTCACTGCATTCCAAGTGCCAAAAATGCTCCCGCAGGGCATATGTTTTTCGATGTTTTCCCATAGGATTTGGAGATTTCCCCAACAAAAAAACGCTTGGTAGAATTTTGTGGACCCCCGAAGGGGCCCCCTTGGGGGGCCCCTGAGCTTCTCATACAAGTCCCATACTGGCCTGCCAGTCATGATCTCTCGCCCTAAGGCGGCCGCGGCGGTGCTAGAATGAGAGCCCACAGGCACCAAAAATCGATATTTTTCAATGGCTACAAAGCCGTTTCGAAATCTTTCAATGTTCAATAAACATCATGTAACCTCTGGTAATTTAATATGGCTATTGAAAATTGCCCATTTATAGTTAATTTACCTATTCAAGATGGTGATTTTCAATAGCTATGCCAGGTTTACCAGAAGGTATATCATCACCATCCGTGACCATTGTGAAAAGTATGGATGATTCTTCCCAATATATGGAAAGTCATAAAACATGTTCCAAACCTTCAAGCAGTTTTTCGATGTTCAATAAACATCATGTACCCTCTGGTAATTTGTTACATAGCTATTGAAAATGGCCCATTTATGTTAGTTTACATAAGGTTTACCAGATATTGTTTACCAGCTATATAGGTAACTAGATCCATATACCAGGTTTACCTGTTTAACTGTATCCATATCTGCCAGAAATCAAGGCCCCCCTTCCATATCGGACCGAGCTCTCAAACGATTGGCGTCCCGTTGACCTCGGAATGGTGGACGATACCTCCACGGTTATATACCACAGTCACTCTTCAGCAAAGCTTCGTTTCCCCCCAGTTGATTGGTGAACTATGGTTATATCATATCACTACTATGGTTAACTATGCTTAACTATGCTTAACTATGGCTAACCGTAGTGAAGTCCACGTTTTTTGATGGTCAACTCTCCCAGTTGGTTTGGTCAAATCCCATTTTTTTTGTTTGAATCTCCATGTTCCTTTGTTCAGCATGGTCAGCCCCTTCATTAATCCCAAAATCGATTTTTTTGGATTGCAAAGTGATGAGACGCAGCCAATTCTTATGAATGGTTATGGATAAAAACCCTTGTTCCCTGCAGCAAAGTAGCTGACTAGAGGGTATTCACATATCATTGTCACACAGTTCTTATTGATTTTTCTCAGTTTTGGTCAGTTTTGGTCCCCAAACAATTGTCAAACTATAAAAGTTAGACTAACATACTAACCCAATTAACCCCTCCCCCCAAAAAAAAAACTGCTGGGTACCCCCCGGGCCAGTCTTCCACCAGCTAGGCTTCCCAGGCTCTGCCCGTGGACTGGTCTTCACCAAGGGAGCCTTCAGGGACATGGCTGCCGTCACCTCGCATGGTGCTGCCAGGCTGAGGGGATGGAGTTTCGAAAGCGAACTCCAAAAAAATATGTCCAAAGATCAGCTTTGAAAAAAAAAAACTCTTTGAATCTTTTTGAGGTAAACACCTCAAAGATCAACTGCTAGTCCTACAAGGGCTTTTGACTACCCATAGCTAAGAGGACTTGAGCCCCCTAAAAGCGAACTTCCGCCCCCGATGAAATGCTAATTTATTAATTGATCTTTTGACTTCCCTTTGAAAGCACAAACCCCGTCGCCCGGACTGCAACATTGAGGATTCCCCGTCGTCGAACATGAGAAGAGAAATTGCAGAAAATACTTTTGAAAATACTGCGTATACGCAGTGTTTTCTGCTTTCAGGTTCAGAGTTTTCAGGGTTTTAGGATTTTAGGGTTTAGGGTTCGTCGTCTGGTAAATACCAAAACACTGGCCCTGCGCAGGCTTTTTGAGCAGGTCCAAGGATAATATTTGAACTCCATTCTAACCTTGCGGGCAAACCGTAGGGTCTTGCCGTAACTTTTTGATACGTTTGGGCAATTTTGAGCTCTACCCCATGACTCAGAACAGCAGTAAGAACAGAACTTCAAAGTTTGCATCCAAAATCTCAAAGAAAACCCAAGTAAAAATCACGTGATTCAAGTCTCGTGGGTTTCCTCTTGTCAAACATCTACCCTCCAATCAAACGTGGCTGGGAAATTCTGTGTAAACGGAGGTTTCAATGGGAGAATCATCAATGGATTTTCCAGCAAACCATATTGGAATATTGGAATACCGCCAATACCGCCGGGTACCCTCTGGTAAACTAACATAGCTATAGAAAATCAGCATTTTTGATAGGTAAACCATCTATTTCTATGGGCCATGGCTTCCATAGCTATGTTAGTTTACCAGAAGGTAATTCAATTGGCCAATCTTGAACCTTTGTCATTTGTCTTTGACCCAGGCCCTTTTTTCCGGAGACAACTGTGAATGATGGGGCTCAGGCAGCCACGATGTCGCTGCAGTGCTTGGGGAGACCCAGGTCAATCATAGGACATGACTCGATGTATTCCACCCACAAGAACATAGGACCCATGAACGGTAGATTCTTAGATAGCATTATTCGGGTTGTTATATTTAATTATCCTTACCTCATGATTTCATATAGTTTCCAGGTGTCCAACATTGTCCAACTGTCCTACCTATTTCGGGATTGTTATCAATACCTTGAACCCAAACGATGCGCCAAATTTGGGTATATACAAATTCAAAGAGGTGTATCACATCATATTCTGGTCGAATTTTTGTATGATATGGCTAGGTTGGTATCCACGAATATGATAATAGATATATATATATATATATATGCATATATTATTGTCTATACTACAGATACATGTACATATGTATAGTATTGTATAGTAGCAGCATGCAATGACCCCAATAGGCATCGTTTCTGGCTGTTTTTCCACATTTCGCCCGCTTCTACCAGGGAACTTAGGGACAGGCACCCGCCCTGCGTGGCCAGCAGGCCAACAGTACGTCGCTATGGAGACGACGTCTCTTTGAAAGGTCAGCGTTGCGGAGCCGAAAGTTGACTGGTTGGTGATTTCAACCATCTTGAAAAATATGAGTTCGTCAATGGGAAGGATGACATCCCATATATGAAATGGAAAATAAAACATGTTTGAAACCACCAACCAGATATATTCTCCCATTATCAACCATTATCAACCATTATTAACCATTATTAACCATGGTTTTTCACCCAGTAATCTTTGAGACCACCAACCAGATAATGTGGCTTGGGTTTGTCCGAAAACCTCGAGGACGCCAAGGACGTTGGACAATACCATTTGGTCAAAGCGGAATACTGAGGAAACATGCTGACTTCACCCGTCATCGGATGTGGAACCGTGGAACCGTTGTGAAACGCAAGATGTTTCGTTTCTAGTTCCGTGGTCAACATGTCTGTGAACAGAAGAACAATGTAAAACAAGGTGATTTCACAAACATAAGACTGGAAATAGAACCATAACAACGGGATATATGGTGGGAAACCTGCGCGAATGCCAAGGGAACCATAGGGAACCTATTCAACTTGGGACCGAGGTTTGAAACATGCATGGCGCGCTCGCTGGCGCAGCGATAAACTTCAGAAGTGTTTTTTACATCGCCAGGAGTTCTATCCCAACTTATGGGAATTTCTCAGTTTTCACCATTGTTTCGCCACCTTTTCAGATTTTTTCACCATGTCATGATGTCTCGGCATTTTTTCATCATGTTTAACTATGCTTTTGGCCATGATTCATCATTTCTCATTGTCAACAATTGTCCTTCACTCCAACTTGCACCCCCCAAGCGTCCGGTCTTTGGACCGGTGCCCACACTTTTTGCCGCCCGCCCAAGACGTCACGACCGGCCAAAGGATCTCCACGGCTTTGGTGGAGCATGGATTGAACTTCAATCGATCAACAGTAGGCTGTTACGTAAATGGTGATGGGATAATCCATAGTTAACCACAGACCATAGTTATTAAATGTTACCCTCCAGTAAATTAACATAGACCCTGCCAGTTGTCGGGGTTGGAAGATTAGTTTCCACTAAAAACATGTTATTTTCAGGGTCAACATGTTTTTTTTAAACCAGAGGGTAATATGTGGCTTATTCAGTACCATGGTTATAGCTTAATAGCCATGGTTACCCTCTGGTAAACGTTTACATAACTATGGAAAGATCCACCATGCTATTCATGGGAAAACTCACTATTTCTATGGCCATTTTCAATATCTTTTTGTATGTTTACCAGAGGGTAATAAGCATAGTTCACCCATGATCCTCCAAGCAGATGAACTTCGTAAAAATCCACTGGACCCGGTTTTTTATGGAACATGCCATGGGGATGTCATAAGAAAATATCATGGGAAATCATGGGGGAAATACATGGGACAATCATATCGGAATATGATACAATATGGTGATATATATATGTGTATAAATATATATATATATATGTATAAATATATATATATGGCGATTCAATATCATGTGGAATATGTAGAAATCACCATATTGTGGATACATATGTGATTCTCTCTCTCTCTCTATATATATATATAGACATGTGGAATATGTCGTAGCAATATCTATGGTGATTCAATATCATGGGAATATCATGAGCCAATTGTTCCAGCGTGGATAATAAACATTATACAATATGGGGATATATGTAAAGCCTATATGGTTTATCATGTAAATTTTTCTCGCTGGCTACTCCCCGAAAAAAGGGATATAATATTGATATAATGATGGTATACTTCAATCGATTCAACATTGGGATCATTGGGTAAGCACGTATAAAAATTAGAGCTGGGACAATGGTCTGAGATGGAGATAAACCGGGTAAACCATACATGGCTAATCTTAGATACCCTGCTAGCGCGCAAAGATTCTCAACAGATTAGTGCGTATCGGAGTACTCATCCAAGCTTGACCCGGAATACCCTTCGGACATCGCTAACATTATCTAACCTGCCAGTGGAACCCCCATGGGTTTATCTCATGTTGTATCATTTGAAATTGGTACGTAGATTGCTTTGCCAATTCAACATGGTATTTTTTCAGTGCAATGTTTAGTTATTACTAGAGAGTAAACCTCCTGGTGATGGCAACACCCCCAAGCCACATGTTCTTCATCTTCCCCACTGATAAAGTTGGCCACCCAGGATTCCCATTCGTCAATTAGACTAATGTCATTTTTTGAGCCTATATTGGGGGTGTGCCAAAATGGTGGTACCCCCAAATCATCCAAAAGTAGATTATTTGTGTTGAAAACATAGTTTCGGGGATCTCCCATTTTAATATGTGTCGATGCTCATTTAAAACATATGCAAGTGTGCTGTCGGTTCCCTAGACCTTAACAATCCACTTGGTAGCTGCACTGTCCTACCTGAAACAACCATGGTCACGTGAATTTCTGACTCACCTGTGGAACGATTTTATACACTTTTGAATGATGGATTGCAAATGACGGCAGCGTCCATGGTCGTTTCAAATACAATACTTTGATGGGCCACGGGGGTCGAGGTTCAGGTACAGCAGCACTAGATGTTTATGACCTCACCGTAGATGGCTAGTTCGGATTGCGGACATCCCAAATGGCCAAACCAATCTGATTTAGGACCCAAGACACATGCTAAGACTCAGGAATCACAGGATAATTCCTGGCCCATCAAAGTACATCTCCGAATCTTCCCAGCCCCACAGCAACCTGGTGATGCTGCGAAACTGGCATTCCAATAGGCCCCTCAATGTCGGGGTTGCGCCTGCGCTGCAGGTTCATATCGATAAAGCTATAGTTCTTATTGGGTGCACATCAATGGGCCTAGCCCCAAGAAAATGCGGATATCACTGGGGTGTATCTAGGCCAGTGGCTCTTGATCTGTAGCCTGGGGTATCTTTACCTGAGAAAAAATAGAGAAAAACTAGTTCTCATGGGGACAATACAACCATTCATAGGGATATCACTGGATAAACATAGTGAGATAATCTCTGGATTCATTTTGATTGCTGTTAACTTGAGAACTTTCGCTGAGATGTGATAGGGTCCTGATACGCATATACATATATATATATACATATATATATATATACACATATGTATATATATACACACATATATATATACACATACATACATACATACATACATACATACATACATACATACATACATACATACATACATACATACATACATACATACATACATACATACATATATATGTTAATATATATATATATTATAAAATATAAACGGAGACATATGCACAACACATCTCTGACAATATACAATATCCAATATCTATTAAATCAGACAAAAACATGGAACCCACTTCTTCACGATCTGGCAAGCCCTGACTGATTGCTGGGTACTTGTCATATGGGTAGTGGCTGCAGAATAAACAGTTCTACAACTGGTTGGTGGTTGACCTACCCCTCTGAAAAATGATGGAGTTCGTCAGATTGGATCATCATCCCAACTATTGGGGAACATAAAACATGTTCCAAACCACCAACCAGATCACTGTCTTCCCACGAATGGGGAATCAACATCCCCATGGGATTTTGCGGCCCTATCCGTGGCGACAGCTCCCCCAGTGTGATCGGTGGCCAATCCAAGTCTGAGCGTTTTGGCCAAGCCATGATTTTTTCAAACAGCAATCCCTTATCCCTCACCAACCCTCCAGTAATTCAATGTAGGCTTGGAACACCCATTATATATATATATATATAGTTGTGCAAATTTCCTAGGTGAATTTACTTTTTTTCATCTCCATTTTCCATTTGCTAGTCCACTGGAGGGAGGGTAACACGTCATCTGCTGGTGACAGCTCCAACTTTGCATGATTTTTGCATCATGGTGCGTTGACTACCCCATTAAGATCTATTCAGTATCCATGTATAACTCCAAATCCCCACGCTAATCCTAGTTGGTGGTTGACCTACCCCTCTGAAAAATATTAGTCAGCTGGGATCAATATTCCCAATATATGGGGAAAAATATATGGAAAGTCATAAAAGCCATGTTCCAAATCCCCAACCAGAATCTATATTGAATGCCATAGATTTCTACAACTTACACACTCTGGTAATCAACCGCGGCTGGAAAATCCCGGAACAAAACACGGAGAAAACGGAGAGGTCAGGACCGTTCCAGCCGTTGGTTTATGACTACCCTCTGGTTATGACTAACGGTTAGCCATGGAAAGATCCACCATGCTATTAAGAACGGTAAACCATCTATAAATTTATAAATGGGTCATCTATACCATGGCTATGTTAGTCATAACCAGAGGGTAAACCCATCAACATCATTAACTCTTGGGGTGGACAGCGGCTTCACCCAGCACCTTGGCTTTGGGATGCCAAAAACCTGGCGATTGACGTCCTTGCCACACACCCGGTGGGCAGGTCCTGGGCGTGCTTTGCACACGGAAAGCCGGGGAAAGCTGAAGAAAAGCGAGATGGATATGGAATGATATGGATGGAGACATATGGATATGGATCAATACCTATTATATACTATTAATACCATTTTTAGTGGGATGAACATCCATTTACCAGCTATTTTGATGTTCACCAGGGGTACAAGGTTTTGACACACTGCCATATGGATATAGGATATATAGGGGGTTTCCTACTAAACTAGGGTTACACCAAATCATCCAAGTCCAAATCACGTTAGACTGTTAGACACCATGCATTGGTATAGGACCACGGTGACGACTGGGCAAAATGCGGTGGCCGCAGCATCCGCACGGAGCGGTGCCATTGGACTTGGATCTCGCAGGGGGCCTCGGTTCATGGAGATGTTTGATCGATTTGTGGGACCATGATATACTCATTGGTGACCTACCCCCCTAAAAAATATGAGTTCGTCAGATTGGATCATCATCCCAACTATTGGGGAAAATAAAAAAACATGTTCCAAAGCACCAACCAGTGGGGATCATTGGACTTTTTCAGGAAAACAGAAAGATACTGTGGATGTCCCATTATTCATAGGGTTTCAACCATCCAAGGTTTCAACCATCATAGGGTTTCAACCATCCAACTTTTTCAGATATTTATAGGGTTTCAACCATCCGTTTGGTGGTGCAGGATTTCTTCCACCGTATCATGTTTGAAACCACCAGTGTAGGCCTGAAACAATCACTTGGAAAGATACTTTTCCACTGGGAGCTGGAAAAAAAAACGGCTTGAAACAATTGGATTCTTCATCATCTTTTTCAAGCTGCATTGAAAACAAAGGTTTCAGATGCGGAGGTAATAACAACTAAATGCCCACAACATTGCACAAGAAGCTACACTTGTAATCATAAACATGTAGGATCGTAGAAACCTAGTATAAGCGCCATTTTCTGGAATGTTCCTTCAATGATCTGATAGCCATAAACGTCTTGCAACGTGATGAACAACATTCGCAGCAAGAACCACATAGGGATGGGTCAGACTTCAAGACCCGATGTTTTACTTGTTTTGAACGTTTGTCAATGTTTTTCATTGCTGTATGATGTTTAATGCGTTTCATTTTCAAACATCTTCCAATATGATTTCAAACATTCGAAATCATTGGAATACAATATTTTGAATGTTTATATCAATGATAAAAAAAAGGTATTCCAATGATTATAATCATGTTTCATTGACATATATAATTACATACATATATATATATATATATATACAATTTAGCACATAAATGCAATTTTCCATACTCTCTGGTAAATTAACATAGACCCTGGCAGTTGTCGGGGTTGGAAGACTAGTTTCCATTAAAAATTGGTGATTTTCAGGGTCCAACTGTTAATTTACCAGAGGGTACCATGTTTTTGACATGTTTCATACCCGGACTGGCGATTCCCTCTTGGCCCGAAAACTGGCAGCTGCCAGGCTTCACCATCCTGAGCCACAGGCCCCAGCGGTGTTTACGGTGATTTAGGGGTGTGGGGTACCCCAAGTCATTCAAAAATCTATGGTTAATGGTGATTAATAGTGGATTAATGGCGATTAATGGTGGTGATTAATGGCTAATAGTGAATTAATGGTGATTACCCTCTGGTTCTGTCAAAATAGCTATTGAAGCCATGGCCCAGTCGAAATAGTGGATTTACCCATTGAATATGGTGGATCTTTCCATAGTTATGTAACAGTTTACCAGGGGGTATGGACATTCGGTTTAAATACGCATAATATCATGATATCGAAGATCATGGAAAATCCATGACACTATATATGTAGATGTTCTTTAAACTATTCAATGAGATTCATGTCTGGGCTCTTGATGCAATCAGGATGAAAATCAAATCAACAGAAAAAATCTTAAGATGGTTTGCAATGGTTTGCATGAATTGAAATTGGGAGGTTGAATTTCCAAAGTGCAATCACAGGTAGCGCATCCTAGCTCTTGTTGGTTTGACTGCTGTGTGTGGGTCCATGAACTAAATCATTCAGATCGGGGAGCCTGCTCCAACTTCTGGTCATCTTTAGATCTCCAGTTCTGCGATGAAAATTCGAACAACACAACAAACATCTCAACTTCACTTTTAAAGTTTAATTATATAGTAAAGGTCTCAAGTTCTGTGTTTCATATCCACTCAACTTAAGAACTCCCCGCGTTTGGCCCCCCAGCGATCTGAATGGTCTCCGCTCCTGCCGAAGCTCGGTGGCCCAGAAAACGACAGCTCAGTTTAGATTTAAATGGTGATTTAATGGTGATTAATATGGGAATATCTATGGTTAATGGTGATTAATAGTGAATTAATGGTGCTTTATGGTGGTTCTTAATGGCTAATAGTGAATTATAGTGAATCATATCATGGTGATTAGCTGATTAGGTAATTCATTTAACAAAGCTATTGAGAAATGGTCAGGGAAATGGCTCATTTTTAGTTGATTTACCCATTAAACATGGTGGTTCTTCCATAGTTATGTACACGTTTACCAGAAGGGTAACTAATAACTCTAATAACTGCGGTTTATGATACTCAGAACTACTTAGAACTATCATATTCATGGGCTGGAAATAGACCAACAAGTCCAACAAGCATCACTGCAAGAGGCCACATTGTATACATATATGCCCATATGTTACATGAGCTTGAAATGAGTTACCATCTGGTTATTTAACATAGCCATGGAAAATCACCATTTTTAATAGGTAAACCATCTATAAATGGGCCATTTTCCATGGCTATGTTAAATAACCAGGGGTATAGATATTTGTAGGCGCTTGGTCCCATACGAAATAAGTATGGGCGCACATATGAAATCAAACAGATGAACGTCCTCCAAAAAAACGACACACCCACACACAAATGTTTCACAGATCTTCCCGGGCACGTTCACGTAAATATGGGAAACTCCACCACTTAAACAGTAGAGTCAGTAGAGTTTTTCCATATCATTATGTGTACATCATCCCCCTGGGTATAAAAACCAGTTGGTTCCCAGCTTTGTAAAGTACAATCAAGTACAATCTACTGGTTACCAGTGGGTTGAAGCCTACAGAAGTGGTACAGCCATACAATTATAATGATATGGAAAAACTAGATAATTTTCATATCATATAATTATCATTATACATCCATATTTCATGAAATCCATATCATTTCCACACAATTTCCTCCGGAAAGCCATGGCTTTTCTGGCTTCCGGACGTTCCAGGGTGAACTTCACCGCTGCCACCCGCTGGAGGACCTGGAGTCACCATGGGGTGCTGTTAACCATCAATCTATATGGCTGGTTTATGCCACTTTACTATCATTATGAACCATGGAAAGAGCTGGTTTGTGACATGGAAAATGACACTTTATGATGGTTTATGACACTTTTCTAACCATGGAAAATCAATACATGAATCCCAATGATATTTCTGAGAACTATATGAGAAATATATCTAGAAATTTAAAAGATCCGAGTTTTGAGATTTTGTTTGGGGCTAACATGGCAATGAGAAATCCATTGAAATGGATGTTTTCATGGAAAGCCTCATCTTCTGCAAGCTCTCTATGCGCTGCAGGCTCTTTCATCGACACAGGAAATATTGTAATCAGTCAGCTCTGACAGGAATTCAGCGGGAGTTATGACAGAATTGAAATTATGAACGCATCAAAGGTCAACCTTCTGCAAAGCTCCGTGGAATTGTTGCTTGTCAATTTCACCATTGAGTAGCAAGTCGAGGTTACAACAGGCCCAAACGGGCCGGAGTTCAATTCTTTGGGGTGAACTAACCCACTGGGAAGGGACACCGGAGGTACAACCAGTAAGGCGAATTTTAAGCTGGTAACAAGTGCTGGATAGTGCTGGTTGATCAAGGGGCTTTGAACCCAACATATTGAAGATAAGATGACGTGAACCATAAATTCCGGCTGTAGCAACCCCAAAAACGATAGGACAACAACTGACAACAACATACTAACCAGCAAAATCGCAGTAAGTTCATGGTTCCAGCTTTTGGGGCCGGGCTTAATTATTGTAGTCCAAACACGGGGGATGATTGAATCAATGTTAAACTGTGAAAAACAGTTGGCCACACTTCAGATCGCTTGGAAATCAGGAGTTTACTGAGTTTACTTCGCCCAAAACAGCAGTGTTAGGCAACTTCCAGGATCATGAAGCCATGAGATAGTGACATCACCACGACCAAAAATAAACTCCTGCACCATTGCAATGACCGTTTTCCCACATGGTTGCCGTTGGATTTTGCACGCGAAAGCACATACATATTCAGACATATTCTCAGTATTTCCCAGTTTTCTCAGTCAGTGTTAATTTAACCCTGCGGAATTCAATATCATTCAAAATTTTATTGTGGAACATTGCCTGTTTTTGGCCCCTGAGCTTTTCAAGCCACCACCACAATTCAATCTGACCAGTTTTTGACCATGAACAACTGAGATTTGCTTGCCAGGACTGGTGGGTTTCCCTTTGGAAAAACAAACAATCACCTCAAACAAATTCAGAATAAACCTTCACAAAATTAAACGTACTGTGTATGGTTGCGAAATCCTGCAACAGCTGGTAGACGGTTGTGAAATCCTGTGAAATATCACGGAATATCGCATTATTTCCAGTGCTTCGTAGTTGCTTCTTGCATCCATACTATGCCTCAATTCTATCTGGTGATATATCCAGCATCACATAAGATCGAAAAAATATCCATGGTTTCAACCCCTCTGAAAAATATGTAAGTCAGTTGGGATTATTATTCCCAACTATTCCCAATATATTATGGAAACTATTTTAACTGTTCCAAACCACCAACCAGATATATGTAAGATTATTAGTGATATTGTTATGATAAACCATGAGATTACCATATTAATTACGATGTATCAATTACCAAACCACCAACCTGTCATGTTGTATCCCCATGATCTCCCCATGTCGGTTTATGCCACCACTGCCCGCGCCGCGGTGGCGGACGAGCCGTGCACCTTGGCACGACCACCAGCCATCACCTTGGCCGAAGCTTCGAACAGACATTCTTTGAATAGTTCATGGATGGTTAATGGTGATGAATAGTGAATTAATGGCGATTAATGGTGGTTATTGATGGCTAATTGTGAACTAATCTGGTTGGTTGGTCTATACTTCTCTTGAAAATATGAGTTCGTCAATGGGAAGGATTATATCCCATATATGAAATGGAAAATAAAACATGTTTGAAACCACCAACCAGATATATGCAAGATACGTAATATTCAAATTAGATTGAGAACATATTACTAAGTATATTGGTGACAACTAGTTGGCAAGTTAGGATGGCAAGTCCGATGGCTTTGCTCCGCAGAAGGATTGAATCAGCCAAATCAGCTGTAGACTGGGGCCTGATGGTGCTGGTAAAATGGTACCGACGTTTTCCCCCCGACACACTGTGGGTGGAAGAAATCTTGTATGAGGGAAGGGATGTGGTTTATATCATGATTGGTAGGGTTTCAACCATCCAAGGTGGCTTAGGATTTCTTCCACTCACAGTATTATTCTTTTGGGACAAAGCCAATTCTTGAAGGTCAATATGCGAATATATGCGATATATCATCATACATGCCCATTATTATTGCTGGTTACTGTATCCATATTGTCCACACATGTCAGATCTTTTCCACATTGAATTTTCCCGATGGAAATTACTCCCATTACCCTCCTGTAACGTGACAGAACTATCAAACTGCTAAATCGAGACGTAAACTATATCAAAGGCCAATTTTTAATAGCAACCTCTCACTATTTTCATTTCCGAGGGTATATGTATAAATCATATCATAAAATTCATCTAATTCTCTTTTAAGTAAAATATATATGCAAATCATTAAACAATCCTCTAATATTTCATCTCTCTGATCTTCCTCCCCTTGATTTTCCCCGTGGCTCCTGGCCCAGCCAAAGGCGCAGGAGTTGGAGAAGGCGATCTGGGCAAATCTTCGGAGTAAACTTATGAAGCAGTAGAATAAAAAGGGATTTCTATATATAAATTATATGCGCCTGTAATTTAAATACATATAATCATATAATCACACACATATAATCACATATATATATAATTATCATATGAACTACGTATATATATATATATACATATATATATACATATATATATACATATATATACATATATATATACATATATATATATATACATATATATACATATATATATATATATACATATATATATATATATGTGTATATATATATAAGTTATAAATTGTAATTATGTATGATTAGATGTGGATAAGGTGAAAGAAAAAGCCAACAATTGGAAAAACACATTGGGCTTTTGGGGGTTGGTCAGGTCCTTCAGTACGAAGCAAACGTGTAAGGTCGGGGGACAGACCACCTTCCGAAAGCTTTACAAAAGCTGCAGGTGAGGGTCTCCTTGGCAAGATCCCATGTCCAACTTTTCTATCCATGGGTTGCTGTAAATCTGATGCTTATCCAACCAGGAGCAGTTGAGGTTACCAACAATATTTTGGGAGTTAAGTCCATATTGGTTGAGGCTTTGACTGTTCTTGATGCATGTCCCCAGAACTTCTTTGCAGCAAAAGTCAAAGTGACTTGAGACCTCAGCAATAATACCTGATAGCAGCCTCCAACAAAGATAGAACCGTAATTTCCCCGCTATCTTGGTGCAGGATTTTACTTGTGTGTCCTTTTGGAGGGGTTGCTCTAGAACCACCTCCAACTGGAACTGAGCACTGGGCTTCTGGAACCCACCAAGGATCACCAAGTATAACTTCTTGCTATCTAAGACATATATTTACACCCCATATGTTCATCCAGTATCATGATGTATAATGATGATAGCTGGTTGGTGGTTTCAACCCCTCTGAAGAATATGAGTTCGTCAGTTGGGCTTATTTTTCCCAATATATATGGAAAATAAATGTTCCAAACCACCAACCAGATAATGTCAAGTTTTAATATTTCCCCCCAAAAATTAGCCAAGCTCCCTGTCTCCCCTGATTTTGGTGCACTACAGTCAATTAGGTGGTTTCTCTGCCCCTCCCAGAATGGGTGGCACCACACCCAAATTTGCGAAGCATTATTCCCTTCTACTTTTACTTGGGGAAATTAGTTTCTTGATCCCTCATGGGTTCGTTTCGCCCAAGAAACAAAACAGACCAAAATCATCAATGCCTAATTATGTTTTTCATAAAAACTGATAGTTTTAGAAGCTTGCTACCAGGGTACCACCATGAGGCGCCCCCGTAATGAAAAAAAGGGGAAAGCGGCCATCCGGCTCGGCCGAACCCAGCGACGACAATGGACTGGGAACTCAACAAACGAATTCCAAGATCTCTTTGATTTGCAGGCGTTTCTTTCCAGCCTGCAGCTTTTTCACACATGAATTAACTATTTAACACATTTTAACACTATTTAATTAACACTATTTAATTTATATAACTAGACCTATCTCCCAATCTTCAGCCATTTCCAGCAATTTTTTTTCTATTGTTTTTTCGTCAGTAGGGGGGGGAACTTTTTCCGGGCAGTCGGACCATCTCCAGCAAGTGATCCGAAGGTGAACTCTGACTCAACTCCTGGTTCGACAGCACCACACCTGAGCCCGCTGAAGCCCGCTGGGCCTTGTTGTTGTCACTGTTTGACGTTAAAGGAACCCTAGAAAAAACCAGAAAATGCCAGGAGTGTCTGGGTGGTTGAGCCATCCAAAGTATGGTCAAAAATCATTATACCAATTAGTAACTCATGGCGATTGACAATTCCCCAGCTAGAAAACTCCATTTAGTCCGGGGATTTCCCAGCCCTCAACTGGCACAATTTCAATCATTCGAAAAACGGTAACATTCAACCTTTTATTCAAACACATGCGCATTTCGTGCTGGAGACGCGAAAAATCATCGTGAAATTGGCAATGACCATGAAAGGCGGCCAGGGTGGTCCCAAGGTCTGATCTCAAGGGTTCAACCGAATCGTGGAGAAAAAGGTGGCACATGGCTTCAGACGGCACAAATCGATGATGACATGGCACATGGCTTTGCTGCCTGAATCTGAATCTGAATCTCCCTCTGTGAATTTCAGGAATATTCTGAAGCTTTTGTCTGAAAATGACCTCTGGAACCGGAGTGGATTGTCGACTTCGATCAAAACATATCAAAACCATGTGGTTCAAGGAGTGATAAAACAAACTGCTTTGATGTTGCCATAGCAGAAAGTGCTTGGTAAGTGGGGTGTATCCCAATACATCAAATGCAAATTTTGAGTGCTTATAAGTTACAAACCACTTATGACTTAGCTAATTTTGGCAACATCTAAGTAGCCATGGCAAAGGCTGAAAACCATGGGTCACTTCGCTATTTACACCCACTCCAGACATCATTCACATCATGGAAAATTGCGGAAATCAGTTTGTTTTGTTTTTTTCTTGTTTGCTTTGAATGGGCATAAATTGTCAGAAACTAGGTGTTTATCATCATTGATTCCCATTCAACATCGCAGCAGAAAAAACACATTAACATCTTTAACTATAGGTGTATAATATTATATCGTCATTTTCCAGCCAAAAAACAGTTAAAACAACATTGTTCTTCACAGAAACATCTGGTAATTTAACAGTTTGCTATTGAAAATGGCTCATTAACAGTTGGTTTACTTCTTCCAGATGGTGATTTTCCAGTTCGCAAACTGTAAACGTTTACCAGAGGGTCAATCCTGTTCCCGAGCGTCCGCGCGCCCTGAGCCATAGGAATTGATATTGGACAACAGCAACTGACGTATTCTAGGCACCTCCCCGTGGCGACAGGGCGTTGATCCAGGACTGAAACAGCCCCATCAATGGAGATGTCGTTGGCTGGGACTATATTATCGATATCTCTCCAAATAAATAGCATTAAATAAGCAAATAAAAACACACACACACATATATATATATGTATATACGTACAATATCTATCTATCTGAATCTACATATATATATATAAATGGGAGAAGCTCCAGAAAAACCATTTTTGATTACCGGGCAGTTAACAGACCAACGAACATAAACATCAACATCAACGCATCCAGAAGCACCAAATCCTCTGTATCTTTTGGCCAATGTTTTTCCCCAACACGTAAACTAATGGAGTCTTCAGCCCAGAATAGCTCCGGCGTGCACTGGTGCAGGCACCGGGTCAGGTTCAACGAGGTTCCGGAGAAGGTTCCGAAGGTTCCGGAGAAGGTCTGGGAGGCTTTGGTGCAGAGCCAGGTCAGGTTCAACAGGGTTCCGGAGAAGGTTCCGGAGAAGGTCTGGAGAAGGTTGCGGAGAAGGTTTTGGGAATCTTTGGTGCAGGGCCAGGTCAGGTTCAACGGGTTCCGGAGATCAGAAGGTTCCGGAGAAGGTTGCAGAGAAGGTTCTGGAGAAGTTTGTTTTTTCTGTTTGTTTTCATGCGTGTGCACACTGCATACATGTAAAAGTAAAACGTTGCGGCTGTTAGGGATACCACCGAAGCTTATTTCTGTAAAGGAACCATTTGCAGAAAACCATATTCACGTCGCTTCGCGACGGCAACCGCCCGCACCGCATCGTTGGGCAGCCGCTCGTAACTGCCAATGATGTCGGCCATTGAGACCAAAAACATCCGAAAGTACTGATTGTCGGAAAAAAAAACGCGAAGAATTTGATAGCCATGTATAGCGGACCAACGCAGTTCAAAAAATAACGAAAAACATGAAAAAACGGCGAAATTGCTGTTATTTACAGTGTTTTTGCGCGGTGAGAAGCAGAAACCACTGCAAATACCATTGTTTTTGAGGGTCAGGTGGCCAAAAACACTGTAATTTACAGTGTTTTTTTAACCAACGTCAAAAAACACTAGTATTTACGATGTTTTCATTCACACCGTAACATAAAACAGCGTAATTTACGAGGTTTTTGGAAATTTTGAAGCTAGCCGTCAAGCATGCAGAAAACAGAAAAACATTGTAAAAACCAGTGTTTCTGCTATCACAAAACGACGAAAATCAGTCCGAAAACGGGTCCAAAAACTCAAAAATCCGCCTCCGGGCCCGGCCACCTGCGGAACCGCAAAAAAAGATGTTGCAAACCAAAAAATTGAGGTCAAAAAGTTGAAAAACACGGGTTTTTTTCACTTTTCGCTTGCCGATTTTGGACGGGCGCGTTCACGAACAGGTGTCTTCCGTGCTGTTTTTTACAGTGTTTTTTGAAGGCGAGCGTCACGACCTATCAAAAACAGGAGGTTTTGGCCGAAAAATGCCCCCCCCCCCCCAGGTAAACCTGTAACCTTTTACGAGTGCCATCCGGAAGATCACGCCCCAGCACCTTCGGTGCGGGCGGATTTTTTGCAATCAAACGCAAGGCTTATTGCAAGTTCTCCCCAAGATCAGGTCTTGGACTTTTTAGAATATCCATCTGAAAGCTGGGATAATGGGATAGTTGAACATTTCCATATTAGTACATTAGGATGAATAAACATAAATAGACATATCTCTAGTTCTTCAGATACATGTCTAATTATCCCATTATCACAGCTTTGGTTTATCTTGATATCCTGGAAATAAGTGAAGAACTGGGTAAAATAGTGTGTGATGAAGAAAATCCATGTCCTATAGCATCTATTCCCTTGATTGGTCGTAGCCATTTCATCCAGTATCACAGGGGAATCCGCCACTTAGATGTTGACAGAATTAGCGTTTTGTGGCTCGTAATCTTGCTATATCCCAGTTGTCTTGATGGTTAAAATAGCAACTTAACTTACCAACCAGGAATCGCTAGTTCTATCATCTAAGAAGACTAAGTTAGCCTTTGTCCACTTATGCTTGGGGCTCTAATCTACAAAGTGGGGCCACCAAACGATAGCTAAGTTGGGGGCCACTTTGTAATATAAATTTAACTCCAATTTCACTATATTGTGTCTATCGTATTTAAACATGTATAATATCACGGATAAAATAACCATAAATAACCCATGGATCTTATAGTTAAAATAGATGATCAAATGTTCCTACGATAAATGGTACTATATCAAATATAGCCATTTATATCCATTTATAAGCACTAGTACTATCATCGTTTATAAATGGTGATGCATGGATCTTATAGTTAAATTTCATGGATCTTCTTGGGGGTGCCTCAAGGCTCTCCATGGGAGCGGTGGCCGCTGGAGCAGTGCTGCTGCGCATCTGGAGCCTTGGAAACACCATATGGATGTGGGTCAAAACCCTGTACCCCCAGTGAACCTCAAGGTTGATGGTCATCCCAAAAATACCACATGATTAGTAGGTTTTGACCCATACCCATATGAATCCGTTCATCAATAAGTCATTTGAATCCCGTCTTAAATCCGTTTTGTTGAATTAGAGTCTATAGGATTTGAACGGATTTAGAGCAACCCCCAAAAAAATAGAAATGTATAGAAATGTTGGGAACCTGGAACAGCCTGGAACATGGGGAAAACATCATCTATAGCATCCTGGAAACACTGTTCTATCTTTTTGGGTGTTGATGTATAGTAACTATAAACAGCTTAAATGGTGATTGAACTCGAACGCACAAACATAATATAACTCACCCATACCAAACTCTCAAAAAAAGGGCAACCGGGGAAGCCGCAGAAAACGAGGTTTCACCAGTTACTTGGACAACTGATCGGAAAACCGAACAAAGATGAACAAAGTTTGGAGGTTGAAACCTGCGTGGAACTGGCTATGGCAGTGGGATCTATGCTGAACAGTAGGATTTCCGGTGCAGCGGTTGGTTCATGAGGAAGTGCTGGATCTGGGGGATCTGGGGGCTTGGCTTCCCCTGGGCCAGCGAAATCCTGCACCACCAAAGGGATGGTTGAAAGCCTATAAATAATAGGATGTTTAATGATGTCTACCACCTATCACATTATTCGGATTTCGCAACCACCGTATGAAGTACCCCGCCAGTCATGGTAATATGTGGAAATCCCCGGCCGAAACCATGGTTGTTGCAGAGTTTCCAAAGGTGAGCACTCTGAGGTGCCCCACATCTGGTCCTTCAAGCTAAGCCTGGGCGTTAAATCCCAGGTTGTGTCTAAAAATGGGATGGATGTCTTTTGATATACCGCCTTTTTATGGGCAATTGTAATGTAATATAGGGAACTTAATATACGGAACATGATGATAAAACATGATAACACACATTTTTCTTGTGCTTTGGACTTTGGACCATGTTTCATTGTATGGTTGGTTCAGTCCCGCTTGATGGATGCCATGCAGCCTCTGGGGCCCCCGACCCCACGGAGCAGCAGTTGAAGACCCCTGTGCGATATGCCTGCGATGCGATCTGGCATCTTTTGGCAAGGGGAACTTATAGGAAATCAATCAAAACCGAGCGTCATTCCTTCTTTTTTCCATCCAAATGTGCTTTTGAGCTCTTTGAGTTTATATACCTTCAAGCAATTCTCCGAGCCAACTCGTGACATGAAGCAACCTGCAGCCACCCTTCCTGCAAAAACTTCAGCGGATGAACATCTTGTGAGCCAATGGAAGCTGATGATCAATCGTGGGCTCGTTTAATCAATTATTGAGGCCCAATTGAGGGAAACAAAACGCTGCTTTTTTCCAAGCAATGCAAAGCTGAGGAAAGGCCAGCGAGATTTGCACTCAGGAAGGTCCACAAGGCGCGGCTAGATCTGCACTAGATTTGATCATCATTTCAATGACTGAAATATCCTGCATTCAAATTTTCGAGAGTGTTTCTCATCATTTTCCTTACTCAAATGATTTTCTAATTATATTGCCAGGCTATACATTTGGTACCCCAAGACCATTCAGAAATCGAACAAACCCCAAATCATGGAGGCTGACCTGAGCCCCGTAGCAACACTTTCCACAGCCAATGAAGAAGCAACAGCGACCTCGCGGGGCAAGCTTGACAGCTTCACTGACAATTCAGTGATACTTCTGGGGGCTATACATTCTGGTTGATGGTTGACCTACCCCTCTGAACAATGATGGAGTTCGTCAGTTGGGATGATGACATTCCCAATATGATATGGAAAGTCATAAAATTCCATGGTTCCAAACCACCAAGCAGCATTGTTATAGCCTCGCAACACATGGGACATACTTGGGGAGCTTCATATACATATTTCAGAATCACCAGGCTTGGGATCCAAGTTGATCCGCGGGATCCATCTTGAGATGGTCAATGGCCGGTTTCAAAGATCCAATCCCTCTTGGTGATCCCGTGACAAGATTGACGTATTTTTCTTGGGATGGTCTTGCAATACCAAACCTATGAACCTATGAGTCATTTGATGGATTTAACATGATTTTAAATATGCTGAAGGAGGAACCCCAAGTGAACATGACAATCATGACAATGCCGAAGTCATGACTTACCGCGCATATGGGACCCCAGAATGTGACAGCTACGGTGGCACCTAATGGTTTATTGATCCCATGATGACAAGTGGATAATCCCCCAACCCCCAAGATGAAACACATATTTGGGACCATGAATTCGATGTTTTTTATAAATGAGGGATGGGATTATCCATTATTAAAATTATTACCATGATCCAATCCATCATTCTCCGTAAAAAAATCCATGATCCATTATGAATCATGAACATCCAAGACTAGCCAAGTATAGGATAGTATAATGTATAGGTATATTATTTATTCATTGTACCCTCTGGTAACTTAACATAGCTATTGAAAATTACCATAGAAATAGTGGATTTACCCATTGAACATGGTGATTTTAGTGATTTTCCAGTTCGTTATGTAAACGTTTACCAGGCCGGGTATCTCATGATCAATACTTCTCGGTAGGTCCTGCACAGCTGGCTCGGGCTTGACTCACCTTGGATCATCCCCATGGACGACCATCAGGAGCGGGGGAGACCATGTTTTTTTTTGGGATTTGAAATGATCAATGGGAATTTCCCCACAAAATATGGCCAGAAACCCTCTGGTTATTTAACATAGCCATGGGATAGATGGCCCATAGAAATAGAAGGTTTACCTATTAATAGCATGGTGATTTTCCATGGCTATGTTAAATAACCAGAGGGTATATGGTACTAACGTACCTCTATTTTAGGATCCTGAAGATCTCCCATTGAAATGATTAAATGGGGGTTCTTGACTTCTACAACTGGCGATTTGATCAAATTTTTCACCAGAATTTTTTACAGTGGTTCATTAGGCAGTTCTGCAGCGGCGCAGCGGCAGTACTACTGTTCCCTTCACCAAACATGGCTGGAAGATCCCTCGAAGTGGATGATTTCCTCAAAAACATCTAGGCCACCGGAATTTCCAAGCCAAAAAGTTAGCTGACACATGAGGGCAAGCATTATTCACAATCACTATTCACTAATATGAACTTTATTCACTAATATTAACTATATATCATCAGCCACGATATTGAACTTTATTAAACAAACTAATCTTCTTCTGGACCTTTTTGGGTCTTCGACAAAAAAATACCCAATAACCGAGGCACGCCCAAAGCGACGCTCGCATCCATTCCCACGGAGAAATAGTTCTGGAAATATCCTTCCTGGGGCCATCGGACGGGAGAAGCGGGGCCTATTTCCAGGCGGCCACCTGGCTTTAAAAAGTCTGAAAACAGCCATTAAGCCAATGGTTAATCTAATAATGTTCCTTATTCAATGGCTATAATTCGAAGTATACTATTTCCAAATTTGTCAAACACATCCATCTCACGGAAAAAAACAACATATATCTTGGGTTCTTTTGATGGGCAAAGTAGCTGGGGATTGCGTCAATATTAGCGTCAATGGATTGGTCGTTAAAAATGCCATCACTTAAGACCTACTGGAAACATGGCGGACGTGCTTCATAAGCCAAATATAACTGGGAATATGCCATATGAAACTGGGTCTCACCATGATTTATCATGACCAATTGGGATGCAGCCCCACTTTCACCCCCCAAATACAATAAATCACCCACCCAGATCAATTATGATCTGCTATAGTTTTGCATCATAAAATGGTACAAATCACGGGTGAAACATATGATAACATATGTTTCTCCCTTTCCCCCAATATTAAGCGACCCAAATAACATGTTTCCGATGGGATTGGGGCCCCGGCAAAGTTGCGATCTGCACTCAGAACCGGCTTCTGCGGGATGGAGAAGTGGGAATGGCCCAAGAAAAGTGAATGACACGTTGGTTTTAATTTTGAACCAACAATAAGGAAGAATTGCATAACACATTCTGCTTTAACATGGTAACTAATACTGCGCACCATGGGTAGACAAACTGTGTAAAAGGGATAAATTATAGGAATAATGAAATCATGCCCTTCCCGTGATACCCTCTGGTAAACTGTTACATAACTATGGAAAGATCCATCATTTTTAATGGGAAAATCCACTATTTCTATAGCCATTTTCAATAGCTATTTTGATATAACCAGAGGGTATATCCCATTAAATCCCATTAAATCCCATTAAATCCCATTAACAGTTTAGGGCACTCAGAATTTTCAATCGATCCAATGCTTAAGGTTCGAAGGTCTTGAAACCAGGATCTCTCGGCGGGGGATCATGGAGCCAAGACTTCCCGACTTACAGAAAATCACAGCAGAACATGCTGGAAGGTCTAGTAATCCAGACGGTACCTGGTAAACATACAAAAAGCTATGGAAAATGGTCCATTTATAGATTTTTATAGTTGATTTTCCTATTAAAGATTGTGATTTTCCATAGCGAACTGTTAGTTTACCAGAGGGTAACCCCCCAAAAAAACATCCCCCAGTCATCACCATTTCTATGGATGGTAAACCTGGTAAATATCATCCCCAGTCATGGTAGGTGAAAATGGTAGCCAGGGTTCATAAACCAACCATGACTGGATTGATGGTTTATACCCAAAAAAAAAGGGTTTACTATTGGGGATGGTAATTTTCGTGTTTTTTTTTTTATGGGCATTATTTAATGTTCATTTATTTGCTTGGGCATTATTCCCACTCAATGGGAGTAAAAAAACAATCCATGGATGGACATTGATGGCCATAGATAACATTCAACCCATTCAAACATTATCAATTTGAATTGTTTTTACCCTCTGAACTGTGGAATGATTGTTTATGATGATATTTTATGATTTCTAATTATTATGATTATAACCATATGATACTTATCATTATAAACCATCAATATGAATTATGGTGCATGATGGTTATTTTAAAAAAATGCATCGATAACATTCAACCACGAAATCCCATGGAAATCCCATCATTTATCCCATCATTTACCCTCCGGTAAACTAACATAACCATGGAAAATCACCATTTTTTATGGGTAAATCCACTGTAAATGACCATTTTCAATAGCTTTTTCTATGTTTACCAGAGGGTACCTATCATTTTCCCATGATTTTACTGATGGATTTCCATGGCTTCCCTCTATGGCCAGAGTGACTCCAACATTCCCGGCCTCGTGAAACGCAGGTGGCCTCAGCTTTTCCGTATTCATATTCAGTCGAGGTTTATGATGGACATCATAGGGCTGATATATATATATATATATAATAGAAGAAATGGATAGAATATGATGACACACATATTATATGTACACTATTATATATATATATTGTATATATATATTATATATAATATAAATGTTGACTATATATATATATATATAAGTGAATATAATATTGAGCAGAAATGGATGAATGATTTTGTGTTGTTATATAAGATTGTTAACTGAACCATTTTTAGTGGTCTTCATATGGCTTAATCATATACATTCATATACCTTGCTTATGATTTGAACATCCAATCGCTATGTTGTAAGATGGAAATATAAAATAACTAACTAATATTGATGGATATGATTGGAAGGGCTAAAAAAAACAAAAACTTGTAACTTTCAGACCCCACCTCGTAGAAATGAAGGAATCAGTGTCGTAAACTGGTGGTCCACAATCGAACATTTCCGCATCAAAGGACACAGCAACTTCTTGGAGTGGAAGTGCAGGGGATTGTGATGAATTCTCAGCCTCAAGATTGGTGTGTTCACTATTTTCCATGGGCAATCTGTCACAAGGCCACGCACACAAATCAAAACATTGACCATTGACTGGATGTCCGTTCCCAATGCACCGTCAAGATGTTTTTGCTTTCATAATACTGTAATAGCAACATAACATGACAACAAAACAAATGACAAACAAACATCAATGTTGCCAGTTCATCAGAAAACCTGTCAGGACAAAAAAGGGCACTGTTAACCCTCGTCATTCAACTACACTGGTTGATTAAGAAGAGGATTTCCAGCTCATGGATTAGGATACTCCGTTGATCAAGCGCGACAATTGAACATCACCTATAAAGATGGAGGTTTATAGCTGAAAATCATCGAACTAAATGGTTATCTTCCAGTAAACCATGGAAATGATTACCAGAGGTTAACTCCCATTCTATCAGTATGATCTCCCCAGATCATATCCCTAAAACAATCCTTATTATATATATATACATAGAATTTTTGCTTAAATCCTCCATTTCTAGAAGCTACACCATCAGTTGCTCGTGAAATCCCTCTATTTTTCACCATGTTGTTTTTTCTGCTTTTTTTCAACCTTCATCAGTTGATTACCAAGAGGATAACCAACATCTTCCCGGAAATCCACCTCTGCCCGGCAGCGATAGGCGTCCAACTTGCGAATAGGCACGCCCAGAAAGTTCTTGAAGGTCACCGTGACCTGCGGTCAGCGTCGAGGCTACGCTTACCCCTATTGTAAACAAAGAGGAAAAAAAACAAGGGAACGTGTCACATTTATAGATGCGTTAAAAAAAAGGTGCTTTTCAATAGTTACCTTAGTTGACCTTACCGGGTAAGTGTCACTTGATTCTTCCCATATCTAAGTTGGTAATGACAGACCTTACAGGTCCCCCATTGGTTGTATCTTCCCCACCAAAGTGGTGAGTCACCCGGGATGATTTTTGCTGGGAATCCATCATTTGAGTGGTCTGTTATGTCCATGGATTGAAATTGCTTAAGGGGCCGAAAGAATGATGCAAGCATGTTCATGCATACTATTGAATGAACTCATATGCTGCTATTTTACTTGGTATTATATTAGATTGTATTGTGGTATATTATGTTTTAATATATGATACTAAATAATATGCTGTATGCTTTGTTTTACTTTATAGTGTAGTACTGTATATTGTACGGTGCTATATGGAAACATTGCTTCATATTCTATTATATAACAACCGTATGCTTTTTCATATGGTTTTGAAACTATATTTCATTAAAATATATCACAAAATGTTTCATTCTATTCTATTATGGTCTAGCATGCTGTAGTATTTAAATGGTATTAAAACATATTAAATTGCACTAAATCAAGTGTCGTAATATTATATGATATAGCATTATAGTTTACCAACTGCAAAAAAATATGAGATCTATCATTATATCCTATAATAGTGGTTTCAACCAATTTGAAAAATATTAGTCAGCTGGGATGATTATCCCATATATTATGGAAAATAACACATGTTTGAAACCACCAACAATCTGTATATATATATAAATATTATATGTTATACCACTATCATATATACAGTAGCTTCCCCAGATGGTGGCTTTCCCCGCGAACAAATCACCCAGCCTTCCACTGGTCCATCGGCACGATATCCGCCGCAAGGGTCCACCTGGCGCCCGGTGACCACTCGGAGGTGCACAGCTGGGAAAATGTGGGAAGAATTTATTGGGATGAATGGGGTTAAACTGGGATGAATGGGAATTTTTGTGAGCTATGTGAACTGTTTTTTCTCATGGGAATTCATGGGAAAATCGGAAAAACACAAAAAACCATCTATGACATGGGGATATAATTGGGATATTTCCATAGCCGAGTTTCCAGTCAGCCATGGAAATTATTACCAGAGGGTCGCCGCAAATCCGGGGCCTTTGTTTTGTGATGATTCCCAGAAAAGATTCCCAAAATCATAGCCTTCCATCGCTTGCTGTGTGACCAACCGCGATATCCAAGCCAATTGCAGCAGGTTTCAACATGTTTCAACCGAAATGGGATAAGACCGGTCTCAAATCTCGAGATTTCAAGGCCAACCATGGAGAGATAGCCAAGATTGCATGCGTCCAGGCGTTGGTGCGTTTTTGAACCGTATGTCTATGTAAATCTAGTACATGGTCATCTCATCAGGCATTTCTGTCGGTCATACATTTTTGCCAACATTTACCCAAAACATGATATGTTCCGCCAAATTTGGATGATTGTGTCCTGCGTCTAGTAACGATCCACCATCTCTAGCAGCATGGGCTAGAAAAGCACAGTTAACGGAAGGCCACCTTAGCCTGAGATAAAACTATAAACATCCAAAAAACAACATCGGGTTTATTGCAATCTAGGCCAAAACCCCTACAAATTCCAATGGACTATCATCATTACCCACCGGAAATGTCATCCGTGAATGGCCCCCGGATTTGGCAGAAAAAACTCCAGGGATCCAAGCAAACCACTCTTATGGATTCTGCAACTCCCAAGTCGGGGCATGAATACACAAACTGAAGATCAAACTTGTCAGCAGTGGCATACAACTGTGTCTAGCTTCGTGCAACCAAAAACAAGAAGAGAACATGGCTAAAACTTCTGAAGCATTCAAGAGCCATTGAGACCTTCATGTATAGGATAGGGGATTTCCCAGCTAGCCATGTTTGATTACTGGTGGATATCCCCATTGAATGTCCCGTTATTCATTGTTATCAATAATTAGCCAGTACCAATATCAACCCATTGGTAACCATTATAGTCCCACCATATCAATAACACCATGATATTTGGATTATATCCCCAGTATTAACCAATGTTATCAATGTTCCCCTATAATCAACCCATTATAATCAACCCAGTATCAATCAGTATCAACCCATTATATGGCTATTACCGTTTGGTCATTTAAGGTAGCAATGGAACATCACCATTTTTCATGGGTAAATCATCATAAATCCTCTAAAAATGGAGCATTTTCCATAGCTATGTTAAACTTACTGGTGCTTAGTAGGGAACGAGGGAATGATCCACAATAACTATCAATAATAATCCCATTCCCTCATTCCCATCCATTCCCTACTAAGCACCAGTAAGTAAATAGCCAGAGGTAACCAATATCAACCCAGGATAATCCCACCATAGTCCCCCGCTTCCCCCTCGGCGTCCCAGCTGGACATAGCCCACCAGCTGCGCCACGCTTCGCAACTTCGCACCCCAGCCTTCGAGACTTCGGTTAGGCCATGCAGGTGGTAGGGGTCAGACTGTAGTGTAAGTAAGCCATATTCATTATATTCTTGAGATTTCTTGAGTCTATTGCCATATATAAACCATATTTCTTGGGAGATTCCACTATGAATTTGGGAGATTCTACTAATGTGGGTGAAACAATGCCATAAACCACCCATTTGGGAGTGGTAAACATACGGTAAACATACCACCTATTGATGGTGATTTGGAAGATGGTTTATGATTCTTTTACCCGCATTACAGTGGATGGTTGCGAAATCCTGCACCACCAAAAGGGTTAGAACCCTACAAAAAAAAAGGATAAAATCGGCATGTTTACCGCCTCTCAACAGGTGCAGGATTTCTTCAATGCACAGTAGGAATAATGGCTTCTATATGCTTCTATATCATTCGTATCATCATTTAAGTAACCCAATTGCTTTAAATAAGCCTATATATATATAATGTTCGTGAAGCAAAAGGATCCACCGTCCCCAATGACTTTCAATCTTAAAAAACATTTTTGTGGGTGCCAATATAAACAAGCAACATATGCATGGTTTATTATCGCTTTACCACCATTATGATGGATCATTAAAAGCCAATAAGTATAAAAAATGTAAATCATCTGTACTTTGCAAGCTATAAAATGGACATATCTCTGACGTCCATAGAACTTGATTTTTGTTCGGAGACATTTCCATTTATAATGATTTGTTGAAAATCCATAAAAACAAAACATCTATATACAATCTAATTACTGCAGGATGGCTACAGATACAAATCTATTTTTTGTATACTTGGGGATGGTCCACATTTGAAACTGGCTTGCAGTATGCGTCCTGTGGTTACTACCCACATGCATCCACATACCAATCTGCAGTGAACCCCAAAGGGATCTGATTACTAGATGGGAGCACTTCCTAACCCCTATTGAACCCCGTACAAACCACATTACTTTCGGAAGACGTGTCCTATTATTAACCCATATTAAACCCTGTGCAAAAATGGCAACCCAATGCCATAAACGGCCATAAACCTGCCGTTTGGGGGTGGTTGATGCCACTCATTTATGGTGGTTTTGGGGTATGTTTGTGCATATTTGGGTATGCCACATTAGTAATCTGTATAGCAAGATATTTTTAGTCATCTAATCATGGGAATTCATGGGATATGATACGGCGAAAATCGTGTTCCCAGTGATCCAGATAAAAGAACAATCCTATAGTTATCCGAGATTATTCCCATTACACTAACCATATAACTATCGGATATATCTTACTTACACTAACCGATATAATGTAAACAGTAAGATGTTCGATGATATAACCATGGTGAGTTATCCCTTAAGGAAGGGGATTACTAACTAACCCCCCAACAACCAATTCCCACAACACCATCCCGGAGCGCCTAAGGACCTCGCCAGGTCATTGCCTGTGCCGGCCGGCACCACTCCAATGGCCGGCTCCTGAGAAATGATGGTCGGGTTGACCGGTTGACCTGGCAATCCTTCCACGTTTAACCCATGACGGATCCATGGTGCTGGGAGAAAAATGCTAACAAAAAGGGTTTTTTTGTTGATGGTACCCTCTGGTAAACATACAAAAAGCTATTGAAAATGGCCATAGAAATAGTGGATTTTCCCATGAAAAATTGTGATTTTCCATAGTTATGTTAGTTTACCAGAGGGTAAATGTTACCACATATAGCAGCACCATGGATCCTATGGGGAATTGGGGACGAGTTCATACCACAAACGAAGGCGTCTCCAAACAAACTATGAGGGTTTTTTTTTACGAAATCATCGGCCAATCATGGTTTGAATGGGAAATTCAACCATGGCGGATTTTCCATTGCTATGATTGATTACCGGAGGGAGGGTTGTTTTGACCCAGTAATTGATCCAGGTGTTTTTTTGGGAGAAAAAGTGACGATTGACCCAGGCCGAATTTTAGGAAAACTTGCACATTTTTTTTTAAATAGAAAACCCACATGTGCTGTGGTCAAAACATGGTTGATGTTTGGATAAAACGAGAAATGGGGTGAATTCGGCCAATTCGAAAGTTCCAATCTAATTCTATAATTGACATGGTATTTTAACCAGATCTATTGGTGAACAGCACGGCCATCACCGTAGCTTGCGGCCTAGCAGCGAGGAATCCGACCGCCCTCTATCCATGCGAAATCATGGGATATCACAAAATTTCCAATCTCAGCATCCCAAATATATAGTAGCACTGAGTGGTAAAAATGGGTATACCCAAATGCTGTGATGATATATGTATATATTTAAAACATATACAATATATATATATATATATGTATACGTATACAATATATGTATATATATATATACATGCACACACACACACACATATATATATATATATATATATATGTGTATGTATACACACATAAATGCATACATTACACAACAGCCACCGAATGGTTGATGATACCATGGAGCGTGGATACGTATACACACACAGGTGTATGTATGTATATATATATATACACATCTATCTATATATACACATACACTGGCAAGTTCCTACATATCTGTGGAAGTAAGGATTCATTCCTCAGGATCCAATCCAATGAGAGGAGATGATCAATCAACACCCCTGTGGATATGGAGATTTGACCATAAAATCCCACATCTAATGCCATCATGCCCATGGCTTCTCCAAGACTAAACATGATCAGTTCTGGTGGATGTCACTTGACGCCGAGAAAATGCCAGAGTTTTCAAAACTCCGGAACAAAACCATGTCTTGGATGAGCGCATCAGGTGATGGTTTGAAAAAAAACATACAGCACTGTGTCCAACTCCCAACCTGTTGGGTTTTTGTGATCTCCCCATCCCACATCCTGGACGATTCCGCCCGGCCGGTCCTCCTGGAAGTTGGAGAAGAGCCTGGGGTTCTCTTCTTTGCATTCCTGGCGGCAAAATGGGTGGCACCGCAACAGTTCAAGAAATTTGATGCTGAAGAAGAACATGGTTCACAAAAATAACCAGCCCAGCTGGTATACCTCATGTTCAGACAAACCCAAATCCATTGAAATTCCAAACCTGCCACTTTACGCCACAACGCATCCAAATCTACAATCAACACCTCCCCCCAAAAAAACAAAGAGAATTTCTCTACCCTCCGGTAAACCAATGAACAAATTCAACAAACAACACAGCAATAAGAAACCACCCATAGTTTGATGGTTTATACCACCCATTGATAGAAACATTGGGGATGGTGGATCCTATTCACTTTACTAACATTAATTGGGTTTATCCCATCATAGTCCCACTATATCAGCTATGATTCCATTTACATCCTCATCATGCCTCATTCTATCCCAATGTTAAATCCAAACCATTGTTATTCACTATTAACATTTATTGACTATGATTAACTAGCACATTCACCATTAATTAACCATTGCTATTCACTATTAAAAACATCTATTAATTAGTAGTAACCATAGTTAATTTTGTGATTCACTATAGTTAACCATTAATTAACTATAGTTAGTACCATTAATCAGAAACATCTATTAAATTCTATTAGTTATTAAACTATGATTCACCATAATGTGGTTAAAACAATAATAAACCATCCCCCAGTCATCACCATTTTGATACGTGGTAACCCTTCCCAAATGGGTTATGGCATTGTTTTAAACCACATTAGTATTCATCACCATTAATCACCATAAAACCATAAATAACCAACATTAACCAACACTAACCATCACTAACCATCAAGAACCATCAAATTCACCCCAGGGTCGAGGCTCATTGAACTTCCACGCCTCGATCTCGTGTAGCACCCAGGTCACGGTGCCGTCGCCACCGCAGACCAGGAAACGCCTCGCCAAGGCGTTACGGTAAGTTACGGCCCCTCGGCGGGATGTGATGATGTGACGTGACCATGCTTATGAGTTGTACTTATCATGTGTGCACATATATATACATATATGATATGGATATAAATATAAGACAATATTATAATATATATATATATATGTAAAAACATATCAGTATATAAGATATATTTATACACATGACATCACATGACATATAATGGGATTTTGATATCGTCCATCTAATAAAGCAATATTCCGGATGTTCTTAGTGTTGTGTAGCTATAAAAGTACCTTGTACATATTCAATCATATTTACAAGTCTATGAGGCTCATCATACCTCTATACTATATGGAAAAATAAGTGTTCTATGTGTCGGAACCCCAAGGACCTCCTTCTAATCGGACTCCACGTGACTGTGGTACGCTGTCCCCCTATGGGAAGCCCCGTGGCTTCCCCAGGAGTTGCCATGTCCGTAGTTCCAATGTGACTATATAGTTAGCTGTGTCCAAAAATCACTACCGTCGGCGTGCTGGAAAATCCACTTCAGAATCTGAAAGAAAAAGCTGCTTGGTGGTTCATGGCTTTTATTTTTCCATATGCTGGGAATAATCATCCCAACTGACTTTAACTCCATCATTTTTCAGAGGGGTAGGTCAACCACCAACCAGAAAACATTCTCAGCTATAAACCTCCAGTTAGTTCCGGGATTTTCCAGCGGTGACACCGGAGGGTACCCCAAATTTTCACCGCCTGGGAGATCTCTGGGCTGCCCAACAGCTGGGCGATCTCGGGCTTCATCATGGTCTGCCGGATCTCTTCCTTCAGATCCATCCTCAACAATGTTGGTCATTTTTCGTGACGATTACCTATCTTTGATACTGCATGTATGTGTTTTTCGGGTTAGTATTGTTAGTAGGCATCACCCTTTCTGGCAAAAAAAACATGACTAAATTGTGATAAAGTAGCTAACCCAGGTTGACCCAGGACAACTCGGCATGAGGGATGAACATGTCCACATATGTCCAGACTCCCATGCCATCCCATGCATGTGTCCAAAACGCTGGTGGTTGGATGTGAGTTGGATGTCAGTTGACTCATCCCATTTGGGTATGGATCAATACCTATTAATACCATTTTTAGGGGGATGAACATCCATTTACCAGCTATTTTGATGGAACTACAGGGGTACAAGGTTTTGACACACTGCCATTTCGATCAACCATGAGCTTTAGGATGAAGATGGACTTTGAGCAGCCAAAAAAGAGGGCTATAACCAGCAAATGGAAACTGCAATTTTGGAGAGAGCGTTTCCACACCCCAACACTGACACACCCAAAGGATAAAATTTGGTCAACTGGTAATTGTTTATAGTGGGGGTTCGACATTACCAAGTAAATTTCCGAAGTCCCCTGCACAACTGCCATTTCAAAATGACCACACGTCCTGTTGGCCAGTTCGCAAACGTGACCAGCGAGGAATTCCTCCTGCTGATGCAAGGTACTGCAAACATGGTTGTGTCTGAAGCGTAAACACCAATGTGTTCTCACTTAATGGATTGATTGATGGAAATGGAAAACTACCCAGCAATTTGATGGTTGTAACCATGGCTTCCTGCACAGCTCCCTTCAACATGCCCATGAATTTTGAGGATCATTAGTGGCTGGTGGTTTCAAAGCATTCCGAATTTGGCCAGTGTGCATATGTAGGTAAGCTATATCCCGGGATCAAAATCGACAATGTCAACTATCCCGTGTGGTGTGCACCACAGTGATAGTTCATATTCCCAGGCAGTCATACATTGTGAGCAGCTATGTGAATTCAATCTTCCTGAAGAAAGAATAGAACAATCTACTCGCGAAAGTGGGATGATTCTCACAGCCAGGTGCGAGTAGGATGACCCCACCTGGCACTCTAAATGCATTGGATCTAATCTTTCGGCTTCCGTCAAGCATAAAAAAAACATATGGGAGGAAAAACAATAATATATTATGTATGCATAATATGCATAATATGTATATATATACACATGTATGTATGCACACACAGTCACACACACATAATACCTATATATGTAAGCCCATATATCCATATCACAACATGGAATCATATTAATATTGTATACTAACGTTAGTATCTGGAGATCATTTGGTTTCACATGTCGTTCTTTGTTCTACCTATGAATCCGCTCCGCTCTCCAGCCTCCCCGCGACCACTGATCTGGAACCTGGGTTCCAATGGTTGGCCAATGGGAAACTTCCTAAATGGGATGAGAAAGAGATGTAATTCATGGGGAAAATCCGAACTTTATCCAATGTTTATCCCATGTGTACCCAATAATTCTCCTATGTCTATCCCAATGTTTCTTCACGTTCTTTGTTTTTTACATGCATGTAAATGCATTTAGCAATTAATCAAACTTATTTCCGGTGCAGGGTGCAGGGGCAACCTATGTAAATCCAAGGCCCTAGGTGGCTCAAGCCTTGTGAGGGTGCCAGAAAGTTTCAAGTTTTGAGCCCGAAATGATGAGCAAAGTTGTGGCTTTTTGGGTTCTTCTATGTGAAAACTACCCATACTAGATTCTACCTATTCAAATATCTTTTTAGAAAGCAACCTGATTTTGCCTGCCAATGCCTTGAATTCAACCAAAATCCATAGGTTTGTAACACTTGAAGTTCATGGGTCTCACCAAGTTGGAACCAGCAAAACATCTTCCCCTCGGGCTTAGCAGCTGAACTTCAATGCGTATATCATACCAGGAACTGTGAGATCGGGGTCTGATTGAATTACTATGGATAACATACCAATGTCAGTGAATTTTAGATCACAGCCAGTTCATCGGTGAGTTTAAAGTTTGATTCATCATGTCTCTGGAGAAGCTTCATCACGAGGTTCATCGAATGTTTCTTGTTCCACATTAGCCTCCAGTAAACTGACATAAGTATGAAAAAAAAACACCATCATTCATAGGTAAATCGGTAAATCATCCATAAATGGGCCATAAAAACACCATTCTATGCCATAGCTACCTTAGTTTACCGAAGGCTCACACCAGCTGCTCACTTCCCCGAACCGCGCGCAGGAACCGGTGGTTCAACAGAGCCTCGAGCTGATCCTTGATGGCCTTCCAGGGGATGACCATGTGGCTGGGATTCTCCTTGATGTGAATGGGATATAACTGATATATCCAACACTATGTGGTGATATTTATATATATATATACATATGTATATCTATCTGTGTTAGATAATACCTATGTATATCAATCCATGTATATCTATCTATGTTATCTATCTATGTTATCTATCTATGTTATCTATCGATGTATATCTATCTATGTTATCTATCTATGTTATCTATCGATGCTATCTATCTATGTATATCAATCCATGTTATTGATCTATGTATATCTATCTATGTTATCTATCTATGTCATATATCAATGTTATCTATTTATATTATCTATCTATGTTATCTATCTATGCTATCTATCTATGTTATCTATCTATGTTATATATCTATGTTATCTATCTATGTGGTCTATCTATGTTATCTATCTATGTTATCTATCGATGTTATCTATCTATGTTATCTATCTATGTTATCTATCGATGCTATCTATCTATGTTATTGATCTATGTATATCTATCTATGTTATCTAGTTATGTTATCTATTTATGTTATCTATCTATGTTAGCTATAACATATGTTATCTATTTATATTATATATCTATGGTATCTATCTATGTTATGTATCTATGTTATCTATCTATGTTATGTATCTATGCTATTTATCTATGTTATCTATCTATGCTATTTATCTATATATGTTATCTATCTATGTTATCTATCTATGTTATTGATCTATGTTATCTCTCGATGTTATCTATCTATGTTATATATCAATGTTATCTATCTATGTATATCTATCTATGTTATCTAGTTATGTTATCTATTTATGTTATCTATCTATGTTATCTAGCTATGTATGTTATCTATCTATGTTATCTATCTATGTTATCTATCTATGATATCTATCTATGTGATTTAACTATGTTATCTACCTATGTTATCTGCCTATGTTATCTATCTATGTGATCTATCTATCTATCTATCTGTCTGTCTGTCTGTCTATCTATCTGTCTATCTCTCTCTTTATTTATCTATCTATCTATCTATCTGTCTGTATGTCTGTCTATCTATCTATCTACCTATCTACCTATCTATCTATCTATCTATCCATCTATCCATCTATCCATCTATCCATCTTATCCATCTTATCTATCTTATCTATCTTATCTATCTTATCTATCCTATCTATCTTATCTATCTTATCTATCTTATCTATCTTATCTATCTTATGTATCTTATCTATCTATCTATCTATCTATCTATCTATATAGCTAGCTAGCTATCTATATAGCTAGCTAGCTAGCTAGCTATCTAGCTATCTAGCTATCTATCTATCTTTCTTTCTTTCTTTCTTTCTATCTTATCTATCCATCTATCTATCTATCTATCTATCTATCTATCTATCTATCTACAATTAGGTATACATACATATTTATATATAATGATTGTATAATGGACGATATGAACCTATGTAACCTTGTCATTCAATATGGGATGCATTGATGGTGCACAATGGGAACCTGGGATGCACCGCCAGAGGGATCGAGATCTACATAGTCTGCCGTAGCCGTATATGAACCATTTGGTGTGCATATGTGTATATATATATATATATATTACATATCATGTTATTTATATATATATATACATCCCTACTTAAAATGATTCACAATAACGCCACAAGAATCAGTTCGATTGTGGATACCACATGGCTATAGATGACTGTTGGAAAACACAAATGCTTTGACAAGTCCACAGTCGCATTGGAGACGATGCCAATAGAAACCAGCATATACTTGTACTCCGTCACTTGTCCAATCTCTTTGTATCACTTTATTTCAGAATCATGTTTGTTTCATAGAACTCCTTTCCGAAACACCACCCACCATTCCTTCAAACGTCATAGCTGCCTGAGAGACCTTCCGATTGCCCGAGCCGGTGTTCACCTAGGGACAAACGACTGAAGATGGGAAGATGTGTTCGTCGAAATTCATTGAATTCATCATCGAACATGGGAGATGTTCTCGTCAAACATATGGCAAAAATCTGGGCAAATTAAAATAATTCACTAACCTGAAACTTGCGGCCATTTGGGGATGATTCCTCTTAACCATGATTCCAGGGTTCGGGAGAAGGGTTCGGTCGTATAATTTTGCCCAGAATATCAGCCTATCATCCAGGATTGGCACCACAAAATCCACAAGAAACATGTGGCGGCCGGTACTGTATAAGCTATATGGAGGTTTCCTAAGTCATAGGGCTACCCCCCAGTTATCATCCACTTTTTTGGCTTTGCCATTATCAACCATGCGTTTTGAGGTACCTCCATTTATGGGATCCCCCATGTACACACACACATATATATATAATATCATATATATATATATACATATAATATATATATATACTGTATATGCATACAGTAATAAGATGTAATAATCACAAACTAGAAGTTCAGTAATCATCACAAACTAGTCATTGTAATATCTTTAATAATATGATATGATAGTCATTGATGACATCATCACCTTCCCCAGCCGCCGCTTTTCGGGCCATCGGACGAAGGCCATGATGTACGGTGGCCGCTCGCCATAGATCTCGCGGCAAGGGGTTCACCGTTTTCACGGCAGCGGTTTCCTTTAAAGCCGGGCACCCGAAAAAATACAACGGTTGGTGGTTTAACCATCATATCATAATCATAAATATATATATATATATATCATATCATATAGCCTCTGGTAAACATACAAAAAGCTATTGAAAATGAATATAGAAATAGTGGATTGATTTACCCATTAATAGCATGGTGGATCTTTCCATAGTTATGTAAACGTTTACCAGAGGGTAAAAATACCATGGATGGAGTATAGCGGTAGCATTTTGGGTGTCAACTTTGATGAGACATGAGACATCCTGCGTAGTAGAGTTTCTGTTGGATCATTTAACGTTGGATTTTTTTTGGAAGGCTATCCCCTTGTACCTCTATGAAGCCTCCAATGTTTCCACGACATAACCATGGTCAATCTTGGATACACTGCATTTTTTTCTGGTGAGGTGAATACATCATCATTTCCAGCAAAAAAGAGCAAGGTACTGAACTATCCATCCATTTCCACACAAGGTGGTGGCCCCCCACCAAGTCACAAGTTTGTTTATAAACCCCACTCAGTAGTTCATTCTACCTACCATAAACCCAAGTTATATGAGTTGTAAACCAACTTGGCAAACTGGCTAACTGTGGGGTACCACCTTGTAGATATCCCTTTTTGAACACTTCAACTGTTTCAACCGCAGCATACTCGCAGCGGCCTCATGCCATCGATCCAGCAATTGACAAACCTCAGTGACTGGTGCCAGGGTGGGACCTGCAATTTCATGGGATTTGAAACAACATTGCAACTGAAGTTGCCAACGTCACGAATTTGCATTGCGCACGTATAATACATAAGCCTTTGGCACCACGTCTCATGGATCTGGGGCACCCAACACTTTCAAGGATTCAAGGGGATAAAACATCTGCACATAGAGGCTTTCAATGTGCCATGTTTGCGTACTAAAAGGCGCACCATGGCGGGGAAACAACCATGGCCATCATCAATCCTTTGTTTGGACGGTAGTTTCACCCCATCCCCCACAAAATATGAGCCACAAAGCAGGGGAAAAAAAAACACAGAAGCAACCAACTAATTACTGTGGCAAACCCAATAAAAAAAAAAAAACAACAACATCCCTTAGTGGTCAAAAATAATCTCCAAGTGCTGCTTTATTGCTGGGTTAGCCTCAGGCACTCAAACATGGCAACTGAAAATCCGCCATCGATGATTCATCGATGATTTTCATTGATTTTCCCCTTACACTGCATAATATACGCATTTATATATATATATATATACATATATATATATATATATCTCCAATATAAATTGAATACTGATAAAACATGATAAAACATCCATTCATAGAGGATATTCCATATATTTCCATACATTTCCATATATATATATGCCATGTGTTTTCCCACGTGTTTTCCCCTTGGATTCCTGGGATCCCCGGTCAGGTTGGATCTCCGCCGTCTTGGCGGGCTTCAAGTTCCAAAACCTGGCGCCACAGCTGGGGCCGGATCTTGGCCCGTTGACCCAGTTTTGGTTCAGCTAAACTTTAGGAAATATGGAAACTATGGCAACTCTGATATCATTAGGACCTGTAAACTTTAGGAAACTTTAGGAAACTTTAGGAAAAACTATGGCAACTATGGCTGTATGACAATCACAGAAAAAATGGCTCACTATGGCAACGATGATCTATTTTCAATGAATTGTTATGAGTATGAATGTGCTGACATCAAGATTACTTATGTTACTTGAAGCTGATCCTACAACATCATAACTGGCACACTTCGACTTGCTTTCATGGAAGGCATACAACTACCTTTATTTTGGGTTATGGTTACAATTGGATATAACCAACAATTGGTACGAGTAACATGGGATTGTTCAGAGGTGGGTCATGGCCCGGATTGATGATCCGCTGTCTTTCACCGCTGCTTACTTGGGGGGTATCGTATGACAATGGTAGAGGATATCCGATCCCTCTAATTGATCAACCAAGGTTTAAAGATTCCGTAGTTGACATTGCACGACATCTAATTTCGACAACACTTGTAAAGTTCATGAAGCTCTTAAGGTTCTTGACAGGATGTTTCCGAGAGATTGAAACCAGCAAGAGTTGACGTTATTTTGATATTCAATGCGAACTTCCAAATTCTCGGGGCATCGAGTTGCTTCACTTCATCAACATTCCAAGTTCGCTGAGGTGAAATGGTTGGGGTTCGTGAAAACGAGCTCTATACTCTCCCATCAAAGTATCACAAAATATCACAAAATGTTTGGTTTACCCTAGGCTATTTCCCCATGAAAACCACCAGCTGATTCACCTCCTTTGTCCCACCCTTGGGCTCATTTTTTCTACAGTCAAATCGACGGTCTGCTCACAGCGTCTTGCTGTGACCAAACGCAGCGAAACTCTGCACGGAAACTCTGCAGGGAGAATGGAAATCCTGCACACATCCAATTCACTTATCAATTTATCAATGATCTTCCTCTGAAACATAGATTTTCCCTGTTTTATTTTTGGTTTCATCCACATTTAAACAAAAACATCTCATAAGAACATCATGACATAGGGATACATAGGGATCTTTAATCGGATTTTCCATGGCCAGAGCGTGGCTTCCCAGTCAAACTTCCAGGAACTGAATAGAAAATCTGCTGTCTCAATAGATATCCTCCTCAATGTCTTGAGACAAAGGGTTTTTTTCTTTCTCCACGGCATCTGAATCTGTTTGAATCCTAAACATGTTGCCATTTTATGTAGGTCATGATTTTGTGGACTCTTAATTTGTTCAATCTGGAGCTTATTTGGTGTTGACCCATGCCGATCCCTATTGTTTAAACTCTGGAAGACTCTGGTGTCATGGTGGCCAGAAGTTCATCCCGCATACATCCCCAACCTTATTCGAGACAATTCTTGTGGTTTTCTCCATGGGTAAAACACACAATTTTCTTAATTGGCGATATTGGCCACCATAAGCTTATCATAAGCTACCAAAATAGACAATGATAAACCACTTAAACTTACTGTCCATACGTTTCCTTCGTCGGCTGCTATAACAACATAACTCCGTTTGGAGGTAAAAACAATGGAATATTCATAGATATTCAACAATCCATGCATATCCGCCCACGTTTTCCCCAAACATCCACAGGACTCCACCCCAGAAATGTGTTGACCCTGAAAGACCACCAGCTTCGCAAGGTGTTTTTTTTCGCCAAGGCGCGTCCAGGACAGCCAAGAACCCCACCATCCAATGGGGCAACAAGCCTGTCGACATCTGAGCCATGGCCATGGTCAACTGTCCATCTGAGTCATCGGTCCATCTGGTTCAACAACCTGGTGCTGGACAATCACGAACTGATTGGTGGTTTCAACCCCTCTGAAAAATATGAAAGTCAGTCGGGATGGATGATTCCCAATATTTGGAAAATAAAATTCATGTTCCAAATCACCAACCAGCGAATATTCAGTTTTTCCAGCATATCATTGCTTTATGTACCTAGAGCCCCTTGCCTTCCCGCAAAGTCACGACCTTCCACCGGGACAAGACCTTGCGGTCGGAAGCGGATTTTCCTGATGAAAGCTCAACAAATGGGTTTACCCGGCCTGGCAACAAAGCTATTGAAAATGGCCATGGAAATAGTGGATTTTCCCATGAATAGCATGGTGGATCTTTCCATAGTTATGTAAACGTTTACCGGATGAGGGATATCGTCAGTAGTATCTATCACATCATGCTGTGTATCCCGCAAAAGACATCTGGACCTGACGACACCCACATCCTGCGAAGTGCGGGCAGAATGGACTCCCTTTAGGACTCTAGGACATTCATCGCTCAATTTTGGGGCTTCAGTCTTGGCCCGCCACCTGACACAAATCTGGCTAAGCAATTTTTTGGCTTCATGATCCACTCGAAACCAATGACAAAACATGACAAAACCATGAAAAAGGAACCAAACCATCTGCATTACTCAAAAACTGTTAAACTTCATTTTCTTGTTAAACTTACTCAAGTGTTGGAACATTCTTGGACTAAAACCATTTTCTTCAGCATTTTCTCCAGCACTGGGATGTTCCAACTTGTGGTACCTCACTACCTCCATCCGCCAAGCCGCTCGCATGTCTTGATCCGGTGGTCCCACCACGAAGTGCTGCTGCGCCGCTGCCAACGGCTCGCCGTTGGCGTCGGCGGTGGTGATGTGCATGGACCAGTCCTTGGTGACAAATCCGGGAGACCCCTGAAACACCCAGTACTGACCATGGGAAGAGGGTTTTTGCAAGGATATGCACGGATTCATCTAAGGATGGCATGATACATCTACGGATGTATATATATATATATACACATTTATTGGAGGGACTTGGGGTATACTCCCAAGGTATTCTGGCTGAATCATGAAAATTTACTAACCTGAAAATAGCTGAAACGTTCAGCCATTTGAACATGATTCCCCGAATCCGTTTCCCATCATTCCAGTGTGGCGTTCTATCGCCTAATATTCCATAAATATGCCATTTTATATCCAGTTATATCCCCATGGCATCCCTAACTTAATTGGTGACATCACAGTGTGGTCACTACAATTCACCATTATACCCATTCAATACCAATAAGATATCAATTATATAAGGTGGGGCCCCTTGTTCTTGAAAGCTCTCACTTCGCTTCTCACGCACTCACTAAGTTCTTCGTCTGTGAGGTTCTACTTCTTTTTGAAGATGCTGCGGCCAAAGCCTGACTGGGCATCCTTTGCCGAGTCTATGCATTCGGTCACTTGGTCTTTTCGGTAGCTATTGGGCATCTCGAAGTGAGGGTTCAGGACAAGCTTCCCACCTTGCTTCTGGAAGCAGTTCATATTTCCGTTGTTCCTCATCCTGCTGAGTCTCATCAGCAACGCTTTGGATCTTGAATTTTTCCTGCAACTTGGTTTGGGTCCACCCCGTCCATACTGTAGTTACTATAGGTACAAGTATCATAAACATTCATGAACCATAGTGAGTGAGAATGGAATTCTTCCCAACTTAGCTACCGTTTCGTGCCAATTCATGTAATGTATCCATTATATAAATATATAATAATATATATATATATATATATGTGTGTGTGTGTGTTTAGACATGATTCCGCTTAGAACTTCAAAACTCCAAAAGTTGCTTGTTTCGTCCTACTTAGTGGCCCTATCGGGCCCAGTGTGTGTGTGTGAATCCTGCTATCACATGCAGGCACAAACTCATATACATACGTACTTTAACCCTTGAAGTGAAAGCAGAGCAGGGGGCCACGGCTCCATTCATCAGTCCGTGGCCAACGAAGCTACTGATGTTTGGAGAGGATATGCAGTCTGATCAACTGCACGTACCTGCGAATCGAACTGTTGATTTCTGTTCCTCTATGACGCTGTTTGCTTTAAGAAAGAATTTCACATTTCGTACTGTCTCCTCTATTACTTGCACTAGCAGTTTTTGATTTTCTGAGCTCGTTCGGGAGCCTTCATGTATTGCGCTGACATGGCATCGAGCTTGTTCGGGAGCCTTCATGTATTGCGCTGGCATGGCACTGAGCTCATTTGGGAACCTTCATGTGTTGCGCTGGCATGGCACCGAGCTGATTGGGGATCTTTCATGTTGCATTGGCGTGGCACTGAGCTATAGTTTGGAAATTTTCATATAGTGTACTTGCATAGCATTGAGCTGATTCGGGAGCCTTCATGTGTTACATCGGCATGGCACTGAGCCATACTTTAACAAATTTTTTATGTATTGTACTTGCATGGCATCGAGCTGATTCGGGAGTCTTCATGTGTTGCATCGGCATGGCATTGTGCTATAATGTTTAGCGGTTTTTTATGCATTGTGCTAGCATAGTACCGAGCTAGTTTGGAAGCTCTCCTGTGTTACAGCGGTTTGGTAGAGTAGGGTGCAATTTCTATCAGCAGTGTTGGCCAGGTTTCTAAGGAATTCAAGGCGAGAACGAGATCATTCACATGACGGTCCATTTCAAACCCAATTCAGCAGTGTGTACTGGGTGCACGGCAGATTATGCCGACACCATCGCAGGGATTCGTCCCAGCTCAAGGATTTTCTCGCGACACATTAGCGTGTCGTGTAGGATGACTGTCATGTAGATGACAGTAGAAGGAGCCCAAATGGGCGAAGAACAGCCTAGCGGCACTCAAAAGGACGCCTAGCGGTGAAGGACGCCTAGAGGTGAAGGATGCCTAGCGGTGAAGGAGCCTTAAGGCGAAGACTAACTGATACATGGATGTTGCGGCACTCAGTCCACATGCAAAGACTTGGTTGTATGTGTGTGCATGTGTGTGTCAGTGTGTGTTCCTTTGGTCTAAATAACCAAACCAGTGCTTCTCTTTGCATTATATCATTCCGTGGGAAGTTCGGAATTTGAATTCTGCATACTTGTGTGAGGCATCAAGCTTGGGTATTCGATAAATCGTGCATGTATGACTGTATGACCTTCATGATAACGCATGTGCAGAACATGATGGGCTGTTCCGAGAAATTTCTGAATTTTGTTATGTGTACCTTGATGCGCGCAAAAATGTTTTGTATCACTTGATTTTTGCAATTTGCTACTATGTGTTAATTTGTTATTATGTGTTACTTGATGCTGGCAAACCACTGTTTCTATAGCTGCTATAGCCATGCCGTCAAAAAGTGCTGGGGGTCCGCCTTCTCAATATGATGGTCAACGACAACGCGGTCCTTTCACGATGTCTTGGTTACCACCATTGCCTCCACCACCTGCGCAGGTTCAACCCCAGGTTCATGTGAGTCCCATAGTCAATTCACCACCTAGACCAATAGCGAGTTTGAGTGTGCGGGGACAGCTGGGTGAATACCGGCTTGAAGTCTCGGACGCACAGGGTCTTCAACAACTTACTCAGATGATGGATCGTCTAAGTCAAGTGGAAGCACAACTCGCTTTGACCCAGATAGCTCAAACGGCATATCAACCTATTTTTCCCTCTGTGATGCCCGTTCCCAACCTCATGATGCCCGAAATGTTAGCCCCTTTCACAGTGGCAGAACCTAACAAAGTTGGAAGTGCTTCTCAATCGGTCGCAAGAGGGAGTGGCCATGATGCAGTCTTAACCTCAGAAGGTGTTGGAACCGCAGCTGCCTCAGATTTGAACTCGTCTTCGCCTCAAAGCCAGCCTGCCAAGTATAAACCTCGTTTACATGGTGCAAGAGTTCAGACACATGATTTCCATGGAAGGATCAAATACACTGAATACACAACGATTCAAAGACTGACGGACATGACGGTGCATGATTTTCGCTGGAAAGACAGCACAGAACGAGTCTTGGAAGTTGGACACCCATTGTGTCGACAGTGTTTTGTTACACCAATACTTGCTGGCTTCTTCTGTGATGCCCTTCAGCCTCTGACCCGCGGAAATTTTCAGCAGTGCGTATGGGAAGAAGTATATTATTTACTCAATGAACGGTTGCATGCAGACTTGTTTCAAGTTTCTGAGAGACTTGCGAATGCTTTGGAACTTGGCCGGGTAGTGGAAACGTCACAGAAGTACGCCCCAAATCCAGAATATTATGCTTGCAAGCGGCGGTTTATATTGGAACCGGAGATTACCATCCAGGCTACGCCTTTTGGGGACTTCTTGGCAGATCAAATTCGTTCAACCTTTCCTGGTGACTTTCATACTCTCAAGGAGGCATGTTTCGTGCTTAGCAAAACGATGAATTCTTTTCCAACTTTGATTGAGAAGTTTCAGAAAGCAGAATTTATTCAGCTTTCACATTCAGCGGACTCTACGACCACAAAGTTCAAAGGAGCTGTGATTCTCCATTTGGACATTCCTACCTTCAAGAGAGTTGGTGATGCTCCCTATTTTCCCTCTGTTTTTACCTTTGCACACAATAGTAGTATTTTGACTGCCTGTGCCATTCTACGGGACGGGTATATTCGACCTTCAGCTGCTGCCGAACATCAAGCTCAATGGTTGCCAGTTCCTGGTTTCTATTCCAGGGGGAGCATGAGTAACAGTGACCGTGAAGAAGATGTCAAACGATCACTGAAAGAAACATTCCGAAAGGCAATGGCATATTCACATTTCTCAGACGCAACTCGCCCCACCAGTATTTTTGGAGTTGCATATTCGCGACAGCACCAGCACTGCACCATACATGCGGGAGGCGTTTGCGCGGATCATGCCGCAAGTCTCTTTTGGGATGCTTGTCATAATGCATCTGATCGGCGCTGGATTTTCAGATCCCAGTTAGCGCAAGTCAAGGGCATAGCCGTGTATATTTAGATATGTTTAGATTAATTTGTGAGCGCAGCGCCAAAATGATATATTCACCATGTGCCCTTGCATTTCTGTTGCGATTTTGTGAGCGGAAGATGTGGCTGTCATATCAACAGTACAGAGTGATAGAGCCGTTCGCGTTGATTATGTTATCAGTGAGTGTGAAACAGGAATGGTAAATTGAATCAATTTGATGTTTGTTTGGCGATTAACTTCTTGAAGTGATGTTCACAGTTTGATCCCCTCGCAAAATCCGGGTATTCACTTTTAGCTTTGTCGTTTTGATTTCTCATTTCAAGCTACCAAAAGTGGCGAGTATAGTGTTATACCAATAGGTGAGATGTTGTGACAAATTGGACATACTTTTCACTCACATGCACTTTTGTTGTCAAGCCCTTAGAGTGACAGTGTGGGTAGCGATCTCAGTCCGCAGTTCGTCTTAGCCTTAGTGCAGTGTTACCTCCGGGCTTTTGGCTCGGATGAGATTGATCGTTCAGCATTCACAACCTGCACACGTCTGTTGGGCGCAATTTCAAGATATTTTTGCATTACATTTACATGTTGATCCAGAATATTTCCGATGTATCGATGAGGCGCTGCAACTTTGCAGAATACGTTTTCCACACATGACCAAAAACCAGCTGCTTCAGTACGCCTAGATTGGTAACGAGGATGAAAACAGGGCTGACATTGCGCATGTACAAGATGTCGGATTGATACTCTTTCCTTCCTCCGTTGACATTGGTGCTTCTTCTTCATGATCATAAATTTCCCTGACAAGAGCATGTACATGACAGACTGCTCCTGAAGCATCAGAATTGCACAGTTGAAATTGCACCAAACATGTTGTGACCATTTGGTTTCAGCTCAAGCTTGGCACTTCAAATAAGTAAAGACATGATTCCGCTTAGAACTTCAAAACTCCAAAAGTTGCTTGTTTCGTCCTACTTAATGGCCCTATCGGGCCCAGTGTGTGTGTGAATCCTGCTATCACATGCAGGCACAAACTCATATACATACGTACTTTAACCCTTGAAGTGAAAGCAGAGCAGGGGGCCACGGCTCCATTCATCAGTCCGTGGCCAACGAAGCTACTGATGTTTGGAGAGGATATGCAGTCTGATCAACTGCACGTACCTGCGAATCGAACTGTTGATTTCTGTTCCTCTATGACGCTGTTTGCTTTAAGAAAGAATTTCACATTTCGTACTGTCTCCTCTATTACTTGCACTAGCAGTTTTTGATTTTCTGAGCTCGTTCGGGAGCCTTCATGTATTGCGCTGACATGGCATCGAGCTTGTTCGGGAGCCTTCATGTATTGCGCTGGCATGGCACTGAGCTCATTTGGGAACCTTCATGTGTTGCGCTGGCATGGCACCGAGCTGATTGGGGATCTTTCATGTTGCATTGGCGTCGCACTGAGCTATAGTTTGGAAATTTTCATATAGTGTACTTGCATAGCATTGAGCTGATTCGGGAGCCTTCATGTGTTACATCGGCATGGCACTGAGCCATACTTTAACAAAAAAAAATATGTATTGTACTTGCATGGCATCGAGCTGATTCGGGAGTCTTCATGTGTTGCATCGGCATGGCATTGTGCTATAATGTTTAGCGGTTTTTTATGCATTGTGCTAGCATAGTACCGAGCTAGTTTGGAAGCTCTCCTGTGTTACAGCGGTTTGGTAGAGTAGGGTGCAATTTCTATCAGCAGTGTTGGCCAGGTTTCTAAGGAATTCAAGGCGAGAACGAGATCATTCACATGACGGTCCATTTCAAACCCAATTCAGCAGTGTGTGTATGCGATTTAAAATCCATTATTATGATTGTTTTTTGACTGACACTTTTAATTATTATGATTATTGGTGTTATCATCATTATAAATATATATATATATATGTATATATATATATGTATTACATACATTGTATGTCCCATTGTACGTCCCAATTGCATATCCCATCCTACGTCGCATTAATTAAATATCTCCATTATATCATATCATGCACAATATCTATCATATATCTATCATATATCATCATAGATCTATCAAACATCTATATTATATATATACTGTATACATATCCATCATTTCCAGTTGATATTCCCAGATCCCAGTCGTCGCCATGTGCCATGACCCGCCAAGTCGCCGGTCGCACGCCGGTCCCCAAGGCGTCCACGGTTCCAGTGATCTGCCCGCGGATCGTCGGCACCAACCAACCGTCGAAGGAGACCTCGACAAACCCGATGGAAAGCGTGAGATGGCATGGTGCCAGGTGAGTTTTAAATGGTGTTTAGCTATAGTAACTCTATATATATATGTGTGTGTGTGTTACCAGTAACTATGGTTTATGGTATAGATACCTGTAACATATCAATAGACTATAGATCATATATGATAGTATGATATAAGATCATGGAGTTTACCATTAAACACGGTTTGCGGGATCCCCCCCAAGGAAACAAACTGATGGTTTCTCTATATTAATTAAGGAAAAGCAACCAAAAACAGAAACCCCTGTTTTTTTTTCCTGGCTCATTGGGATAGAGAGGCCGCATTTTCATGGATTGTAACATTCTTTTAGCGCATTGATGGGTTGAAAGGTCGATGAGCATCCTGCATCGTGGTTTCAATTCCCAACCGGGACCATCGTTGCGAAGGGATGGAACATCAAATGTTTCGCACTGGGCGGAACGGTTGCCATCTGCCTGAAGCTGTCTTAAATTCAAGATAATTCACCATAATTCATCATAATTCATGATAATTTCATCACAATTATTTCTCAAACTTGGTGATTCAACAAAAATCATGATAATTCATCGTTTTTTTGTGATGTTCAATAGGACACTCATCTTCCAAATCTTTGCATATTCCTAGCGCATCATGTTATCCCGTTGGATGAAATTAGGCCATTGGAAGGTAGTTCCCCGAACCAAAGTCCTATCATTCCGGTGACATCACCACGTGAGCTCACCATAATTAATCCAGACATAATAATAGTTCCATAATATTCCATGATTGATAATCATTCCACCTTTAGTGATTGATAATTATGATAATTATCATTCCACTTTCAAAACAAAATAATCCATGATTGATAATTATTCCACTTCTATGCCCATTAATATGCCATTAATATCCCATTCTATCCAGTTCCATCCACATGGCAACACCATTTCTATTGGTGACATCACAGTGAGATCACTACAATTCACCCAGAAATATAGTTCATGCCCGTCCCCATTATATAATATTATATACCGTATTATATACCTACTCAGTTACCCTCTGGTAAACTAACATAACTATGGAAAATCACCATGTTTCATGGGTAAATCAACAATTTCTATGGCCATTTTCAATAGCTTTTTGTATGTTTACTTGAGGCTAAATTTCAATCAGCTTCTGACTCTTCTGCCAGGCCCCTGCGCTTCCGCAGTGAGGACCGGACTTTGAACTCTGGATTCGTTCCAAAGCCCCAGCGCGGCAGCAAATGTTCCCTGACCTACCAAGGTTTCACGACGTATGCGGAACTTCGTGTTTTGTACAAGATATATTGATAGATATTGCGCTATCGATTTCATGGTTCTCTCACTTTTGAGATTCTTGGCGAGATATTTATGTTTGCGTTTGTTCGGGTATTTTGTTGTTTGTTCGAATACTTGTGACTTGATGTTTCTTATTCTGTCTGTTTGACATTTATTTATATACTTCGTGGACCGGAAATTTCAAGCACAACTTCACAACAACACCACCAAAACATACTGTGGATGGTAAATCCTGCGTTCGTAGATTCTTTGATGATTTCTATTGATTTCTATTGATTCCTCCCATGATAGCCCTACTATTCCCAGTGGTTCATAGGAATCCCATGAACTCAACTGGTCAATTTCACACCCAGCCATAGCGACCCGTCCGAAGAAAGATCTGTAGCGCCTCAGCGTCCGCGGTGCCGTGGGCCAAGTTGAAGCGCCGAGAGCAGTTCACCAGGCAGTGCCAGTAGGACTCGGACCACCACAACCTGACCCGGTGACACTATGGAGCCTTCCTCTGGGATATCAATATACCAACTATACATGGCAAACAAAAAGATCATGGTGTTTTCTTTTAATGGGGACATGACCAATCAACCAATCTTGGGGATTCACAGGGATTAACCAACTATGATTGAGGCATATATATATATATAATAATATAATTCACACACAATATATATGTATATGTATATGATATAACTTAACATTATATAACTAACAACAGCGGAGATAAGGAGATAATCCAAGTATATATATATATAATTGGAGATATACTGGATGATTGATGATTGTTGTATCTATTGATTTGGGGAGCCCATACGGAGGTATTTCATATTAGAGGGATGGTATTCTATGAAAAAAATGATGATGAGATGTCAATATGAAACTTAGACATGGAAAATCGGTATATCATGCGATTGAAAAAATGCGACACATGATGTGCGGAGGCACATCACCATCCAATTTATGCATTCTCAATGCGTAAAACAATGTGAAAAACGCGCGAATCTTCGACCCACAATGACAGTCCCACCTTCTGGAATGATGTAAGCTTACCCAACTAATGGAATCGTCTGTGGTTGGTGTTTCTTATTCATGATGTGTTTACCACACATTGATAGTCACTAAATGTCACTCACCTCACTAAAATGCTATAGTCTATAGGCTATAGTCAATTTTGATCTTGGATATACATATAGTCATACTTTTCACATTAGACTCCCTATTTTATACCAAGTAACCTTCACTAAAACAACTATATATAGCCCACAGTCATCTATAGTCACTTTTGATCTTGGCTACGTTCATTTACCTATTTATATTCCCCTATAGGCCCTATATGTAAGGCTTCCTGCAATGGAGGTATCCCCAAATCATCCATTTTAATGGGATTTTCCATTATAAATTAAAAACCATGCATTTTGGGTACCTCCATTTATAGAATCCCCATGGATCCCCTATATCTACCCCTGGGGTTTCCATACATGGCCGTGCTCCAAAGCCACTCCCGGAGCTCGTAGAAGACCTCCGGCCGCCCCGGGGCGCCCGCATCACAGCGCTGGACGATGTATTCCTGGGGAGCGGGCTCGGTGGAAGGGAATGCTGCCGTGGAGACCCTCCAAGTGTCCATAACTTTGGCGAAACATACACCAGTTATGAGTAAAAGTGGTTTTAACATGTTTTAACCATCTTGAAACATATGATAGTCAATTGGGATGATTATTCCCAATATATGGAATAAACAATGTTTGACACCACCAACCAGACCAGCTATGAGTAAAACATAGTAAAACAATGCTTCTTCATGGCACTTGGAGGGTGTAGAGGTGCAAGCTAAAGAATTTGGATGAATTTGGGTTTGGATTTGAACAGCTGCGAAAAAACATCAGCACATGTCGATCAATTTGGTTTTCACCAGCTCAACTTGGGGGATTTGATCCACAGCTACGTGCAAAAAACTGCGGCCCTGAAACAGGCCAATTTTTTGCGTGTTCGAATATGGGGGACACCCAAAACTTTTCACCTTGGGGAAAACATGGTTAATAGCACTGGATTTGGGGATGCTTCACATTTTTTGACCGACCAATTTTTCGAGAGGCCCATGTTGGATTTCAGGCAGCTAAGAAGCAATGATGGGCTTGAAGCGGGAGAGGAAGGAAGCATATCTCGCTTCAAACCAGATGCGACCTTTGGCATCTGAAAATCCAAAACGCATGATGATGAAGAGGTTGATGTCGTAGAAATAGCCTCAATGTGAAGGTCACGTAGCAGTGAACTGCATGAGACCTACAGTGATCTACAAGTCGGCTTGTCGTTTTTTTCTGTGAAAACGATCAGCAGTCTTTGAAATCTCTGTGGGCCACAGTTTTTGTGAACCAATCTCTATGACACAGCGTGTGTGTGTGTGTATGTGCGTGTGCGTGTGCGTGTGCGTGTGCGTGTGTGTGTGTGTTTTTGTGTGTGTGTTGTGCATATACTACATATACGATTGAAGTGCGCAACTTGTGTTGGGTTGTCTTTGTCTGAACATGGGAGACCCCCAAACCCAATGAATTATCGGATGATTATTGATTATCATGGACATTCATGGGCTATCATTCCTTTCCTTCTGAAAATTGCCATGTGGGAGGATACCCCATTTCCAGGAAAATCCAAATCCTAGGTCCAACATTCCCAGCGACAGCCGGGCCAAACCCCTGCCAGCATCTGCAGCTAGAGAGCCAACATGACGCCGCTCCGCGTCGTACACGTCCACAAGTTTGGTGAATTGGATCAAGAGGTATTTCCTGAGAATCTATCATTCTGGAGGTTCTTAAAATGGGGGATCCAAAAAATCCAAAAACTATATGTTTCAATACTAAAATGGTCTAATTTTGGATGATTTGGGGGTACCCCCATGCTCGGAAACCTCATTTCTGGCTGAATGTTCATCATGTTTCATTTGAAAATAGCTGAACACGTGGCACAAACAATGCCAAACATCCATTAGCCCCCAAAACTACCATGCCAACCGGTTCCTGTCAGGCCAAGACTCCGCTCGACCAGGGTGAAATTTGCGGGCAGCAACTGGCCCTCATAGGGCGGATCGATGTTTCTCAAAATGTCAGGATCGCAATGTAAATTTCCTGAGTTCACAACGGCGCTTATGACTTGAGTTCAGGGAAACCCATGAAAACATACTTAAGAAGCTTTAAGTTCATCTGAACCATATATATACCTGGAGTCTCGGAAGTACCTGTTTTTTTTGCTTTTTCCCCAAAAAGATGTTTTTTATATAAAACGCATTTTTACATATAGTTGACCTTTTTTTATCTTTTGGGGGGTTATGCCAAAAAAATACAGGCATCTTCCGAGAATCCATGAGGGGATTCACTACATCGCAGCCCTGTGGATCAAACACACGATTGGTGTGGCCTCTTGGCCATCTTCCCTGAGGCCTGGATCCCCCGCCTTGCTCTCTTCTCCATTTATTCAATCAGATCAAAGAGATGCCACTTGTTTATCCATGAATCCTATGAGTCATTTAGGCTCTGACAGGGTTCTGGTGTTTCCATAGCAATGGAAGCCTTTGTCATGAAGAACCCGGAGTGTGGCACCCAACTTCGTTTGAGAGGCCCGTATTTAGAGAAAGTTTTCATCACACATGTTTTACTGTAGATTACATGGAATTCCTTGTTTTATGTCCCCCTCATATGCCCAGGCTTACATGAGCTGCCTGATTCGTTCTGGCAAGAGATCATGAACATCCTGTACCCTCCCAAGGTTGCAAAGCTTAAGATGGTCATGGAAGTATATGGAAGTTTGTATTGGGAAGTAACAAGGCACATTTGATATCACATGACTTTGGTATAGTTTGGGACCCTCTGAGCTCAGGCTGGTGACTTGACAATGGAATATTTCCAGACCATGATCTCGAATTATGACTCCGCTGGCCTAGTTTGTCACCTGGTGAAAAAGCACCTTCGAGGAGCCAGCTTACTTAGATAACATGTCAAAAAAAAACGGGATATACCCTAAGCATGCCCTGCATTCACATCCATGGATCCTCCCAGGAGCCTCCTGGTCAGCCGCTTGTCTTTTGAAACTTGCGAAATGTGAGCAGAGTCTGGTGAAACAAAACTGACGAACGACGTTTTTTCACACATCTTTCCAACACAGGTTTCATACATTGGATCTAAGGACTATTCCTCATCTGGATCCTTTGACGCGTAGATGGGATACATTTTGTACCATATCTCCTAGGGGATTTGAGCTGAATGTCAGCTTGCCGATACAGTGCAATAAAAAAACAAGCTCAACTCCTACGCACTCTTAGTTTATGTGTCAGTTCATTCAATATCCCTTTGGGTTTCTATCATCCCAGAAGATTACCTATAGTATACCATCTCATTCCAACTCCCTCGCAGGTGATTTCAGCCTTTGGCCTTCGATTGGATCTATTGGATGGTTCGGACCCCCAGGGTTTAAGTGGAGCCGGGGGAAAGCACACAGGATCTAAAACATGTCAAAAGTCAAAAGCATTGGCAGCGGTTTGTCAACTAAACCCCTGACCCGCAGCCATCCAAAGTCGCAGGTTCACCAGGTAGTCTCATTGCAGCATGGCAATTGTCAGGGCTGATGAACCTGAGCCAGAGGATCAGGTTCCGGCAGGCTTGTCTCTTTCTGGGCTAGCTGAAGACTGGGAAAGTGATCTTGGCATCCGTCACCGTGCTCGGCAACTTGGGTCTCTTCTGAACTGGGGCGAGCCTAATAAAGTTGGCATCCCAAGCATGATTCTCATCTTAATTTTGATACTTTTTTGGGATCTGTGTTATGTTCTTCCATGGGAGTATGTCCTCGGGTTTCCAATTGTAATACTTTACGATACTTTTATGTTTTCAAGACATGGCTTACTAATCTCTAAGGGTCACCGTGGAGACCAACGCTGATGTTCTCAAGAAAGCTGCGCTGAAGTGGGTGGCAATTTTTGACTTTGAGGGTGGTGGCTCTAGACCCAAGACCCTGCCTCTGAAGTTGGTCGTGGCTGAAGTGGACTGGATAAGTTCAGCATTTTTCCAATTATCTTTCCACTCAAAATTGGAAACAAAAAATCAAATAAGGGACCATCAAAATAATCGAATGTCCTAGGTCGTGCAGTTCTGGGTACTCATGGACGGCAATGAGAATAGTGCTGGAGACAAGTCAACAGCCCGCTATGCTGATGCATGGGGCATCCGCAAGTTGATCAGTCACTGTCTTAGAAATTTGCGATTGGAGCGCATTCCGCGGGCTACTTGCACCAGCTACAGGGGTATACCTTTTTCTTTATGTTTTTTGGGGTAGTGGCACTTCCTATTTGTCTATGCCCCATTATCCCTTTGTCCATGGTTACTCCCGTTCCAGATTCCACATTCCCCGCTACTGCTGAGACTCCTGGCACACGAGAGCTCATGAAGATCTTCCTTGATGCTTGGTATCCTGGTAGCCCGGCACAGCTTGCACTGGACAGCAACCAGGGTGAAGAGGACTGGGGGTAAGCAAACCATTGTTTTGGGAAATTGTTATCTATATAATATGGGGCCCTTTTATAGTATTTCAACTATTGGTTTTAAAAAACAAAACGGTGCAGGAGGAAGAACCTTCTGATCATGAGTTCCCGAATGTGGGACCTTTCCATGGTGATGAGTTACCTATTGAGGACATGAATGCGGAATCAGCCCATCAAGAAAATGATGGTGAGGACTGTGAGTCTGAGTGTGAACACACGGATGACCCGGTAGTTGACTTACCCAATGCTGAAAGCCCTGGCCCTCAGTCGGTGGTTGCTGAAACTATGATCGATACCTCACCGGATGTTCTCATTACCCATGAAGTTCCAGATGAGACCCCAATGGAAGCCTTTGAAGATGGACAGGGATGGTGGAATACTGCCTCTCCAGGCCCCAGCCCTGCCCCTGCTACAGCAGGGAACGGGATGCCCTCTTCGAATGATCCGAGTACGTTTGAAACGTTGCCCTACAACCCGGATAGCGTGAACATGGATGGATCACCTAGTGCCACAGCTTCCCCTTGTCTATCTGAGATCGATCAAAGGATTGCTTTCCTGAAGATCTTCGGTTTTATAATCACCGTATCGATTTCTATTTCCCATATTGTGGTTGGATACTTTGGAAGGGGGTTGAAATTTCTAAAGCCAGTTTATCAACTCTACCCTGGTAGCCCTTGTCTCCTGAGGATGCGCTTGGGCCACCTCCCATCTTCCAGCTCTTCTTTGGGATCCTGCCCAAGTCAAGTTCAAGCGGGACGGGCTTTGCCATCAGGCAAAGGGTCTGAGGTCACACCCTTGGGTCCACACCTAGTGTTAGTGGAAGAGTCTCAGCCACTTGAAGAGTCCCAGCCATTGCCAACACCTGCTGAGCCAGCCAGACCTTTGAACATCTATGAGCTGAAGTTCCTGGAGAAAGCAGGCGCTCCTGTGCCTGAAACGTTGGACCTCCCACCTAACCAAGAGGAGATGGGTGAGGAAGACCCCAAGGGCAACGAAGCAGGGAATGGCACGGGTGAGGATGTTGAGGTGGAGAGTGAGGAGACAGGTGATCAGGGAAAGATGGAGGAAGTTGGGGAGAAAGGTGTCCACGACGATGACCTCCCCGCAGACCCGGAGCAGATAAGGCTTTTGAAGTCCCAGCCAGCTGACATGATTTGTGAGCCAGCCCCTCTTCAGCAGCCTCAGCCTGCTGTTGGTGACAATCCCCCTCAGCCGTCTCAGCCTGATGTTGATGGCAGTGGCCACCACATCCTTGATAATCTCGCTAACAGAATTCTCACCAGGGCCGCACAGGACCAGTTGTATGTTGAGAGGGGTGGGAAGAAGAGAGGCCGAGCCAAGGGATCAGGTAAGGGAAAGGAATCAGGAAAGGGCAAGGGCAAGGGTCGTGGGCGTGGGCGTGGGAAAAAGGAGGTGAAGGAAGCACCAGCACCCCCCAACAAAAGACCAAGGAAGGACCGACTTGCCAAAACTTTGTTTCACAGTGGTGATGAGGGATGCCAAGACCAAGATGGTTCTGAAGCTCCACAGGCTTCTGAACCTGCCAGTGCATCAAGTCGCAAGCCACCTGCCCGAACAAGGGCACCTCCCCGCATGAAGAGGCCAGCAGCAGCCAAGAGAGCACCAAGAAAGCAGACAGCAGGTCAGAGTGCAGAGCCAGAGCCAGCACCCTCGCCAGCACCTGTGGCAGAAGCGCCATTGGCAGAAGCACCCATGCCCGCCCCATCCGCAGAACCTGAGGCAGAGCCTGCCCCCGGCCGACGATCGGCTGCCAAGGCAAAGGCAAAGGGAAAGGCAAAGGCGAAGGCAAACAAGCCGAAGGAGCCAAAGATGCCCTCCAAGGACGACAGACCGCCCATCCCTATGTTTGCCTCTTGCACTATCGTCCCCTACTGGTCTCGCCCAGCCTGTGGTTTGAAAGTTCCAGTGCGTTTGGGTCGACCAGAGACTGACCCTGAACATCTCAGCACCAAAGTCACCCAAGCTTTCTATGTGGGAGTCCGTGGAGCACCCATGAAAGAGTTGGTGGATGCTATTGCTGAAATCGTTTCTCAATTGTTAATTTGGATTCCGTTTCATTTTTTATCATCCATTATGTTGGGTTACCCTCCAAATTTTAATTAAGTTCCCATCCCATTATTTGCCATTGCCTTGCCTCGTGGGTCCAAGCTGAGGCATCGATTGTGGAGCAAGCTGGGTCCTACGAGCGCCAGGACATCAGGGCCCGATTCGCTCAGCTCAAGGATGGCTTGAAGCTGAAATATACTTAGGTAAGCTTTTCCCCGGGACATGACAACGCATGACCTTCCCAGTCGGAGATGACTCTCGTGATGTAATTCTAGAAGAAAACCCATACTACCAAAATCCAATTTCCATATCATGATTTTACCATTATTTGTTTTGGGGTGGTCAGCTCGCAGTTGTCCCTGCAAAATTTGCAGATCCGGACATTTGAGGTTCGTCAAGTTAGTTTGACTTTTGGGCCTGGGATACATTGCCACCTGTGCACCCATAGCAACACGGGGTGTAGGTGTGTGCCATGTGATTTGAGTTCAAGTCATACTATTGGAAGTTAGATTGACAGCGATATGTGTGGGACCATTGGTGCATTAGATCTTGATTAGATGCGCGTCGCACCAGTGAAAAAAAAGGTTCAGAGTGCTTTCCTGGGTGGTACTGCAGAAATTTCTGTATTCGAAGAATGAAACACATTGGTATGAACAAGTATGCATGCATCACAATAGTGTCACTCTGCTGAATAAAGACCCCCAAGACTTGGTGTCATCCTTATCATGATTCCGAGGTCTCATGGTTTGTTCGCTATGGCTTCAACCGGCGTGCCCAAGATCAACGTAGACAACGTATGCCTGGCTAAATTATCAAGTTGTCAAATTGAGTGGCAAAACAGCGGCGCTAAGAATTCCATTCTGATCCAATCATTTCCTTCAGCTTGCTGCTGCAACCTTTATTTTCCAAGCCCTAAAACAGAAACATTCATTCAAAAGCAGTTTTAAAGATACCCAAATGCATAACCATTAATCAAGTCAACAAGAGAACATTTTGCTATTTATACTTGTTCACTTAGTCTGCATTTATAGCACCATGGTGATGCGATCGGACTTGGATTTGGTCATCCGAAGACTCTTTGCTCTGAAAGTTCCTAAAGCCGGGAGCATAGTTTCAAAGTTTGCAGTGAATTGAGGATGATTATGATCAATGGATTCCCTGTAGCTTCAACAATTATATCCTGAGGTGTTTATCACTATTATTCTATTGCTATCCTGGACGGAGTTCTACCAGAACCGAGATCTCTTGGATACAGTAGATTGCTTCGCTGGAGCCGCAAGGGTTGCCAAAATTTCTCGGGGTCTTGGTCGTAAAGCAGTGGCTTTGGATGTGGGATATCATCCAAACAAGAAAGTCTTTGATTTCAATGATTCAGCTGGGTATACGTTACTTGACTTATTCTTAATTATTCAATTTTCATTACCCTGGACCCCAATAGGGATTCCCCAAACACCAGAATTTTCAATATGGTTCCCAATTTGGTTTCATCGCCTGCTTTCCCAAGGCTTGGGCTGTTGGCCGTGCTGGACGGAAAATTCGAAGATTTTTGGGCTGCTTTAGGCATTTGTTGTTCGAGCTGGGTGGTGGCATCACGAGGTTCAACCGGTAGATCATGGATATGTCCTATGGGATGTTTACTTCATGGCAGTGTGACTGCTGCCAACCGAATGGTATCAAGGACGGTGGCCGGGAACATTACATGATTTTGTTGGGCTCAATCCTGGCCCAACCAAAACCCGAAGTCCTTTGATTCTCGTAACTCACCATGGCAAGCCTGGGCATTTGTGAAGCTGGTTCACCATGATAAAAAAAGGTGGTTCCATGACATGAAATATTATATAGTGGTACGTTGGAATCCGGGGAATATCAAAACACTTTATGACCAATTTCAATGATATTGGAATCGTACCAGTATAGTTTATCATCAAGAAAACCTGTTCCCTGAAGGTGTGTTTGCCTCCTACTACTTCTGCTGGCATGCGGGGCAGCATGGTTCTTGGAACAACCCCATTCCTCATTGCTTTCTCGGCATGACAGGTTTCGATGGATGGTGAAGACTTTGCAGAACTTGGGTATTCGGGTAGCTCAGCAATCTCTCCAAAGGAACTGGATTTTAAACCATTTGTCATTTTCCAAAAGAGAAAATCATACCCTTTAGACTGTTGAGGGGGGTTTTGGGACCGATGTTTACATACGACCTATAAGTTTGAAAGAATAATTGAATGACCCCAAATCATCATCAAATAAAATAAACTTTTCTTTGTAGAGGGAGCAGTTGGAGCCTGAGGTCTTTTACCAAACATTTTGGATGAGAGCGTGGAACCACCCAACACCCAAGAGGAGCGTTGTATACAGCCCATCCCCACTTGTCAAGCAGCTGGACCGGGGTTCTATGAAACGGGCTGACTTGAAAGGCGACATGTCCACAACAGATCGTTACTTAGATGCTGCTGGGCGTGCCCGGTTCAAAGGCAACAAGGCCTTGAAGGGTACCCAGTTTCTTGATTTCAATGACAATTATTGGTTTCCTGATTTGGTTGTAGTTATTCCCCTTTCACATTCATTTTGATGAGGCTCCCTGCACAATAGTTCTCCAAAGCTTCCCAAGCTGGCATCCAGTGCCTTTGGCGTGCCCAGGCTCTATACTTGGAAGTATGCAGCGAAGGTGGTTGAACTGGGGGAGCTGTCCAAACAGGAAGTTCGAGATATCATCCCTGATGTTGCTAGGCTATGTTAGGACACCATCAAAATGTTTGTCTATAGGGGATGCTTTGGGGCTATTGGATACGATTGGTTAAGCCACCTTTTTGTGGGGTTGTCTTCTACGAACTGTAGTTGAGGTGGATACAACTTCAACACTCATCGACATGTACAAGAACTATCCATGGGGTGATCTATGGTGTGAAAGTGGTCTTACTGAGGTAGCCCAGTACTTGCGAGGCAGTAAAAAGATTTCCATTCCCGTTGAATGGCGGGAAGTACTTCCTGACTACGTCCTGGATGAACCCATGGAGGTCTAATATCCTGTTAGGAGCTTTTTTTACGAAAAAAACGCATTTTTTGACACGGTGATTAGGGGGACACCTTGGCAACCCGTCCCAAACGCGGAAATATCCGTCCAAAACGCGGAAATATCCGTCCATTCTGGACGCGTCCATGTGGAAAAAAAGGTACTGTCCTTTTTTTTACAAAAAGTACTTTTTTTGCACCGTCCACACCCGTCCATGCCTGTTTGATACCAAATAATGGGCTAATTCCAAGTAAAAGATCGGCCCCACGATGTAGTCTAAACCAATCCAAGGATCAATGAAAAGTCTGGGTTGAAGACTGAAATTGTGGTTCTGGGTCCTTGTGCCTAGGGATGAGGGAGCCAATCTCGAATCAATATCCAATTTCGCAGTTCCATTTGCAATTTCAAATTTGTGATATTGCCTGAAATATAATAATGGATTCTAATTTGCATTATGGCCAATCAAATTTGAAATTCATCATGGAACTGCGATTGAAAGGGTAAAAATACCAAACATCAGAGAAACAATGTGTCCATTTGAATTTCCTTGATACCCCACATTGATTTACCAAGAGGGCCACCCTTGATGAATGGATTCCCTTGTTGGGTTTGTCTATACTTCAACAAAAACTAATGGTACCCAAACAAGAATACCACCCCAAAGGCCCCAAAGGATTCCAAACAGTCCCCCTGAATATCAAAGAGCTTGGAGTTTGGGAATTTCTATATCAAGTTATATACAATATCTCTAACCTTGATTCGTTATCTACTTCAACCCAATGAAATATCTTACATCATTTTCATTGAGTAATTATATTTCCTGGGGTGCAATATCAAATAATCTATGTCATAGTTTTCTGTGATTTTTGTTCTTGATAATTGGATATAAAAACACTCGATGGTTCATCAGTGGGTTCTGCATATGGAGAAACCAATGCTACTATAGCTGCTCATTTCCATATCATAGAAACACACAAAAAGAACACAACAATTTGTTGTTTTGGGGTTAAAAGTGCAGAACCTGCTTTGGCGTCATAGTGCTGAGATCCCAGCACTAAGTGCTGCTGCGGCATGACCTGTAGCCAATTGCAGGAAACCGCTTTGCCAATTTGGAGCTGTCCAAAACATTAAAGCGGATGATTTTTTTGGTTTAACCGAAGATGTGTAATCCCAAGGGATGGCTTATGGGAATTATTTGGATTGAAAATTGCTATTGGCCCTTCACAACAGCTTCTGATTATATAGTCACCTATGATGTCAACCTAAAGAGCAAAATACATGGTTTGTATGGGGTGCTGGTCATGTGCGTTCAGATTTGTCAAGGTCCTTCCCCATATGTTGTATTTTCAATTGATGGGGTTACTCTTTTCGGATCAAATGGGAGATTTTCATTTCCGAAGTATCAGAAAAAGGCATTTAGCCATGGCCCACGCTTTGGAGTTAAAGCAAAGCAGGGCATTCAGCAATGAGACTTTAGCTTATGGCGTGCGGGAGTTGAGCCACCAGCATGTCAAGGTTGAATCCCCCGAGGAAAGGAAAGCCATGGAAGCTGAACTTCAGGACCCAATATTGTTGAAAATGGATTCAGGGATTCCCATTTATACTTCCATCACCCAAATGTTTCCATCCACAATGACATTAATGAATATAATGTTTGACAACAAATTATCTTTAGTTAGTTGAACCCCCATGTTGCAAGGCATCGTTGTTCAATCTTTGGTTGATGTACTTATCCAGCAACAATTGTTCATAGATGGCTGCCCCCCGAACAGGAACTTGAGCGGCTCCGTGAAGAGCAGCAGAATGCAGGTATGGTGCCTTCTCAGACAACTCCCTTGAAGGTGGCCAAGAAGCAGCGCCTCGGATCCCCAGGTCTAGCTCTAAAGAGTCTGGATTTTGATGGGGCAGCGCTTCAACAGAAAGAATCTCAGCAGGTACATGAAGTTGGGCTGGTGGTCATTTGATCACTGGGTGGCTTCAAAACAAAAAACATCTATCGTAATTCATCAAGTTGATGTGCTTTATTCATTCATAACTTTATTTCATGGGGACTTCAAAACCTAAGAAATCTTTCGCAATGAAGGTGAATTTCAAATGCTGTTTCTATACTCATGGAGGCCTCAAAACCACGATGCCTCTCCCAGTCATTATGATGTGGTTTGTCATTTCCATATTTCCAAGTCAACGTCCCTGTCAGGTTCCAAAGACTCCGGAGGCCTACCATGGGGGTGGAAGTGGGGAACCTCCTGACGCGAAGGATTTGAGAATTACGACTTTGGAAATGGAGCTTAGACACCTTCAGGCTGAGAAAACCGACCTTGAAAACCAGGTACTTGATTTGAACCAGCAGCTGCTTTCCCAGAAAAAGTCCCCTGAGAAACCAGATGGAAATGGACTTGACGATGAAGGGGATGTGAGTGACGCGGCAGTCAGAAAGCGCCTGGCCCGTCTTTGTTCCCGCAAAGCTGATGGGACACCCGGAATTGCTAAACCCAATATTTTTTGTATGTCTTCAACATGTCAATTTATTCAATATCCCGATATCTTTAAAAATGTTGTACTTACACCAACTCCCACCCATCAAGGGCATTACATGGTATTATTAGACCATCCACTCCATCACTCCACCTGATCTTGGTGCCCAGGACTATCAAGGTACCAGAATCGATTCACAAGGCCTGGATGGCCGGCGGAGCGGAGAGGAACCAGCTGATAAAGCTGTTTACGGATGCTGGGCTGGACAAGGAGACTGGGCAAAACAATTGACATATAAAATGCAACCCATTGATATCCAGTGTCCATTGATTATTGTTTTAATTTTTCATCAAATACCAGAAAAGAATTTAATAGAATTTAGGGGACCCTATTTGCAGGAGAAATTCGTGCGTCTGGTGGAGATTGAAGATGAGAAGAAGGAACAAATCAAATTGAAGTGTTGGGCGGGATTTGCTACTGAAGACAAGATGAGGGACGAATTGAAGTATAGTGCGTCCATCCCTCAAAAATACTTGCTACCTTTTATCATCAGAAAACAAGAAAGATATAATGTCCATCATGTTGTTGCACACCTTTGAGACTTTCTCACATTTCCTCTGGTCCCCAGGTCCAAGATTGCAGGCATCAAGGCGTACTGTGAGAAACGGGATGGATTCACCAAGTGCCCCGGCCAAAATCAAATAGTTAATTGACTAACTAATTTTCTCTTGATTCTCCACATGCTGGTTTCTTGATATCTGAGTAATCCGCATATACCGCAATATAATTTTTATTGGGTGACTTACTCTTGATCCAGGTGGGACAAATACGAAGCCAAAATGGCCTACTGGGTTGAGAACGAGGTGGAGGCAGAATGGGAGAAGACAACAAGTAGGACCAGGAGGGAAACCGGGGAATTTTCCGTGGAGACCACCGCTGCGGACGCAATGCTTCAAGCTGCGACACCCTTACAGATTGACATGCGAGGGTTGGCCAATTCAGGCTAGGGGTTCCAACCACAGTTCAAGAAAGAAGCATGTGTAAGGATTTTTGGGGTGGGGTCAATATTCATTCTTGTATCCCTGAGGTATGCCTTCTGGTGCAGGAGGTGCCTCAAGCGCCAGCAGGCCAATTACTGGTGCCCCAACAGGTCTTCCACCAGTTCTGCGTGATGAAAAACCATCCGAAGTTATTCTCAAATACATGGATGGGATTTTGAAGCGAAGCCAGAAGGTGAACGAATCATGGATCAAATTAACCATAATATAGCCTTACTCAAAAATTTCATAACAAACCCGGCTTGCATTTGGGCACCGGACGGTGCAGCTGATGGAGCCACATACTCGAACGCCGTGCCTGGGCACTGGTACTTGCAGCTGTGCAGCTGGCAGGCGAATCGATATTAGTGTTTCTTGTGTCTTTAAAAAATTGATGTAGCAAAGGCTAGTTACTATTTGTTTATATACATCATCCCAGGTTTTTATATAACACACATCTTATCATATCATATCTTTCAATATGTTCACAAACTATATGATATTTTTTCAGCTATGCGTCATCACGACACCACACTGGGTACGCCTAGGAGCTGAAAAGCAAATACGAAACCATTCCCGATCCAGAGCGCACTGCTGCCCATTCAGCGTTTCTTGTCCACGTGCTATAAATACAGAACTTATGCTGTAGCCACCCCATACAATCATACCATGAATCATAGTATCACAACTGACTATTATACCCCAAGGTTGATTACAAAGCTTGGGGACAAAGTCACGGAGCTGGACGATCTTCATGGCAAGATCAATGATGTGTATGCAAACGGAGCAGTGGAAGGGTACTCGGAACAGTCACTTGGACCCATTTTACAGAAGAGTTCATATGACCATCCAGCCATTCCAAAGTAAACAACAAAAACACATGTGACTCATATGACATATACCCTGCCAAGGCAAGAAGGAGATCTGATGGCGCTGTACAAGAAGGCTATGAAATCGTAGGGGCCTCACTGGTGCCTGATGAGTTACTGAATAGTTACAACAATACATGTATAATTGTAGATATATTATCTCCGTACTCCACCAAACATTGATAGATACTTAGTTCATACCAACTGCCTGCCAACCGCTAAGGTCTCAGGATTCCTTGGCTCTGGAATCCCGTTCCAAGGCCATTCCTGTTCCCAAGGCCAAGGCTGCTGCGGGCAAGTCCAAGGCTAAGCCCAAGGCTGTGCCAAAGTCTGCAGGACATTCCGAGGCAAAGGCAAAGCCTGCGCCGAAGCGACAAGCTAGGCGTTCAGCCTAGTGATTTTGGGTTTTCTTCCAGTGATGCCCCAAAACAACCTTCACAAGATGATGCTCTGGTGAGGGAGTGGGCAATAGGGTTTGGATGCGTCGCAGCCCCAGGCAATTGACCACTGGATAAGGATGCTTCTCAACAACTTATATTTTTTTAGTGGGGGCCTGTGTTTAAAAGCAAAAAGCTCTCGCCAGTGGAAATTTTGCTTGGTGGAAACCGCTACTTTGACCTTTGGGTGATTGTCTACATGACGGCCGCAAGAGAAAAAATTGAAATTATTGTATCATCAATAATTGGTCATTTGGGAGTTTCCTGAAATGGCGGTACCCCAAAATGGAAGGCTTTTAATGGGAAATCCTCTTAACATGTATGATTTGGGGTAACCCTATTTCAAGAAACCTTCAATCCTTCATATGACTTTTGCAACACTGTCCCCATTATGCCTCCTAAATCCTAAATGATTCATTTTCTTCCCATGCCAGGGGATCGACAACCGGGATTCCTTCTCAGAACTCTGGCACAGTCACTTGCTGATGGGGACTGGGCCTAAGATTCTGAAAGATCTGAAAGAGTAGTGATAGTTCAAAATATTTTTTGGTTGTGAAAGTTTGGAATCTTGCCCAAGCCCACCATATGCCCAAACACCCTGTGGCTGAGGCACCTGCGTGCCGCTTGAAGAAGCTTGCTCGGGCCGCCATAGTTGAAGCTGGGGACAGCCTTGGCACTAGAGTCTTGGAGAAAGCTGCAAACACCAAGTGTCTCCGAAACGCAGAGAGAGATCTGCACAATCTGTTCAGAAGGGAGGGGATGGTCGTTGCAGTCCGCCCTGAAACAGTTAGATTGGGAAAAATTGACCTTCCATTGATCTACTTGAGAACGTGGTTCCATTACTTGCTCGGTGCCCATCCTGAGTACCTTCTGGGTGGTTTCCAAAAAGATCAATCAGCACAGTTGCTGCTGAGCACCTATTGGGACAACATGGAGCACATCATGCCGGACCACAGTGTGTTTTCAATGTTTGATCGTGAAACCCGGTCTCGTTGCATTCCTTTCTACCTTCACATGGACGAAGGGGTATCCCAAAGGAAGAGAGCTATCCTAGTGATTGCAGCTCAGGGGTGCTTTGGACTGAACACTGCAGATCGCTACCGTGAAGCCTACAACCTTGCTGGGGTAAGGTCACGCGATGGCGTTGCCAAATGCATGTCAGGGGCCCAATTTCACTGCTCAAAGGGGAGCACTTTCAAATCAAGATTCTTGTTCACGGCGATCCCCAAGAAGAACTACACGAAAACCAACGATGATGTGTACCATGGGATTCTACGCCTTTTAGCTGAGGAATGTTGTTCCCTCATGCATTCTGGTGTGGTTAGCAATGGTACCAGGTACTACCCTATTTGCATGGGGCTGAAAGGTGATGGCCCGGCCTTGGGCAAAGCTGGGTACTTTACCCGCTACTTTGCTAGCATGGGGAGGGACCGTGGTTGCTGCCACGAATGCCTTGCAGGATGTGCGGGGATTCCCTTTGAGGATTGTCGCCCGGTAGCTGATTGGGTTAGTACTATCGGCCTTCAGGTTCCATGGCGGGAGGACCGTGTCAGCCCTCTTAGCCAGATCCCTGGGCAAAAGGAGTCACCGGAGACCTTCTACAAACCTGACCCATTCCACATCTACAAGCAATCCTTGGGAGGGTATTTCATTTCCAACAGCATTGTTTTGATCAGTGTTGACTTGGGGTTGTTTACAGCACCTGGTCAATCCACAGCTGTTCAAAATGTCTTGGACCGTGCCTACGCAGACTTCGAATTCTTTGTGAAACATGAGTGGAAGGGGAAAAACATCAACCATTTGAAGGCCTTCACCAAGGAGATTTTCCACTTTGCAAAGTTGGATTCTTACCCTTCTGCCCGTTTCAAAGGAAGTGATTGCATGATGTTGGTACGGTGGTTGATGCATCTCGTTTTGAACGGCCCCGTGGACTCTGACTATTTGATGCGCACTGGTCAAAATCTGTCGAATCAGCCTCGCAAGCCCTTTGAAGCCCAGGTGTTTGCCGAGATCTTGAAGGGAAGTGCTGGAGCTGTACAGTTTTTTCACATCCTTCACACGGAAGGGATGTGGCTGGCGTGTCCAGTAGCTGAGTTGCTTGCCAATTCATGTGACGATGTTTGCTCGTCGTACTCTACTCTAGCCAAATTGTGCTTTGAGAGGGGCTTGACCAGGTTTAGGCTTGAACCGTGCCTACACCACTTTGCTCACTTTGGGGTCAACATGAGAAAACAAATCATTGATGAATGCCCATACATGTTCAATGCGGCATCCCACCTGTGCGAAGCCGATGAAGATTTTGTTGGAAAGATTAGCAGGGGATCGCGAAAGGTCCACGCTAAATCAATGACACGACGGGTGCTGGACCGCTATCTTCTGAAATTATGGTTTGAATTTTCGACCTGAAACCTATGGTTATCAATGGTTATCAGGCTTTTATAGGAAAATAAAATTTGAATTTCCCATATTATATCATATGATATATCTTATATATATGATGCTGTTTTTTTTGGCTAGGTCGAATGTTCCAACTCCAATTGGGTCTGCACATGTGAGCTATCATGTGTGTGTACAGCGTTGCCCTGAGAATCTCCAACTGAGCAGGGGACACATTGGCTGGGAGCAGCATGGTGGAAAAGGTGCATTGAGCCACAGGCTTGACCGGTGCACTGCGTTCACCCACCTTATGGCTCTTTTTCATCTTGTTGGGCCTTTTTTATATCCAACGACCCTTAAAAAACGTGCTCAAGCATCAAGCGCAAAAATAAAGAGCCCACGGTGAGTCTAGGTATATATATATATATGTGCATGTATAATCACATGATCTTTTCTCAACATCTCAACGTTGTGCTGGTGTTTTACCATCAGAAACCAGAAACGTTTCCATGATCCAACCCTATCGCAAGAGCATCGAAACATACAGAAAAGATATAAAAAGTACTAAAAAGTCAAGTTTAAAATCGATTTGCATCCACCTAAATCTACCTCACACCCGTCTAAATCCCATGCGTGGTGTTCCACATGGGCTTAGGATCTAAACAAGGTCCTGAGCCGCCGAAAGTCGTTCTTTCCAAGCTGCTGGTGACACCAATCCAAAAAGCTACGGTGAACCTGCAAGGGCCCAATAATTTGACGAGTCAGGTTGGTTCTATATGGTCACATGGTCGTTGGTCGTGAAGTCATATGTTTCCTCTGTTTGGCTGCTTCAATCACCTATCCCGTGCTCCTGTGGTTTAGAATGTGTTTCTTCACTTAGGGTCGATTCTTTCTTGATTAATGTGGCACAGGCACTCAATAATTAATCCGAATTCAGTTGGGCTCATCATAATGTCCAAAAAGAACAAGAATTGAATGATATGGTCACATGGTCGTGCATTCTTTCTTTTACGTGGGTTTACCACATAACACCACCAACCTATACCCAACCAAGGTTTCCTCAGATCACAGGTGCCCTCTGGTGCCATTGCCATTCACAAAACCGATAGTTGATGTTCCAATATGTGTGCATCCACATGTTCCATGCTTACTCTCTGGTAAACTAACATAAGTACAGAAAAAAAAACTTTTTCATTTTACATAGCTATATAGATTATCAGAGGGTATGCCATATGTCTCCTATAGGATCTCCCCATCACCTGTTGCGCCACCGACCCGACCAAGTCACAGGCAAAAGAAGGACACCAGTCCGCAGCAACCATTGCAGCTTCGGGAACGACGGTGACCTGAGGTATCAACATGAGTGACGCGGAATCATTTCTTAGCACCATAGCAAAAATAGCTCAAAGTATAAAGAAAATGAAGTAAAATACAATGTTTAAAAAAATACATGTTGATGGGTTGAGATGGGTTGAGAATTGGTGTTCAAAACGTAGGGTTGATGGGTGAATGAAACAAATCCATTCACCCAAACATGGATCTAAGAAATACGTCCACATTGTTGGAGGTTTAGGAAACAAATCCAGAAAGTGGTTCACCCCAGTTGCTTCTAATCTTTCCAGCAGTTGGCACCACTCGGCGGAACCATTTTCATGGTTCACCTGAACCCTCCCCCGAAACGAGTTCAGATGTATCGTACTCCTCACTCCTCCTTCAAATTTGTTGAATTTTAAGCTTTAAGCAATGTTAAGCCAAGGATGTATCACTCAAACCAGGACCGCACATTAAAACATAGAAGTGGCGAAGCACTAGCCCGTTCATTGTGGATACCCAGTGAGTGAAGGCCAAATCCACATGGTCCATCATGGTCCCAACATTGAATTGGACCTGGAATTTCCACCAACCAATCCGTAAGCCATTCACCAACACACCCATGTGCCCAGGCAGCCGGCAGCGAAAACTGGCGCAGCAGTTGCCGTCCGAATCGTCCAGCAAAGGTTCGTCCATGGCAGAAACGGCTATACAATCTATACAGGGTAAAGATGAATGATTTCTGCTGGGTGGTTTCCCCCACACTGTAATTATTGACCCGTATCATTTTTTGGGTCAAATAATCTGGCAATGGAAAATTGCCAATTTATAGAATGATTTTCCTGTTGGGAACACGTTTTCCCACAATTTCAGGTTCGATTGATTGCCAGAGGGTATCCTTTCCAACTAAGTATACGTTATCTCATTATTATTGCCGGTTGTGTTTAGAAACCATTGATTGCTGCTTAATGTCAAGCTCCACATCAACACGAGTGAACACGCAATTCTGTAGGCAATCAGCCGCAGCGGCTCCCGAACACGTGGCCATCTTTGCGTTCTCGGGCGTGAGGTTCAAGCAGTTGTGGCCGATCATGCCGTCTGCTACTGCTCGCACTCTGTGTTTACACAAGGCAAGCATCCTGAATTTTCCTTTATGAAAATCAGCATTGGAGAAGCTATGAACATTCTCTAGGCACCTTTTCACGAAAGGAATTCAAGCAATGTTTCAACCACCACACAGGTATAGTAGATATGTGAAGACCGCTGTGCGCAGCGTCTAGGAGTGACAATTTATGTCAGTCGCTGGTGCTTTGTACTTTGAGCCACCTCAGCAACCGAAGCACCTGCATTTGCGCGGCAGACGTTGGCCAACAACTGCCCATCTGGCAAAACGAGCTGGAGATTTGGGAGGTTCACACTCAGTTCACGAGCAATCCTTTTGTGGGTCTCCCAGGCCGAATCAACCCCCTGTGCGGTCAAATGGAGGCGTTCTTCCCCAGCCAGCGTTGAGCATATCAGCTTCACAGCATCATCCTCATCCACAAACTCTAGTTGTAAAGCTAGGTCCGTGCCATATGTAAAATTGTCACGGTACATTCCCGACTTTGGCCATGGAATGTGGCATTGTCCGTGGTCATTCTTTCCGTCGGCAAAAGGACGGCCATCACTTTGGAGCAGCACCGTATAACTATGGCCTGCAGAGATTTGGTAGTACACCTCTCCGTCACCCAAAGGTCGGTGTTGGATACTACACTCTCCATCTCCATCGTCTCCGAAAGCAACAGCACAGCCATCACTCTGGAGAAGCACAGTGTGGAGAGTGCCTGCAGATGCCTGGGTGTATGCCATTCCTTCATCCAGAGGTGGTATCCTGCACTGTCTTTCTGAATCGCGTCCGATGGCGACAGCACTGCCGTCACTGCGCAGAAGCACCGTATGACTACCGCCTGCAGAAACCTGGGTGTATTGCATTCCTTCATCCAAAGGTTGGATGTTGCATTGATCCATTCTATTATTTCCAGTAGCAACAGCACTGCCATCACTCCGCAGAAGCACTGTATGAAGAATGCCTGCAGATACCTGTGTGTATACCGTGTTCTCGTCCAAAGCTGGGATGTTGCACTGTCCATGTCCATTGTCTCCAATGGCAACAGCACTGCCGTCACTCCGCAGAAGCACTGTGTGAGCATTCCCAGCAGAAATCTGGGTGTATGCCATTCCCTGATCTAAAGAAGGGATGTTGCATTGTCCCTTTCTATTGTCTCCAGCGGCAACAGCACTGCCATCACTTCGGAGAAGCACTGTATGACCACCGCCAGCAGAACCCTGGGTATATGCCACTCCCTCATCCAAAGCCGGGATGTTGCACTGTTCATGTTTATTGTCTCCGATGGCAACGGCAATGCCATCACTCTGGAGAAGCACTGTATGACGGATGCCTGCAGAAACCATGGCTAGAATCAAGGCCAATTGGATCTTGGATCTAATGTGTTGGTGACAGACATGCAGAAATACATAGAAATACACCAGGCCTAAGATCTACCTTTGAAAGGGGGATAGTCTACAGTACTTTCATCATAACCAAAACCTATCAACACCAGCACCGTGCATCAAGCCGACTGATCCATGGGGATCATCCAGGTTCGGCCGACTGAGTGGCTGAGTGGCTCCCAATTGGTCGATGTTTTGCGCTTCGAACACCAATCTCAATGGATTGGTTGAAGGGAAAATCTACCGGAAACCATGGTTTTTGCCATCAAATTGAATGGGGTTTCCTGTAAATGTTCCCATCATCCAATTCTATGACAGTCCAAGCAAAGTGCATAGAGCCTATGGAGTTCCACAGCCATGGTGTGAAATCGGCTTATATAACGTTGCGGTTTATTCAGAGTCACTCTGGGGGTTCGCATGAAATGTCTTGTGCTGTCGCTTGGCGAAGTTTGCTTAGGGAGCCCCGAAAAAATACAACAAAAAAATACTTTACTTCGTGTGATCCCCACCATGACATTTATACATTTTCTTACTGGCAAATCTTCTGGCATTCTATCTGGCATATCTTCTGGCATATTATCTGGCATTCTATCTGGCATATCTTCTGGCATATGATCTGGCATATCTTCTGGCATATGATCTGGCATTCTATCTGGGATTCTATTTGGCATTCTATCTGGCATATCTTCTGGCATTCTATCTGACATATCTTCTGGCATTCAATCTGGCATATCTTCTGGCATATATTCTGACATATCTTCTGGCATTCTATCTGACATATCTTCTGGCATATATTCTGACATATCTTCTGGCATATCTTCTGGCATATCTTCTGGCATATCTTCTGACATATCTATCTGGCATATCTTCTGGCATATTTTCTGGCATTCTATCTGGCAAATCTTCTGCCATTCTATCTGGCATTCTATCTGGCATATCTTCTGGCATATTATCTGGCATTCTATCTGGCATATCTTCTGGCATATCTGGCATTCTGGCATTCTATCTTCTATCTGGCATATCATATCTTCTCTGACATTCTTTCTAACTTTCTTCTGCACATTCTTTGTCCCATATCTTCCTACATGAGGTCCGGCAGGGAACACTTGGCGTGGATACTCGCGGTTGAGGTCCGGCAGGGAACACTGGGCGTGGATGGTCGTGGTTGAGGTCCGGCAGGGAACACTGGGCGTGGATGGTCGTGGTTGAGGTCCGGCAGGGAACACTGGGCGTGGATGTCGTGGTTGAGGTCCGGCAGGGAACACTGGGCGTGGATGGTCGTGGTTGAGGTCCGGCAGGGAACACTGGGCGTGGATGGTCGTGGTTGAGGTCCGACAGAGAACACTGTGGATCGCGGGTCGCAGTTGGACGAGGACGACGAGGACGACGAGGACGACGACGAGGAGGACGACGAGGAGGACGACGAGGAGGAGGAGAGGAGGAGGAGGAGAGGAGGACGAGGCAGGAGGAGGAGGAGGAGGAGGCAACTGACATAAAATCTAACAACCCTCACCTGGCAGGTGGGGAACAAAAACTGGCTGGTGGTTTCAACCCCTCTGAAAAATATATTAGTCAATGGGAAGGATTATCCCATATATTATGAAAATATGAAAAATAAAACATGTTTGAAATCACCAACCAGAAAAAGAACACATGGTGGATTTAACAGTGGCACACATAATTTTCAAGAATCACCATCAATCACCTTAATCAAACCAACATGTGGTTTTTCCAACTGCCTCAACGGAGTTCTGTTTGGGGCACGTTTCAAGCAGATAGAGAGCCGTGCCTTGGGAGTAGCCAGAACCGACCCTCTACATAGAATCTGGGATCAAGGACAACTAGGATAACCACACTGGTTGCAATTGGTTAGTAACTCAGGAACTGTAACTGGGACTATAACGGTTATAGTATATATATATGATTATACATGTATAACTTGACTGTAACTTCGCTCCCTCCTAAGCACCAGCTAAATCAGCACCAAATAGAATAGATGTGTCTCTCCACAAGATTTATATAGTGCAGTGGAAATTCCAGTTCTACACTGCCCAAACAATATTTACCCACTGGTAAACGTCTACATAACTATGGAAAATCACGATGCTATTAATGGGTAAATACACTATTTCTATGGTCATGTTCAATAGCTACGTAACAAATTACCAGAGGGTACCCACTTAAATCCGCCGACCCCAATGTGTGCCACTATTAAATCCACCATGTGTTCTTTTTCTGGTTGGTGATTTCAAACATGTTTTATTTTTCATATTTTCATAATATATGGGATAATCCTTCCCATTGACTAATATTTTTCGGAGGGGTTGAAACCACCAACCAGAGAGGGTACCCACTTAAATTCCATGAAATCCGCCAGTTCTGATGGTTGATTTCAAACCCAGGCCTGATGCCCCGATCGATGCGCCCGTGGTAGCGCTCTTTCTCCATGTCCTCGAAGCCGTTTAAAAAAAAAAAACGCATGAATTTGTGCATATTGAACCTAAACTTTAGCGTGTAAGCATAGCTTTCCTCCAAACACATTTGACAAAAGTCAAGTCTCACTACTTGTACAGGATTTTACTAACTTAACTACTATACTTAACTCTCTCTCTCTCTATATATATATATCTCTCTCTCTCTATCTCTCTCTCTCTCTCCGTTTTATCTGTTTTGTGCTACCTGTTCTGTTGTAGCCCACCCCTTGGACTCTAAGAGGTTCGTTGGTGTGGCCGCAGGCAGGTGTTTTGCCAGTATTTTGGGTATCCACCAGGATACCTGGCCCTCACCTCATGGCCCTTGTTTTGGCAGTGTATAGATTTGTCAGTTTTGCCACGCGACCTAGTTCCTTCAGACATCGGGAGGATAGTTCAATAGTTCCCTGATGAGGTTTGTTGTTGATTGTATGTGCCTCCACTTCTAGATCTAAGATCATCTAAGAGGAATTACCGTTATCTGTTTCTGGGCTTGCTGTAAACCATATACAAAGATAAGATGCTGGTTGTTTCCTCTGAGTCAGCTGTCAAGGCAACTAAATCCCGGTCATCTTACAAGGCCGATGCATCTGCCGCCTGAACTTTAATCCGGAAGCCCAACAAAAAACATTGGGCTAAGATGACCAAGCTTATATTACTTATATTTCTGGTTGGTGGTTTCAACCCCTCAGAAAAATATGAGAGTCAATGGGAAGGATGACATCCCATATATGAAATGGACAATAATCCAAATGTTTGAAACCAGCAACCAGAAAAAGAAGACATGGTGGATTTTACCTTGGCACACATAATTATAAAGAATCACCATCAATCACCTTAACCAAACCAACAGTTCAACATGTGGTTTTTCAAACTGCCTCATAGACATCCAGGTGATCCCCCGAAGCCAGACATGAACGACAACTCGCCAGGATCCAACGGGGGTACCCTCTGGTTATGACTAACGGTTTGCCATGGAAAATCAGCATTTTTAATAGGTAAACCATCTATTTTTATGGGCCATGGCTTCCATGGCTATGTTAAATAACCAGAGGGTAAGTCTAAGTGGTTTCCAACCAACAGTGGAGAAATAAGTTGATGTACACTCTGCTAATCTAAGCATATAGCTACGGAATGCTACGGAATAGGTTACCGGATTGAATCTACAAGATTGCTATGACATAGCCGAGCCATAGCATGCCATAGCAAACATTGCGCAAGCGCCTCCTGTGCGCGCCCATAGTCGTGGAAACTGAGGTGACGCCTGGGTACAAAGTTGCCACATAACTCCAGTGTCACCATATGGATGTGGGTCAAAATGGAAGACCTAGGGGACCACAGATGTTAGTCTAGTTTAGTATTAACCATCCAATTATTGGGGTACCTAATTTTGACCAATACCCATATGTTTTAATGATACTTATAACTTATTTATAACTTACAACTACAGATCATGGAGTTTAAACAATTACTTGCAACTGAGGGGGGGCCACTTTGCAGCCGTGGTCGTATTCGGGGCTTAGAGACTTTGTATGTATGATTGCGGGTGATTGTATGTGATATATGGATACCGCGTGCTGTCTCAGCCTATGATATGAACGTATGAAACGTGAAACATGAAAATCACACATGACATGTAACATGCCGCATACTAGTTGAAATCACAAAAATGAAATGACACAGCTGATATGAAACAAACAAATAGACATGACATTCCATATGACATTTGCATGATAGTACGTATAGATAATGCTTGGGAAGACCCACAATAGGACCACCATTCTCCTGGTCGCTTTCCATGACCCTACACACATGCGGTTTCGAAGGGGGAGTTCCTCCAACATAGTGCGATCTTACTTACTTAGGGGCGCAGTTCCACTTGTAAATGAATATATAACCATACTTAGTAAGGCTTATATCCCAACTTAGGGGTGTTATTTTCAGGTGTGTATCCATGTGAATAACCGCAAGTAGCTCCCGAATTTGGGATTTGTATGAAGAGTTGAAAACAAACTCCCGGGTGGTCAAACTGATCCGGAAACGGGAGTGCATTGCCAAGCATTTTGTTTTTTTTCATTGGCTAACCTTAGATGCCCGGCCACACAAATCACAATGTCGCATGTCCAAGCATGAGTTGCTCCGAACAATTGGAAGTTCATGCAGTTCATCCTAAACATAAGGAATTATGATAACTGCTTGATGGTTTCAACCCCTCTGAAAAATATGAAAGTCAATGGGAAGGATTACCATATATGAAATGGAAAATTACTTTACTTCGTGTGATCCCCACCATGGCACATCTTCTACATTCTATCTGGCAAATCTTCTGGCATTCTATCTGGCACATATATCTTCTGACATTCTATTTGGCATTCTATCTGGCATATCTTCTGGCATATCTTCTGGCATATCTTCTGGCATTCTATCTGGCAAATCTTCTGGCATTCTATCTGGCATTCTATCTGGCATATCTTCTGGCATTCTATCTGGCATATCTTCTGGCATATCTCTGGCATTCTATCTCTTCTCTGGCATTCTATTCTTCTCTATATCTTCTCATATCTGCACATTCTTTGTCCCATATCTTCCTACATGAGGTCCGGCAGGGAACACTTGGCGTGGATACTCGCGGTTGAGGTCCGGCAGGGAACACTGGGCGTGGATGGTCGTGGTTGAGGTCCGGCAGGGAACACTGGGCGGGGATGGTCGTGGTTGAGGTCCGGCAGGGAACACTGGGCGTGGATACTCGCGGTTGAGGTCCGGCAGGGACACTGGGCGTGGATGGTCGTGGTTGAGGTCCGGCAGGGAACACTGGGCGTGGATGGTCGTGGTTGAGGTCCGACAGAGAACACTGTGGATCGCGAGTCGCAGTTGAGCAGGAGGACGAGGAGGACAACGAGAGGAGGAGGACAACGAGAGGAGGAGGAGGAGGAGGAGGACGAGGAGGAGGAGGACCAGGCAACTGACATAAAATCTAACAACCCTCACCTGGCAGGTGGGGAATAATCCAAATGTTCCAAACCACCAGTGATAAACCATGATGTTTTATGATATTTTGGGGTCAAGTTATGTTCACTCAACCCTCTTGCGATTCAACTTGATTCAACCTGACGTCGTGGTTGACATTTCGGAGAATCTCCAAGGGCGGCCCCACGGAGGCAGCGATACGCGGGGCTGACTCGACCTAACCCAAGCGCTGGTCGAATTCATTGCTGAAGCACTGGTGTCACTAGTGATGTACTTGGGATATTTTGGAATATCTTGACAAAGAAATAAAATAATCTATAATCTTGATTGGTTCGAGTCACACTTTCAATGTTTTTCCTATCTCCGCCTTCATGAACGCGAAGTGTGGACCCAAACATGAAGAGATGCCACCGGCTGATGGTTTCCAAACAGTTCAACCCCACCGCCAATAAATTCACCAGCAACTACCCTCTGGAAATCTTGAAATAGCTATTGAACACCACCATGATGCTATGAGAAAATAATCTATAAATGGATATAAATGGCTCATTTTTTATAAATGGACAAGCTTCTAGCCTTTGCGCACCATCGCATCTTGGGGTGCTCAATGATTTTTTGAGGGAAAACCTACCGGACACCATGGGTCTGTCATGATCCAAAAGTTATAGGGGTGAATCTATGATTTTTGACCACCAACTTTTTCCAAGTGATAGACACTTCCCGCAAACTCTCCCGTCATTTCTGGGAGGCAAAGTCAACTGGCCGAGGGGCCCCGGTGCAAAGCTGCTGGCCAGGCGTTGCTGTTCCATGGGCAAGCGGGAGGGGTTGTAGGCCATGTCGCGGCTGTTGGCGGTTTCCAGAGGCCTAATACTGATAAAAATGGTGATTCATGGGGATTAATAGTGGTCAGTAGTGGTGAATAGATGTTAATAATCATTAATGGGGATAGCGTAACTCTGGATGGCACTATAATGCCACCTTGCAAGGTTGGATGGCCCCGGTGGGATAGATGACCGGTGAAAGTCCGAGGTATGACCCTGGCATATGAAGAACTTGCACACTGGGACGAGAAGTCCATGAAGAAATTGTGTCATTCAGGTCTTCTTCGTCAGGCGTGCTGCATGCGTAAGGTTTCCAGCCGCTGACCTACAACTGAACCTGAGAAATGGCCCAAGACACCAATCTCAGCACTTTGAATAGCCGGCACCCCCAAAAAAAGTACATCAGTGGGCCAGTGGGCCCTAATGGCTTCCAGAGTATATGGCTCACTTTAAGACTCCACCGCTCTAGGCCATTGCAAACACCAAGACCCGGTGCAGTCTTTTGACCTCTGAGTGTTGGTCAAAATGTGTCTTGACATCTCTTGTCTCCTCAAAATCTGGATCATTTCACATAGGATCCATGTTTGGTATATATGCTAACATTTGGGGTATGTTGATGGTAAATGTTACCATATATAGCATACATGGATCCTATGGTTTTTTTAACAAAGACCGGTTGTATACCAGCAGCATAGATTCTGGACAGCTAAAAAATGACAAGACAAATAGTTAAATCAGAAACCAAGAACTATGTCTACAAGGTGGTGCTTCCCAGTTATAAGTTGGTTTATAAACCCCATTAACTATAGTTATAAGTACCAAAAACCATAGTTATTAGAGTTATAAACCAACTTAGCTATCTTGGGGGGAACCCCCCCGTAGTATGTTTTTCCCACTGCTACAGCAACCATCATCTGAGCCGAGGTCATACTGCACTGGTCGTCCATCGTGTCTTCGCGGGTTTTAGATCATCTCAGTCCGAAAATAGGGCTCCCACCACATGCCCTGGTAAGTCTATTAACATATGAACCATTATTAACCACATATTGATGGGTGAAAAATAGACTATGGGTTAACTATTATCTATTAACCAAATATTGATGATATTTTTTGAGCAGATTTTAAGATATGACAACAAATGGCTTATGATGATGACGCTGGGCTATCTCCTAAAACATTTTTGGCCTTTCTGATTTTATACCTTCCACATTTTTCGGGGGAACAGATTTATGACCCAATCCCAGCCAGGCCCTGCTGTGGGGATTCCATGTGCTTCAGCCCATGGCTCGGTGAACTCCCCGACTTTTCTCGCGGCGGCATCGCCGTTGTTTTTCAGCTGACGCCAGCCTGGCGGCGAGAATATGGTGGCCTGAAAAACGCCGAAACACGGCCTGCAACCATAAAATAGATAGGTTGTGTAGAAATCATGGCGAAGAAGTAAATATATAGTGTATATATGCATGTATATATATATAGATATATAGTGCATATAGATGTATATAGTATATAGATGAATATAGATGTATATAGTGTTTTACCGATTGTAACAAGGATACCGGAGATATCACTAAATATGCTGATCGGCATAACCCTCGGTGATAGGTACGGCATGCTACGACCATCCCTGAAACCCAAGTCTCTTCACACAATGGCACACTGCCAGTGAACAAGATGGAACAAGTTTTTGAGGAACTAATTATTATATATCCTATGGACTTTGATTAGTTTATAACTAATTATTATATATCCTAAGGCATAAACTAAATTTGGAAAATCAAATGGAACTAAGTATGCCTTTGATTTTGGACTGTGAGTCTCGGACATCACCTTTGCTTTGTTCTTCCATGTTCAATGTGAAGAGGATTTTTCTCAGAACGACATCTAAGCGGGAAGTTTCCAACCCTTTTTGTGGCTCTCCCGACGCCAAATGGGAGATGCATCCCCAAATATCTCAATTCACAACCAAAGATTCTGCATGACATTCCACATGTTGCTGCTAGAAATCAGCATAAAGTTGGCTCAAATCCAGATATAGCTGCTGAAAATCCATCTTTTGCATGGCAAAAACATGCAAAAACGTCATTTCTACTGGCCAAAACAGCCCAAGAACTGGTGTTCAGTGCCTCTTCTGGACTCCGGCCGCGGCGCGGTTTCGGCGCTTCCTGACCGGAGAGATCCTGAGCACCGAAGTGACGTGGCTGAAGTGGCCAAGGCGTGGATCCGGACACCATTTGTAGATCATTCCCTAGGGAATCCAATGGATTTTGAAGGATTTATATGGATAATATATGGATAATATATGGATATGGATCCCTAAGCTTCCAGTTATATATAGCTTAATATACATCTGAGATTGGGAATAAAGGTGAGTTCGCCTTATGATTTTCTTGGGTTAATTCCCTATCTCAGAGGTAGGTGGACAATGAGGGGATGGTTTTGAGCCAGAAGAATACATGTGTTTTTGCTCGGGAAACTCTTACATAGATGATCGATGGATGTCACGGAATTTCAGTCACACAAGTTTGCACAGATAAGAACTCAAAAAGACAAATAGCTAGGTGTAGCCATCTAGACTTTGAGGATTTCAGCGACAAACGTTGCACGTGTATGGCCATGAGCAAATGAACCCACACATATATGTGCGCTCATTTGGGTTCCTCTGACGGTTTTAAAGGGGTCATTGAGCTCGTACTCAACATTATTCAACTAAAAAAGGTACCTGAACCAGTGCAAATTGCAAATCCTCCCTCCTTCGGTTCGCCGCTAAATTGGATTCCCAAACCCCCTAGGATTCATTAGCCATACTAGTATCATCATTGGCACATATTCAAGCTGAACATATCTGAAAATAGGGGATATGGGATAGCCACTTAAATGGATATCCAATGTTCAACAACGGTCAACTGGATAGCCAGATGATCATCCATTGGAACTGAGGTGATCTGAGGTCATCTCCTTTGATAGCAAATCTGTGATACAAAAGCCCAACACATTATGATTGTTTGGATGTGCGATTGCTTAGTTTGTACGTTCAAACAAGATCTAAACCAGCCCAGCCAAGGTTTCCCTAGCACTCCAGAAATGATTGGCTCCATTGGCTTCCTGGTTTACTGCAATTCGTGGCCCACATGAATTTGAATACTCTCTGGTAAACTAACATAGCTATTGAAAATGGCCATTAAAAATGGTGATTTTCCATAGTTGTGTTAGTTTACCAGAGGGTACCCTATGATAATATGATACAGTAATCTGACCTGACAATTGAAACCTGTAAGTCTCAAAATTAGTGTTCCTTTTAAATTGTTCCATTGGAAGGTTTGATTACCAAAGGGAATCGCATCCAATTCAAAATATTTCAAAATAATGAAATGGAAAGTATACAGTGAATTGCTTGTTCAATATATATTACATCAAGTAAAATTTTATTATATTATCAAATTAAATCAGATTAAATTAAATTAAATTATATTATATTATATACCGATATACCCACTATTCACCATTGTGGTACCCAGACTCAATGGTTGCAACTTCATATTGATGGTTCAACAGTCTTGGAACCACATCTCAGATTTGGTTGAGGACCCGAGAAAATATCGAAAACAACCCCCATAGATTACCCGAATGGATCCAAATGGTGGGTTTCCCATTGATAAAATGATAAATCACTGATAATCACTGGCTCAGTAAACCCAGGGAGGGCAGCCCCCAAAATCCATTGACGGAGACGATCAACAGCCGCAACGGGTCTGGTTTTTCACATGTGCGTCGAATGCTCTTTGGTACTATCGATTTACATCCAGGGATCCATTTTCCTCTGGAATGAACATGGCCCCTTTTGTAGAGGTCGATGGGTCAACTGGAAACAATTTCAAGAGATGCTTAAGCCTCAAATGGGACACTAAATAGACACGGGCGCTGGGGCTGTGATTTAAAAACTATCGAGTCGCCGGCGCTTTCTACATGGGGTCGCATCTGCAAGTGAGGCCCCTGGATTTGCACGGCAAAATTTGGCCAACAACTGCCCATCTGGCAGAACGAGCTGGAGATTTTGGAGGCTCACGTTCAATTCACGGGCAATCCTTTTGTGCGTCTCCCAGGCCGAATCAACGCTCCGTGCAGTCAGACAAAAGCGCTCTTCTCCAGCCAAAGTCGAGCCTTTGAGGGTGGCTTCATCATTCTCGCCCACAATCTCTAGTTGTAGAGCGAGGTCCGTGCCACCTCTCCAATCGCTGATGTAGCGCAGTCCAGGCTTTGGCGAAGGAATGCTGCATTGTTCATACAGATCTTCTCCTATGGCAACAGCACTGCCATCACTGCGCAGAAGCACTGTATGATCGCCGCCTGCAGATACCTGTGCGTACACCACTCCCGCATTCAAATTTGGGATGTTGCATTGTCCCCAGCCATTGTCTCCGATGGCAACAGCAATGCCATCACTGCGCAGAAGCACTGTATGATCGTCGCCTGCAGATACCTGTGCGTACACCACTCCCGCATTCAAATTTGGGATGTTGCATTGTCCGCAGCCATTTTTTCCGATGGCAACAGCAATGCCATTACTGCGCAGAAGCACTGTATGATCGCCGCCTGCAGATACCTGTGCGTACACCACTCCCGCATTCAAATTTGGGATGTTGCATTTTCCGCAGATATTGTCTCCGATGGCAACAGCAATGCCATCACTCCGGAGAAGCACTGTATGCACAGCGCCTGCAGATACCTGTGCGTACACCACTCCCGCATTCAAATTTGGGATGTTGCATTGTCCCCAGCCATTGTCTCCGATGGCAACAACAATGCCATCACTCCGGAGAAGCACTGTATGCACACCGCCTGCAGATACCTGTGCATACACCACTCCCGCATTCAAATTTGGGATGTTGCATTGTCCCCAGCCATTGTCTCCGATGGCAACAGCAATGCCATCACTCCGGAGAAGCACTGTATGCTCACCGCCTGCAGATACCTGTGCATACACCACTCCCGCATTCAAATCTGGGATGTTGCATTGTCCGCGATGATTATTTCCAGTGGCAACAGCACTACCATCACTTCGGAGAAGAACAGTATGAGCTCCTCCACTAGCCATTGCTCGAATTGAGGCCAAATTGATCGTAGACTTGATGTTTTGGTGAGAAACATGCTGAAATGCATTGAAATGCATGGAAATGCATTTGGGATCAAGTGTGGGAATGGGTCAATGATACACTCCACCAAATAATTGATTCGGAGCCAGTAGTTGGACCTTACAGCAAGTTTTTCTTCCCAGCCCTCAGCTGGGCATTCACAGGCCACCTGGTTTTGTTCCAACTTATTATTCCTTTAACCATTTCTTGGATGTTGGTGAGATATCCGCAATGACTGCTATATGGGAACAACATCTTTGATATCTCTAGTATTCAAAAAAACTTCTGATATCTCTCGATCATTTTCTTGCAGTTGCTGGTCTTTTGATGTTGTCCTATAGCATCCTATAGCTGCAATTGTTGTTATCACTGCTACTGCAAAAGCTTGGCATAGCTTGGCAAAACCCATCATCGGTCGACTGCGGCAATCAGATTACGCTGAATCAAACATGGCAATAGAAAATCCATGAACATCCTCCATTGCCACAACTTGTAGACAATGATCCTGTGTTTGTCGAACTTGTGGTGTGTTCCTCTTTCTCTCTCTCTCTCTCTCCCCACTGCGGCCTCCCTGGGAACCGGGGAGTTTCCAATTTACAGTAAAGGGTTTGATTGCTGGAGGTTTTCCCATTCGAAGAACTAACCAACGACGGCGAGGCACCAAGTAAGGGCTGTCACCACGAACAATGGCCTTGATCCATGACTCACCTGAGCCAGGAAGTCACCCATGCTGATCTGCCAGTGAAAATGGGGTATAGCCCATTGTTATACCATCTGGTTATTTAACATAGCCATGGAAAATCACCATTTTTAATAGGTAAACCCAGGTAAACCATCTATAAATGGGCCATTTCCCATGGCTATGTTAAATTACCAGAGGGTATATTGTTTTGCACAATTCGCTTGGATCAAAGGCTCAATTTCCCATATGTTCGCCATGAAGAAAAAAAGCAGCGATGGGGTCGCCAAAATTATACCTCGCAAGTGAGTATTGGTCACATATGGGATGATTGTAGGGTTCCAACAAGCAAACAAAAAAACTGCAACTGTGGATTATGCCTCTTGGTCAATCATAGGGATAGAACCAACCAAACAGGAGGATAACAGAACATCATGACCAACAACCATCACAGGTCGTACAGGTCAGGTCCGGATCATCATCCCAGGTCAGTTGGGATGGACATGGTGGGAGATTTTGACAGCTGGTCGGAACAGCACGGAACAGCAGCACAAAAATGCCTTTGGAATGGTACCCTCTGGAAAGATCCACCATTTTCAATGGGAAAATCCACTATTTCGACTGGGTCATTTTCATCAATGGATTGGTTTAAGGGAAAATTTACAGGAAAACCCGAAAACCCCATATTTAATGGGAAAATCTATGGTTTCCTGTAGATTTTCCCTTGAACCAATGCAGTGAGAATAGCTATGTTAAATTACCAGAGGGTATGATTCGGTATGATGTGATATGTTTTCCAGCCCAGGAAAATGACCCAAAGGTGTGTCAATTGACGGAGCAAATGGATATTCAGCTTCTGGAGACGCATGGCATCTCATGAACACACCCAGGAATTTGTGCGTGACTCCCATGGCCCCTCAATGCCCCTCAAATATATGAGAGGCAATGGGGGTCATTGCAAACTCAATAGTTTTACGGCCCTAGGTTTGATGCTTAAGTGTTACACACCCATTCTATCACAGTGTTGGTGATCTTCTAGGGGTAAACACTTGAACAAATCCAAGCAACACCATCTTTGGGGTAGACGAACATCCCACCAGCCCTCTCAAACGTGGTTCATCGACTTGACCGCCCACCTCGACTGAGTTGAGGTAGTGGCACCTGAGAACGTGACATCCTCATGTCCCATGGCGGGCCCCTACGGTAGCCTCTGGTAATTTCTTACATAGCAACATGGCCCAGTCGAAATAGTTGATGACTATCCATCAATAGCATGGTGATTGCCCATAGTAAACTGTAAACGTTTACTAGAGTGTAGATGAAATATGATGAAATCCATTTCTGGATGGAATTCTGGAACACATTGCGGCAAGGAATGACGCCATATGATCCGCTAAGATCCTGCAAACGGCCTGGGATTAAGCCTTCCCAGATGACACGGCTTGATGCCATCTGTCACCAAAGGAATCCCATTCCGATTCTTGCGGCCGTTTTTGTAGATACATAGTTATCATAGTTAAACTCGAGGGCGGATGGTGTGGGCCCACCAGATATTTCACCTCAAACCCGAAGCGGAGAATTCGAAGGGCAACCTTCCAAGCCCATAGCTGAGAGCCCGGAAAACAAAAGCTTGCGAGCATGATTTCCTATTTGCAAATTGTCATGTTTGGATTTGCGTCAAAATTCATTGCTATTCACAAAATCTACTTATACAGGCGCATGCATAAAAACATAAACATACATATGTACACAAACAACTTGAACTACATATATATCTTAATACACATAATATTAATATACTCATGGTACATGTTATAAATGTTATACATGTTTATAAACCACAAAAACAAATTACATGTCTCAAACAATGACAATGCACCTGGTATCATTGTTTCATATGGTCATATGGTTTAGAACATGGTGAAAAACACACAACAGGGTTTTAAATGCAAAGAAAAACCCAATGTATATATATATACACATATGCATTGTATAATCATGGTTTGTTTATGATGATTGTATTATTTTGTGGACTTAAACCATCCAAGTCCACTCAACAAACCGCGTTTCGGCGTTTCGCCGCCTTGCGAGGTGCTGCCCTTGGAGGTGCCCAAACGAAGTCTTCACCACCTGGCACAGCGGCGACTCTTCAGCACGAATCATGGGAGCAACAAGATATGGAGTTTCTACATGGGGTTGGAGTTAACATGGGGTTTACCATCAAATTTAATGGCTTAACTATCAAATTTAATGGCTTAACTATCAAACTAATGTTTGATTAGTGATACTATGGGTTAACAAATCTATCGATTTCTGGTTGGTTAGGAATTCTGGTGGACCTCCGTGGAACGTGAACCACGGGTTTCCACATGCCGCAGTTATCTTTTTCCGAGCTGCCAAAGTTCGGTTGTTTGGGTGGTTTTCCTGTGAATGTTCCGAACCCAACCAAGTCTGGAATTGATTGTTCCACCCCAGAAATGAACGTCTTTTAGCATCAATAAACTTTATAGATTTTAAAAATTGTTAACCCACCACTTTTAACACCGTATAACATTCGTTACCCAAGGGAAGAAAGGAACAAAAAGCCCTCCAGTGACTTAACATAACATATCTTAACCATGGCACATGACCATTCGCAAAAGATAATTCATCCATAAAATCAATGGCAATTTCAGGATCCTAGATTGGAGGTACCTAACATATATAATGCCTATTTTTCAGGCCTTAATTTCAGGGAATATCCCCACAACATATGGCCAGAAATATGGTACAGTACCTTCATTTTAGGATCCTGGAATTCCCATTGATAAAATGTTCCATGGTAGATTACCAGAGCGTACTGGGCCATTTTGGGATGGCTTGACCCCCTATTTTTGAAAAAAACTCCCACAGTATTCCCATGATACGATCATGTTTGTTGGTTAAACAATGGTTACCCTCTGGTAAACGTTTACACAACTATGGAAAATAAATCACCATGCTATCAATGGGTAAATCCAAGAACTAAATCACTTCAATAGCTTTTTGTCAGTTTACCAGGCCGGGTAACCATGGTTACCCTCTGGTAATTTAACATAGCTATTGAAAATGGTCATTTATATATAGTGAGTTTTCCCATTAAACATGGTGATTTCCAATAGTTACGTTCGTTTACCAGAGGGTAAACGTTCGTAAATCATCCTTTTAGAAGCTTCGGAAAAAAAGAGCATCCTCCGACTCGGGAGCGAGCTGCCTTCGGGGAAGGTGTCGGTCTGGGAGATCTGCTCTAAGAGACCTCGAGGCGACGGTCGCAGGGTTCGAATGGCCTGCGAAATGTTGTGAAGCACCATTTTTTGTGTGGATTCCGTGGGTGTTTCCCCAGCAACCATGGGTGATTTACTATAATTTAACTCATATTCAATATGATTCAATGCTGGATTTTTCATGGAGATCGGATGGAATGGAATCGGAATTCACCTTGAATTAGTTGAACATCAAATCACCACTAGTAAATGTGTCTTGGTGATCTTCTTGAGCGAATGCAAGGTTTCTACCCAAGCACAGGGAGTTCCTCTATAATGTCAACCCCGGATGAGACTAAACCATGGTTTATTGGTTAGGTGGGTACTCCTCCAATAGTCACATGATCTGAGACCCGGCCTGGTAAACGTTTACATAACGAACTGGAAAGATCCACGCTATCAATGGGTATTCATCCACTATTTCTATGGTCCAATGGTCCATTTTCAATCGCTTTTTGTATACCAGGCCGGGATTAGCCGTTTGGGGTGAACGAAAATCCACCATTTTTTCCAAGCCAACTCAAAGCAGTGGGACCACCGGGAGCATTTCTTCGACATCCAGCTGAGGCACGGTTCAGATCGGCATCCTTGAAACCTCCTTTCATGTACCTGAGACAAGATGTAAAACCAAACAACTGGGGACGGGCAACTGAGGTGGAAAAAACATCCCAACATGTCAAACACTTCACATACTGTACGTGTTCAAGCAAAGTGGGCTTTATTTCAATTAGTAGATTGCTGTAACATAAATATATAGTTATATACAATGATAAAGGTAAGCAAAACACACACGAACACATGACATTCGAAAAACAAATACTTTCTTTGAGTGATCCCCACCCTGACAAACTATTCTGACATAGTTTCTGACATACCATCTGGAAGTAAATGTGTATATAGCTCTATACATACATACATATATATATATATATATATTGTATGTTGTATATAAACATATGTGTATATATTCTGAGATTCTATCTGAAATTATTTTTACTCTTGCATTCTTTCCGACATTCTACCTGGCATTCTATCCGGAATCTGGAATCTATGTTGACCTTGTTTCTGGCATCTATTCTGGCATTCTACCTGGCATCTATTTTGACATTCTTTCTGGCATTCTATCTGGCATATGTTCTGACGTTCTATCCTGAAAGGCCAGTGGTCCCTTATTTCAGACATGGAAGCCCCTCCAAAAAAGGCAACAGCCAACTAGATTTCCAAATGCGCATGCCAATATTCGAAATTCCGATTTTTGAAGTACCCGCAACAAAATAAGCTTGGCAACTAGGATCTGCCGAGAGCTTGGAACATCTTCAATACAGTCAATACAGCTGCAGCACACCGCTGATCCCGATCCGAGATGGGGCAAACATTGATGAAGATTCCAAGAAATGGACGCTTCCAAGTGTGCCTCAACCTGATCGTATTTCAAGAACAACCTCAGAATGGAACATGAACCAAGTACAGGCAAATACTATACTAGTATATAGATTGAATATGGTGGATTTCCACATCTGACATAACTATACGTATATACCGTATGACCAACTGAATTAGGAGTACTATCAGCATAGATACCCAGTGTTCACTGGTTCATCTTCCGGATTCTGGTGACGACCCAATCTGCATCCCACAAAAAAATGCATGTTCCAAGCACACAAAATCGCTTGCCGATTCACCCACCCGAAATTTTGAGTCCTTAGTGCGGTCTGCCAACCCGTGATGTTGGGCTACCCTCTGAGACCACAAAATGCAAATATTTGCACTTTAGGCACTTAATGAATTTATAAGTATACTATAAGTTACTATTATCCTTCTAATATCTTGTTCAAATTGTTTTTTCAAAAATATTTTGTTATAAGTTCCACTAAATTTTTAGGTGAACTTATAACATAATAAGGAAAATATAAGCAAATATAGTAGAATATTAGTCAAAAATAAGCCAAAATAAGCGAAAAGAAGTGATAAGAAGTGAAATTTGATTTTTATGTGTGTTTGATAGATTCGCAGGAATGTTGATTTTCGACGAAACAATATTGTCTCAGAGCACTACTTTTCTGACGAAACCTTCCTGAACAGGAATATGCTGCTAAAGAACAATTCTCTGAAGGCGCCTATTTGGAAAAAAAATGGTAGGAAAAAAAATGTAGGGACAATTTCTCTGCAGGATACTTCCTGAAAAGGAAAAATTGTGTGGGGAATAGTTCTCTGCAGGATACTTCCTGGAAAGGAAAAAAATTGTAGGGAATAGTTCTCTGCAGGATACTTCCTGGAAAGGAAAAAAATTGTAGGGAATAGTTCTCTGCAGGATACTTCCTGGAAAGGAAAAAAATTGTAGGGAATAGTTCTCTGCAGGATACTTCCTGGAAAGGAAAAAAATTGTAGGGAATAGTTCTCTGCAGGATACTTCCTGGAAAGGAAAAATTGTGTAGGGAATAGTTCTCTGCAGGATACTTCCTGGAAAGGAAAAAAATTGTAGGGAATAGTTCTCTGCAGGATACTTCCTGGAAAGGAAAACTTTTGTAGGGAATAGTTCTCTGCAGGATACTTCCTGGAAAGGAAAAATTTTGTAGGGAATAGTTCTCTGCAGGATACTTCCTGGAAAGGAAAACATTTGTAGGGAATAGTTCTCTGCAGGATACTTCCTGGAAAGGAAAAAATTTGTAGGGAATAGTTCTCTGCAGGATACTTCCTGGAAAGGAAAACTTTTGTAGGGAATAGTTCTCTGCAGGATACTTCCTGGAAAGGAAAAAATTGTAGGGAATAGTTCTCTGCAGGATACTTCCTGGAAAGGAAAAAATTTGTAGGGAATAGTTCTCTGCAGGATACTTCCTGGAAAGGAAAATTTAGAAAATTCAGAAAATTCAGAAAAAATCAGAAAATTCAGAAAACTCAGAAATTTCAGACATTTCCGAAAATTCAGAAAATTCAGAAAATTCAGAAAATTCAGAAATTTCAGAAAATTCAGAAAATTCAGAAAATTCAAAAATTTCAGAAAATTCAGAAAACTCAGAAAATTCACAAAATTCAGAAACCCAGAAAATTCAGAAAATTCAGAAAAGTCAGAAAATTCAGAAAATTCAGAAACCCAGAAAATTCAGAAAATTCAGAATTTACAATTTAAATTAAAAGGAAAACAATTCAGAAAATTCAGAAAATTCAGAAATTTCAGAAAATTCAGAAAATTCAGAAAATTCAGAAAATTCAGAAAATTCAGAAAATTCAGAAAATTCAGAAATTTCAGAAAATTCAGAAATTTCAGAAAATTCAGAAAATTCAGAAAATTCAGAAATTTCAGAAAATTCAGAAAATTCAGAAAATTCAGAAAATTCAGAAAATTCAGAAAATTCAGAAAATTCAGAAAATCCAGAAATTTCAGAAAATTCAGAAATTTCAGAAAATTCAGGAAATATTTATAGAGAAAAAAAAGGATAAGTAAGTATTTATAATAATGTCAAGTTAGGATTAATAATTCCCTGCGATTAATCAACCACCAAAATCTCAGCAAAAAAACCGTATGAACAAAGTATGCGAAATCAAAAGAAAGTAAATTGTAGAACAATATGAACAATAAAACATAAATAGCAATTATAGAAAATACATTTTCAAAACAAAAAGCAAGCCAGCTAGCTTTAAATCTTTTACCAACAAAAAAATATAATAGAATATTTTCCAAATTAGGTATCCATCTTCATCCCTGAATTATGTAGTTTGGAAGTAGTAACCGAAGCCTCATGTTGTGAAAGATCTCATTCTGGGCAGTCGTATACAATTGAAGAAGACACATCAAAAGAGCAATTGTTCTTTCCAAGAAGCATCCTTTATATGTTTTTTTCCTTTTGCCTCTGAATGATTTCTCCACAGATGTACTTCAAGATTCTTTGTGTCACTCGCAGCCGCGCATATTCCTGTAGAAGAACCATTTCCTGTAGAAGATAACTCCTGAAAAGCATTGTTCCTGAAAATGAAATCAATCTGAATAGAAAGATTCCTGTTAAGGATAGTTCCTGAAAAGGATTCATTCTGAATAAAAAAATCCTGAAAGGATAAGTCCTGAAAAGGATAATTCCTGAAAAGGATAAATCCTGAAAAGGGTGATTTCTAAAAGGATGATGCCTGAAAAGAATGAAAAAAAACAATGAAAAAAGGCAAGAAAAAATATTCCAAAGGAAACAAAAAGGTCGACAACTATTTTCAAAAAATATATAACAGAAAAATGCATCGTCTATAATCAATTCTGATCATCAAAAAAACATTGAAAAATAAGTGAAAATAAGTAAAAATAAAGAAAAAACACTTCTATGATAAGTTCATATAACTACTAATATCTTCATTAAGTGCCTAAAGTGAAAATATCTTCATTTTGTGGTCTTAGCTGTTCCAAAGCTGTTGAGTATCTATCCCCTTTGGATGGTTGAACCGTTGAACCCCCATGGTGACGGGTGAGACCCTTCGCAACGGCCGGGCACTGGTCCGCCGAATTCACAGCTGACATCGGCATCTCTTGTCCATCTTCTGCGGCCATGGGGATATTATGGGATTTTGGGGCACACGATTTTCAAACAACCCATTACGGTAACCCCAAAAAGATAGAACATATACTTTTAAACTAATGTGCGACTGTTTTAGTGAGATTTCAGCAGATTGACATATTCTATCTTCTTCGAGGTTGCTATGAAGGAAAACCAGGAAAACCTGGAGCTTGATGGCACAACCACGTGCAATCCACAATTTTCCAGATGGTTTCATTGAGCAAATGCATGAAAATGATATGTGCTCAATGGATATGGCCAACTAGACCATGGGAATCCAGTGAAATGACTTGCGCATACCTGGTGGATCATCATACTTGTCATATAGTAAGTAGGTTTTACATTACATCTGTGCTCTTAGGACAGTTTTTCATTTTTCCATTTTTGACTTGGGGTTGTCACCTTCTGACCAACGATGCTCAGAAAATGGATCATATTCAAACAGCAAGAACAAACTGTGATTTTGGGATATTTTTGGATATGTTTGGGGTGTCCCAGGGTCTCATTTTGAATCTTCAAACGCGAACATTGCCCTGATGCAACAGGCAACGTGGCAACAGTTCGTGCAGGTTTCGAAACTCGCAAGCTAAACTGACAAGGTACCACGATGGATATTGATTCGTTGGTTCCAATAGTAATGCATATATCATCTGGTTATTTAACATAGCCATGGAAAATTGCCAATAGAAATAGATGATTTACCTATTAAAAATGGTGATTTTCCATGGCTACGTTAAATAACCGGAGGGTACACACATATATATATATATAACTATCATATTATTGAATAGGGGGTATGATAGGGTATGTATAATCCAATGATATGATGGGGGTATGATCGGGTATATATATATATGGAATATAAATAAATATATATATATATATGGAACTATCATATATGTGTACTCTCTGGTAAACGTTTACATAACTATGGAAAGATCCACCATGCTATCAATGGGTAAATCCACTATTTCGACTGGGCCATGGCTTCAAGTTCGCTATGTAACAGCCATTACCAGAGGGTAACTATCAAAAAAGCCCATGAAAATCTCCCTATCATACCCCATCAAAACGCCCCATTGTTGCTTAGTCATTAGTCAATCCCACATCCAATCAGGGATCATCATGGGCGTAGATGCTTGGTTGCTACATTATCTGGTTGGTGGTTGACCTACCCCTGTGAAAAATATGAAAGTCAGTTGGGATGATTATTTCCAACATATGGAAAAATGTTCAAACATGTTCCAAACCACCAACCAGTTATATGATGTTGAGCTTTGATATTAGCGTTTGTAGCTTTTGCAACTTGGAGTCTGAAGCTCTGGAAAGTTCATTGATGAAGCCTTGATGGGAGGTGTCATTCTGATGGGTGACTCCAGCTTGTCTCCTGCGTTTATTACATGCACTCTTGTCTTCACCAAGAAATGGCAATTTTTAAAAATTGGCCGGGCCGAAATCCAGTGATCTCGAGAATGATCTCTCCGATAGAAAAGCGACCGGCTGTCGGATAATGACTTGGACTCCCCCCAGTTTGTGAACCCCCCACCATCTTGAAAAATATGAAAGTCAATGGGAAGGATTATCCCATATATTATGGAAAAAATGTTTGAAACCACCAACCAGAAAATAGTGATTCCGTTCAACATGCTATTCATCTCTCCGTCTGGGCTCAGGTTTTCACCAACCGTTGGCTCTCACCAAATTGCTATCGAAAGTTTAGGAAGAAAGTCAGAGTTCTCGACCAGTGGAAGTGAGCTACTCTTAGAGAACAGTAGGCATTAGAAATTGTCTAAAGACACAGTTGGCAAAAGAGAACAGTAGGCAAGATAGAACAGGGCAAATCACAGTCTCGAAGAATAGGGAAGGCACGGGGCTGTACAGAACTGTGGAGAACCTATGTCTGGAACAAGGGGTACAACCACCTAATCCAACACAATTTACCGTATCATATCGTATCATAATTTTCCCGATTTTTTCATGGCGAACCATCCACCACCAAGGGTTGAACAACAAAGTCACGACCCCCAGCCGTTGCTGCCTTTAGCGGCACCAGAACGGAGAGATTTCTCCTGGACACGTGGCAGAACAGGGCCGGTGACAAAGCAGATTTCACCGAATTCTGGGTGTGTACTTTGAATCTATTCTCAAATTACTGGCTACTACCCTCTGGTAAACAAACCTAGCTATCGAAAATTGCAATTTATAGTGGATTCACCCATTTAAAATGGTAATTTTCTATGTATGCTCGTTTACCAGAGGGTAATTTGAGAAGGATGATAATGATAAACCCATTCTGAAAGGACGTGGGCTTTTTCGCTGCTTGTTGAGTAGGGAATTGAAATGATTTGACCAACCCTGGCTCCTTGACTCCTCCAACACCCATGGCCAAATGCTAATAGCCAGACAGATCCAAAACACAAGAAAAACATGTCATGAACAGCAACTTTGATGCATCGTGCACGAAAATGATTCTCCTCTACTTCGCTTCAAGTATCTTCCATTTATGTTTGTCATGTTGTGTCTTGGAGTTATGCCTACTGTTCGGTTGGACAGAAAATTCATCTTCTCTCAAATGGACCCAATCAAAGTCAATCTTCCACAACTGTACTCAAAGATATTGAAAATATATATGCGGGTGGCTCCCATCCAACAATCTGAAGAAATTCAGGTGGGAAACATTTGCCAAACCACCTAGTTCCACTTTCAATTCCAACTTGCCATGGGAGACCCCTTGGTGGCACCCTGCCTTTCGAAGCTCCTGCGGCGTGGCAGCTATAGTCATGTTGGGGGATGGGTCCTGATGCTGACGTCCTGGAGTTCCCTGGCTATTTGGGAAACCATGAGGAAAACATCATTTAAACAAGTACCTCCCATATATCCATTTTACCCATATAGAAACATTGCAAATGGGTTTGTCTGAAAATAAGGTATACCCCTAAATCTGGTTGATTATTAGGACTTTCCTGTTGAAGTTGCCATTTGGGGGTGACTCAGCATTTTCAGAGACACCCAAAATGTATATAGTGTATCAAATAGTGCTCATCGTTCCACTTTTCCAGCTGGTGGCTCAGCCAAGCACCGCTTTTCCATTTTGGATCATTTTGGATGATTTTCCCAATGAAACACCACTTGTGACCTGGTGTCCTGTTCTGTAATTAATCAATATCTACAACAATGATATTATCATATTATAGTCAGCCGGCAAAAGGGCGCACTCCGTCCACAGCATCCCCAAGAATTCCCTTATAATATCTTCTAGTTAAAGCATCCCGTGTTCTTCATGATCTTATGTGATCTTTGACCAAAAATGGCTATGGAGATGGTTGGAATGACCACAGCTACCCGTGGTTTCCCACAGCCAGATTCCCGCCATCCGAATTCCCAAGTTTTAGACCCACCTTTGGCACATTCTTGGGTGCCCTGCTGGGTGCCCTATTACGAGATTCAATTCACTGTGCATACTGGAGTCATGTCCAAAAAATCCATTCATCTAGCAATGGAAAACCATGGTCTGCAGGGGGATGGGGCCCCGTAAGTTATCCCACCTCCATTTCAGGAAATTTCTCTGTGATAAATGTGATGAACTGAAACCCCCCAAAAAAAACCATCGCCATCCCGAATGACTTGACTTTTGACATGGTTGTTACCCATCCCCCATCGAAGGTTTACATTGCCAGTTTCATACTCTGTCGAAAAAAACTATACTGGTTAGCGTATCTGTATATATATACATATCATACTCTAAAATCCTGCCAACATCCATCCAAGGTTTCGTTTAGGGAGTTTAGGACATTGGAAGATCATCCTGCACTTAGTAAGGCGTTAGTAAAACCACCCCGCCTTGGCTTTGGACTCTGTGACCTTTGAAGCCTCTTTGGGAACCAGCACTGGCAAGGGTACCTGAGCGAACAAAACCCCCGTGGTCGCACACATATTCCAAGTTAGTGGCAGTGAACCCCAAAGTATGCCATATCCCCTCTGGTAAACATACAAAAAACTACGGAAAATCACCATCTTGGAGCATTATTTATTATATTATATATATATATATATGTATGGGGGGTTCCCTAAAATAGAGGTACCCCTTTTTTGGATGATTTATAATGGAACATCCTACTCAAATGGATGAGAACTGGGGGTATCCCTATTTTAGGAAACCTCCACCCAATGGATATAGCCGGCTAAATCCCATGAAGTTTGATGTGTTATCCCGTTATTTCCCCATGATCATCTCTATATAGCCCCATTGGTTTGGGTGCGATTTCCCCAGTACTTTCCCATGACATCTTCACTTCTTCCAATCAGGGAAGATACATGTTTGATGCAAAAAAAAATAAAACCACATAAATTCATATAAAATCCCTCATTTTGTCCGGTAAAGTCACAATTTTCCCATGACTTTCCTATCACTATCTCTACCTTTTCCACCGTCTCCGGCGCACGGGGCTTGTGGGCGCTCGGCCCGTGCTGTGCCAATTCCTCAGCTGCGCCAGGTGCTTCTGCACCTTGAGCTGCGCGGCCGCGGCAGCCTGGCTGAGAGTCATGGGGAATTCATGGTGGTTTAGTGGGATTACTCTCTGCTCCCTACTAAAAACACCTCCCAAAATGCTAAACAAGGGTGATCTATTTTTATTAGGGGGTATTTATTATTAGGGTGCCCCTAATAAAACAACAACCTTAATAAAAGAAATAAACAAATCGATTTCAAAATCAATTAATTCCATGTTTTAATCCCTTTAAAATATTGCCAAAGATTGGATTTCGAAGCTTTCCCCTAATAATCAAACTAAAACCTTTGTAACAAGAATGAAAAACATGATTTCAAAGTTGATGGGACCCTAATAATAAACTTGCGGGTCTCGTTCTATTTTTATGAATAGGGAGTACAAACTATTATTTCACCATCCTGTTCTCCTATTGATTTTCAATTACCACAATTAAGAACGCAATTGTGAGCAACAAAAAAAAAACGAAAGTGGCAATCCACTCCTATCTTTATTAATTGGGGGAGTTTTAGTAATAGGGAGAAGGGATTCTATGGGATTATATGGGATTGTAATATCTGGTGAATGGAGATATGGTGGTTGAATGGAGATATCAAATAAATGGGATTATATGGGATTTCATGGGGTTTCATGGGACATAGTAACATATTATGATTCTTTATACACTGATATCACTTTGATTTATCATTTTGATTTAAGAGCAAATTGAGGACTCGAAGGCTTGAAACAAAATTCTGAGGAAAATCATGTGTGGCAAACAATCAAAGCTGAACATAACCCTCAAGCATACACTTCTGGATCACATCGGCATCATCCATATGTTGTTCTCATGGATTTTTGGGCGGTGGGTAACCGTTTGTCTCCGAAACCAGCGGAAAAAACAATGGAAAAACAATTCCTCCCGGCTATGGGTTTCCTTATGGTGATTTCCTGATACTTCCTCTGCAAACATCACCTTTTGCATCGCCCCGCCCTTTGTTCCTTTGTTTCACGGTGAAAACTGCCGTCTAGCCGCCTAGCCCCTCAAAATGGGAAAACCCAGGGACAACAAACAACTTGTTTTGAGTACATCATCAAATATATAGGTCATAGTAGGTCAAATTCACTCAGATTACCTTCTTGCAATCGAACATGGCTCTGTCAATGTACCGGAGAGTGCTTAAAATTGATCATTCTTCATCCATCATTGTTGGTGATTTTGCCATTAACCGTCTATAATCATTGGGTAAACCCCATATTGCCCATCATTATAACCATTTTAGTTTCATTTTATAATTGTTGTGTTGTTTCCCATGGAAATTCCCAGCTCATGTTAGTAACCATTGAGGGTAAATCCCATTAATTTCCCATAAAATTTACCATGTTTCAAGGTTAGTGTCACCGTTTCCCATCATTCATGGGGGATCAACCCCCTACTAGTGACAACGGTTGACCACTATTAAGCATCACTAATCTTTAAGTATTATAAACCATTATATTTAATTATATATATATAACATATAACATATATATATATATATAACATATATAAATATATAAATATATATATATACATGCATACTCTTTCTCTTTCTCTTTCTCTTTCTCTTTCTCTTTCTCTTTCTCTTTCTCTGTCTCTCTCTCTCTCTCGCTCTCTCTCTCTCTCTCTCTCTCTCTCTCCATCACCATCAGGTCACCCTGTCCCATTATAAACCGTTATATTCCCATGATTTGGAGCCATTGGATTCTCACAACGAAGGTCCGGAACACGAGACGCGCCTCGGACATCTGAGCACCTGCTTTTCGGCAGCGGTCAGCTAACCCCTGGGAGCTGTTCATTCCCCGAGTCATATGGAATCTATGATAATCTATGTTGGTGTCTTTTTCCCTGAGTCATGTGACGTTTGTAGCTTTTGATAGTCATTTTTGTCAATGGATTGGTTTAAGGGTAAATTTACAGGAAAGACCCATATTCAGTGGGAAAATCCATAGTTTCCTGTAGATTTTCCCTTAAACCAATCCATTGATTTTGAAGATCCTTTGATCCATCTCCATATGGTCGGCCTTTGCTTCGCCGTCGTGAGGCCATCCTCACCGTTCGATGAACGGCAAATGGGGCATAAATCTGAAAAAAATAAGCGTTGGGGCCTAAGATATTGGGAAATGATATGAGATGAACATGTTTTTCTGCACTGTTCTTCGCCCAATGTCAAAAATCAGCAAACATGATCAGAATGAATCACTCAGATGAAATACCCTCTGGTAATTTAACATAGCTATGGACAATCACCATGTTTAATAGATATATGAATCATCTATAGATTGGCAATAAGCTATGTTAAATTACCAGTGGGTAAAATGTGAAGGCGCCATTGGATTCCCATGGATGCTAGTTGATGCAAATCACTGTAGTTAGTTGCTCGGGATATTTCACCAAAGCGGATGACTGAGACCACATATATATATATAAATTATATTATATATACTATATATAAATTATATTATATATACTATATATAAGTTATATTATATATACTATATATTATATATACTATATATTATATATACTATATATTATATATACTATATATTATATATACTATATATAAATTATATTATATATACTATATATAAGTTATATTAAATATACTATATATTATATATACTATATATTATATATACTATATATTATATATACTATATATTATGTATACTATATATTATATATACTATATAAAAATTATATTATATATACTATATATAAGTTATATTATATATACTATATATTATATATACTATATATTATATATACTATATATATACTATATATATATTATATAATATTATATATATATAGTTTTGCCATACTGGTTAAAGGCCGTGAAATTGATGGTTTCTCCGACCGGACCTGTCAGTTGTGGTCCCGCAAGGAGGTGATGTTTTTCAATATCCAAAGCAATGGGCTCGTCATTATGGTTACCCTCTGGTTATGTCAAAATAGCTATTGAACATGGCACCTTTATAGTTGATTTACCTATTAAAGATGGTGATTTTCCATAGCTATGTTAGTTTACCAGAGGGTATATAAAAGCAAAAGGTCAAATTAACAATTACAACTATGATGGAAGAATAGATATATTATTTTTTTCTGTACGGTGATAAATTGAATAATGCGTCGGAATAATTGAGCCAAAACCCTATGCCACAAGCACTTTTCTTTCAATGTGCAGGATCTGACACATTCTGAAAGCACTACCGGGCGGTCAATGATGTAGGTTGCCAGAACTCAATGACCAAACCATTAACCATAAATTAGGCTATCCATTAAAGTTTGTCTGAACAAATAAATTGCCATTTTTTTGGCAACGGTCGCTGGTCATCCCCCGTGTCTGCTCAGGGCGCCCCCGGATCTGCTCCACAGCTCCATCAAAATCATCCGACTTCAGGTGACTCAGATCCCAACTTTTGGAAAAAAGATAGGGGAAAACTGAAAAAAAAAAACACACCATGAAGTCGGATGATTTTGGTGATTCATGGGCAAACATCATAAGATTTTGCCCAGATGGCAATTGTTCATGGGCTTCTGATGAACCATGGGATTTGGGGAACCATGGGATTTGGGGATACCAAAGATTTTTCGCATCTGGACAACTGATGATTTTTTCTCACCGGAAATCAGTGAAATAATGGCCATGAAAGCTTTCAATGAACATTTTGAAGATTTTCAGATTTTTTCTACATGAGATTCTCTTCTGGTTGGTGGTTTTTAACCATCTTGAAAACTATGAGTTCGTCAATGGGAAGGGTGACATCCCATATATCATGGAAAATTAAAAAAATGTTTGAAACCACCACTTTGTTCCGCTTTGTATGGCGCACTGTCTTGTGGTGAGAAGACAGTGCTTTAACTGTGGTGACTCTACGGTCAGTGTGGCAACGCGGCCAAGGGGACGGGCAGCCGGTCAAGTGCCCGGGACTGCCGTCTGAATGGAGTGAAACTGAACTTAACCGGACCAGGAGAAGATGTCTCTCCAAGCCAACGAACATTGAAAAAGAGCAACAGCGTAACCACCCAAGACCTGACACAGTGGCCGGCCCCGGCGAAAACGGCAGTTGACCCAAACCCCAAAAACTGGTAGAAGGGCATCAGAGCAGCAAGAACCCACACGGCACAACAAGACCCCATCATCATCATACCAATGTGAGAACCATGCAGTTCAGGCCCACCCCCACATTCACCATCATCTCTCAGTCGCTTCCGCAACAAGCCACGTATATGAGAAAGCTGATTCTCAAACAGAGCCTGGATGCACTGATACTGGGTCTTACTTTGGCCGTAAAAGTGTTGAAACGGGGCCTGCATCAGGGCCTGTAGATTCGAAACTTGTTGAGACTGACGGTGGGTGAACTCCAGAAACTGCCCGTCAATCTGTGTTTGGTTCTGCATCAAAAGTTGCACTTGACCAATAGCAGAGAGCTCAAGGTTGATGTTCTCCTTCACAACTCCAGACCAGTCAACAAACCTATCAAGGTGTTGCGAGATGAACGGATCTCTGCATGCAGGGACAGCGCATGAAAGCACCAAACCATGAACACGCTGAGACGGTGCAGCTCTAAGGTTGTTAGGAAGGGACACAGCACAAGGGTCTGCCCCTCCTTTCCGATCACCCAACTGGGAAAACGGCTGACATGAAAATCCCACACTCTTCACCGCAGCATGATTACACGTGGACCACACTCCAGCGATCACCTGGGGACAGCCAGCAGCACAGATCACATACTCACATCCTCCATGAACCTTGTGTAAGGTCACCATACGGGCACTAGAGTCAACAGCTACCATTGTTTGCACACCAACGGCATGGGCCCCATGTGCAGGACCATCAAACCCGTAGCAAGCATCGACCAGTTTGAGGAAGTCCTCCCAGGTATACAGTGAGTGAACCAACACCTTAGCACCATCATCCACCTTCAGCAACGGAATAGAGACTTGCTGCGCCAGGACAACATCCAACCGAGTGAGCACTTCAGGAGCTCCATCCAAGAGGCCAGTACGCACCAGAACAGTCCCATCACGGACAGAGGACCAAGTGGCGCACATGCACAGGATCAACGACCACCATGACCACATCAGAGAGCTACCTCCAGCGTCAACTTCAGCAAGATCCATGACGATCCATGGCACAACACGGTGAACGAAACGCTCTACGATCAGCAGGGCACGGCCGCACCTGCTGGTAGGTGTAGAGCCCACGGCTGTTTGAAACCACCAACCAGATATATTCTCCCATTATCAACCATGATTAACCATGGTTTTTCACCCATTAATCTTTGAGACCACCAACCAGTCTCAAGCCCCAAGATTTCACCCAAGCGCCCAAGCGTCCTCTGATCTACCTCCGGCGGGCGATTTTCCATGGATTTTTTTTATGGGATAGCCCTTATTTTTCCCCAAAAAATGAGTTATATCTGATATATCTTTTATAGTAAGCCCTTTGGTAAAGACTGATATGGATTGATATGGTTTCTCAGCCTTCAGTAAGGCCTTATAGTGGGTGCAGGGTCATTTTGCATTGCCAGCTCTGTCAACAAGCTTGAACTGTTTGGCCGTTGAGACACCCAAAGATATCTCTCTCTCGTCAGTCCCAAACTACAATCTCCTAGTCTTGGGTGAAATACCAATGAAAGAGGCGGTTGTGACCAAGGTAGACCCAGAATATGGGCCCCAGTTGAATGTTTTCACAGGTGATTTTGCTGCGCCAGCATCCAGTGTCACCACCTACCATGAGGATGGCCATCAGGTTGCCATCATGAACTTATTTGTGGTTGACTCACCTATCAAATAAACATATATATATATATATATACATTAATATGTATATATATATATATATATGTGTATATATATACATATACATACATACATGTATGTGTGTGTATGAAACATATATATATATATATTTATATATATATATTTATATATATATATTTATGTGTGTCATATCTCTATATATATATATATACACGTGTCAATTTACAACATAATCACCTATTTAAGGATGGAAAGAACAGGATTGAAGGCCACCATTTCGCCTGGTCCAACCCGCACGCCTGGGACCCGGGAACCGCAGTATGTCCTCCGTGTCCCTGTCGCTGGTGGTCTTCGATATCTTTGGACAGGACAATGGGCATGGGGCTATTGGCCAACAAACACCTATCCACAATGACGGATTGAACTATGGATAAGTTATGATAAGTTATTGTTGGTTGAATGGTTTAATCAACTTCAATGCCAAGTCATGGTTTCATGCTGTTAGCCAAGTCATTGTTTAATCAACTTCCATGATGTTCTGTTGATCCAGAAAATTGGTTACACCCCAAGATGCAGACAACTCTTGATGATTGATGACAATACATAAGTGCGAATCCCGCGGAATTCCGGGTTCTGTATTTTCAGTTGACCCACATGATCCGTAGGCATTTTTGTGGCTGCCAAAACGCCTTATGCCCCACTTACTATTTACACACGGGAAACAAATCCAGAGGGGAACAGGCACAAAGCAACAAACACCTTATAATCACCCTGCTGACTTGTTTCCCACCCAAAAAATAGTTGGCATCTCAACCCATCCCAAGCATGGTTGAAAAGACAAAAACAACAACTGAAAATTGAAACCACGAGCCAGATTAGGTGAGCGTCGACTCCTTCTTTTGCTGGGATAAATCGGGACATGCACACCACTATGCATTCACTAATCTTAGCTTCCGATTAATATAACCCCCTCCATAATATAAAAAAAATTGGCTGACCAGGTTTTTTTTGCTGTATTCGTTTTCAATTGCGCCTCTTTACTTTTAGTATTCGGTCATGTTTTTGGTCATGAAAACACCCACAATAATATAAAAATATCCGGGCCGACCAATTTTTTCTTGGTATTTGTTTTCAATTGCGCCCCTTTACTTTTAGTATTCGGTCATGTTTTTGGTCATGAAAAACACCCACAATAATTAAAAAAATGTCCGGGTCGACCAATTTTTTCTTGGTATTGGTTTTCAATTGAGTGCCTTTACTTTTAGTATCCGGAATTCCCTTTTCCCACTAAAGACTTCAATTGACAAGGAAATGTTGCACTTTACAAGGAATTTTCCCACTTAAATTAAACCTCCATTTGCAAGAAAATGTCCGATTGGCTCCCCCTCTCCCCCTCCCTTCCTCCTTCTCACAGTTGAAGGAGCAAATGGGGTTGCAATGGGTTTCAGACCATTTTCAGACCCAAAAGGGACAGGTTTGGTGTGTATGTATGTATGTATGTCTGTATGTCTGTCTGTCTGTATGTATGTCTGTATGTCTGTATGTATGTCTGTATGTATGTATGTACGTACGCACGTACGTACGTATGAATGTATGCATGTATGTATGCATGTAGGTATGTAGGCATGTAGGTATGTAGGTATATATGATGTATGTATGTATGACGCGAGGAATTCCCCCTTGGTGCCACAAATTTGAAGGTTGATTCCTGTATTGAAGGTGGAACTTCGAGTTTTTGGAGGTTATTTGAAGCCCTGTCAGAGGTGGAACTTCAAGTTTTTGGATTGTTTTTGACAGTTGTTCCTGTTACAAGGAATGTATGTATGTATGTATGTATGTATGAATGTATGTATGTATGCATGCATGCATGTATGTATGTGTATCTATGTATCTATGTATCTATGTATCTATGTTTCTATGTATCTATGTATCTATATATGTATGTATCTTTGTTTGTATGTATGCATGCATGCAGGTAGGTAGGTAGGTATGTAGGTAGGTAGCTAGCTTGCTTCGGAGCTTCCAGTAGCTGGATTTCAGCTTAAATTCAAACAAAAGGGGTTTTCAGCTAAATCCGAAGCTAAAGGTCACTAGCATGAAGAAGTGCTTACCTGAATTAGAGTTGATTACCCCTGAACAGTTAGCAAAATTATTGTTTCAGACCTATTTCAGACCTGCGTATGTATGTGTATGAATGTGTATGTATGTGTATATATATATATATACAGTACATGTATGTACAGTATATGTATATGTATATGTAAATATGTATATATAATGTATATGAATATGTGTCTATATAAAAAGGTATATGTATGTATATGTGTATATGTATACATACATGTATCCCAATATAAACACAAAATTTGTAAATAAATAAATATATATATATATGTATGTATATACATATATGTATATATAAATATATATGTATGTGTATATAGTTTTTGTGAAATGTATATGTATGTGTACATATATATATGTTTTAATGTATGTTTGTAATGTATGTATATATATATATAGAGTTATATGTATGTACACGTGTATGTATATGTATGTATATGTATGTATGTATGTATGTGTCTGTGTGTAGATAAATAAATAAACAAATAAACAAATAAACGAATAAATAAATACATAAATAAATAAAGTATATATATGAAAAAAAACAAACCTACAGTAATTGCGGGGAAGCTTTACATGATTGCCGGGTGCCCCCCCCACTTATTAATCCGAAGCTAAAATTATCCTCTGCAACCCCTCCACGACCTCAGAGTGATTGCTGGCGGTACGCATGACGTCGTACTCGAAGAAGGAGTCCAGGTTTACGTCGCCGTCTTCCTGCATGGGCGCTAGCAATTTGGGACCAAGGGAATCAAGGGGATCAAGGGTATATCGAGGAGATCTGGGAACAGGATTTCGCTTGTACTTTACCGGATTGATTCAAGGGAGAACGTGGAGGAAACATGATGGTTTTCAATGGTTTCCACCCTTCAATTTGAACTGGGACGATCCAGCAGGTTGAATTGATGCTCTGCTACCACCCTTGATGATTCCAGCAGCGTTGGTCATTTCATGATTGTAGTTAAAAACTATAGTTGGTCCTTTACTGCATATTTCATTGAAAGGATGATTCCTACCGTGTATTCAACTTATCCATGATGGTTGATGAGATAATTATAAGTAACAGGTCCTGAGAATCGGTTTTCTCAGCAACCAGTGCTGGTTGAGGTCCGAAAAAATCTGGTTTCTCATATCCCCAGTGTCTTTCCATTATTGTCACATAAGATCCCATAACATATACCCTCTGGTTATGACTAACATAGCCATGGAAAATCACCATGCTATTAAGAACGGTAAACCGTCTATTTCTATGGATCATGGCTTCCATGGCTATGTTAAGTAACCAGAGGTTATTGCCATATGTTTCAAGTTTCCAATCTCCATTCCTGGTTTTATTGTGTGGAACCCCTCCCCATTCGGGTTCGTCCTCTTTGAGTTTTTCCATCTCCATCCGACGATGTTCGACCTCCTGGGCAGCTGCAGTCTGCCCCGTGGATTTTGATTAATGGGACGTAAATAACAATTGGGATGATGGACTCAAGATAGGCGTTGTCAGTTGTTGTTTTTTTGCCAGGGTCTCTCAAAGGTTTGCCCTGATTGTGCCCATGTTCATTCACGGGCTGGCACACTTCCCAAAGGAAGATTGGTTTCCACTAAAAAATGTTATGTTCAGGGTCATTATTAATTTACAAGAGGGTAGTTATAATGGTGATAATTGGGGGAAGTAAATGATCATCATCATCATCATCATCATCCTTTCCCCATAGGAATTATTACCCCCAAATGAAACACCAGTGGATCTATTGGATCTATTGGGCCCCTTGTTGTGGGTACCTATGGCTATGGCTCATATGGGGGGGGATTCAGGATTCAACCACTACGGTATTTGAAGGGGACCTACCATGACCTACCCTGACCCAAAATTGGGGTCTAGCACTGTGAAACATTGCGAAACAAATATACATATATATATAATTATATATACCTGGACATCCAAAAGCTGCATTTTTTTTGGTCTGGACTGAAAAGTAGTGAGCGACCAAAAATCGAACAATTGCTGATTTTGCCCTCTGTCAGTCACATTTGGAAGGAACAAAAATATGACACAAAATGACGCAGAAAAGACGCGAAAGACCAATTTTTTGACACCAAAACTGTGTCACTGAATCCATCGAAGAACTGCGAAATGACCCTGCCCTGGTGCCAAAGCCTGACAGGTCCCTCTTCTGTCGAAGGAATGTCTTGCGGATCACTACAATATGTCCAACAAGGAAAGCATCTTCGGGAATGAACCATGGTCTCATGGCTAGTCATGTCATCGCATCTATTTTCGAAGCATCAGCCCATACAAACAAGAGCCAGTAGTTGGCCCACCGCCCGGAACAGCCCGTGGGTTTTACTGAGTTTTTTTCTTGATTTTTTCTTGCTTTTATGCTGATGAATTTGCGTCATGACATGATGGGGTTGGGGGTGGGCGAGTGTGTTCACGTTCCTGGCATTTGCGTCTTGAAGATGATGCTACGCTACGGCACGTTGTCTTGGAAGTTGCGTCATGTCAAAATGGGGTCAGGGGAGGGCGGGTGTGTTAAATGTTATCTGAACTGTTTTCAATATTGTTCATTTGTTTTCCAACAGTCTGTGGCACCTGCAACTCCAAACGGGTTCTATTCGGCATTGAAGAGATTGCTGAAAGCCAACTGACTTTGAAACGCTCAAAAGGAAAACAAGCAGCTTTGGACCCCCTGCAGCTGAAATGTGCGGAAACCTTCAATTCCTATGGTCCAAAAACCAAATATGTTTCCCCCATATAATTACGATTTCACGGAATGCGTGAATTTCAAGTATAACTGATAGTTGGAGGCAATTTAAATTGACGTTTTCGAAGAAAATTAGACTGGGAACTACACATTGACATATTTCAACCACTGTGCAATTACGCGTTTCAAACCCTTGCGAATGTTGCAAGATTCTTGCCCAATGTAATTGCTGTATCATGGTCCGCTGGGTCTGCCCCAGTAGTTCACGCCCAACTCCTCGCCTCACCACTCCAAGAGAATCAGTGAGTTGTTTGTATCCCATAGGATCCATGTATGCTATATATGGTAACATTTACCATCAATATACCCCTAATGTTAGCATATATACCAGACCAAACATGGATCCTATGGGTATCCCCATGTATGCAACTGTATGCAACTTCCCTTCGCCGGTTTCCCAAACTATACCCTCAAAACGATGCATGATATCCCAAGACATTGTTTGTATGAGAAAAAAAGTAATACTCCCAACTCCCAACTTCAATTTGTTTATCATCACGGTTTTCCCCCAAGAGCCTATGGTAATTTCGGAGTAGTTCATCTTGACAGCAACCATCAGTCTGGCCACATGTTGCCCAAGAGAATCAGCTTTCCCGAGCAACATATGGCCATCATAATTTTCCCCAATCAACAAACGTTTCATCATGTCATATCATTTCTACATCACCCCGACTTCTCACCAAGCAAAGCCACTACCATCTGGTTATTTAACATATCCATGGAAAATCACTTCTTTTTTATAGGTAAACCATCTATAAATGGGCCATTGTCCATGGCTATGTTAAATAACCAGATGGTAAAGTGTTCCACCATCCTCCCCCCAACCTGCGATGTCACGTTGGTCCAGCGCTTCGCTAATTCCTTCGACAATTTGTCGATGTTCACCGTCATCTGCCGCGCCGGAGGGCCAGCCGGATGGCCAGGGGTTGCACCCACCTGCGGCCCCAGGAAGGATAGTGAAAGTTCCTCCATACGGCTTATAATACATATCAGTTGTATGACACTTACTGCCAAATGCTATTGACTATCTATATATATATATATGCATATATATAAATATAGTATACACATATTCTATAGTTACCAACCGATACATGAACTATGGTGAATCACAGGAAATATGGGGAATACCATACTGGGTTAGCATTTCAGTGGTTCCGAAAAATATTAAGGGATCTGGCTAAAATTTGCAATGTTTCATGGAAGTTGTCGACACCTCATCACAATTTCATCTTAATCCCAGATTAGTGGACATGTCCCAGCATCAATGACGCACAACTAAGGCTCCGTGCAGCAGTCAGTTTTTGTGCTGAGAACTTGCCCAGTAGCAGGATCCAAGGTTATCAGCTACTAGTGAGAATGTGCAGGAGCAAGTCCAAGGGAGCAAACTGATGATGATCAGCATTTAAGTGCTAACAGACTACTTTCTTTAACCCTGTCAGTTTTGCTCACCTGACACCGTGCCTTACACGCTCATGCTCTTTCTAGATGAGCGCATCAATTTCTAGGCTTTGACGGGACAAAATCCAAGCTTTGCATCAACAGCATGCGTTCGCGGGGCTGAAAATCATACGACTTCGGTAAAATAGCAATCTAAAAACTCTGCAAGGTGCACGCTTCAGGAAAGCTTCTGCTCAGAGCAAGGAGTTTGCATCAAGGACTGCTTGGATTAGCTAGACACGAGTGTGGCTTCCGAATCAAGATATGTGAGGCGAATTGAGGCGATGTCATAAAATCAAAAACACTGGACACTATTGAAGATCAACATAATAATGAAAAACAATCATGCCTCATCTTGATTCCGGATCTCCGCGTGTCAACCTTTTAACGTCGTCATGATCCTCTTGCCTACTACTTTGGGTGATCATGCTTGTCACCAAACATTCAAAAGGAAAAATCTGTGAGCAAGGATATTTTTTTGAAGTTTGTGGAATCTCTTGCTGCATGCTGTCTAATGAATTTGCCAAACTCTTCGCTCACTCACCCCTTCAGCAGCCACAGGAGCCGCAGGAGCCGCAGGAGCCACAGCAGCCGCAGGAGCCGCAGGAGCCACAGCAGCAGTACCACTAGTAGCTGTGGGAAACGCAGCCAATGATGCACCAGTGCCTGCACAGGGGCCACACTCAAACCCTTCAACGTCTTTAGCTAACCTTTCATTGTGCAATCGTGGCATCAAATGACTAGGAAAGCTGGCAGCATGCCACCGAAGGGTGGTTTAATACTAATGTTATTTTAGTAATAATTAATGTGGTCTTCACAAAGAAGCACCTCAAAATGCTCCATTGACACGCAAAGGTGATGCAAAGTTGGCAATGCAGGTTAAGCCTCAGCATGAAGCTCGTTGCTATGGGCTCGGAAACAATGAGCAAGTGTTGGCACATGGAATGCTGAGATGCTTTCACTGGTAGCACAGCAGTCCCAACAAAGTGAATTACTTGTCTATACCTGGCTGACATTTTGTGCAAGCGCCATCACCATTGACATGTCCAAAACCTATCTCAACAAACTGGCTCAAAGCAAAATCGGCTCTCTGCAAATGTAAGGCCTGTGAGCCGCTGAGTGCCGCTGAGCCGTGTAACCGCAAAAGCGGCTCACTCACCGGGGCTGTCTGGTTCCATTGGGGCTTCTTCAGGGTTGTCCTTGGGAGCCAAGTTTTCCAGGACATCTGGGAAAAACTTCTTCACGTCTCCTGCCAAAGCTTCATTGAAAAGAGTTGATCCCTCCAAGGTAATTAGCCCGCAGGCGGCTCTGTCCGCAATGGCCTGGAGCCAGTGCTGGTGTTCCTTGTTCAAGCACAGGCCGTGGTAGACAACGCCTCTGGTGAGGCTGGCTTCCATGAATGCGCCGGAGCCGGCTGTCACATCGAAAACTGCGGTCACCTTGTACTCGTCAAGGATTGCATTGAAAAAGCTGATGGGCTTGGACTCTTGCCAAAAGAGTGGCACTGCATTGTCCCCAAAGCGATCTGTCCAGTCCTCCGGAGGAGCCGCAGAAGCCGCAGAGCCGAGGACCTGTGCTTTTTCAGTCAATGACATCAGGGGAAGTTCATAGGAGGACCGAAATTCCACTCCACTATAGCTGCCTTGAAAAGTCGTGGCTTCTCCACAGGACGTGAAATTTTCACGCTTGGATGTCTTCACCCGCACCCGTTGTGTTGGGAAGCGAACTGCCGCTGTTTCGATTTTGCGAGCACCCAAAGGGATCCTTCGCATGCGGCCAGCGCGCGCAATGCATCCCCCTGAGTAGACCAAGTGCATTTCCTCTGACTGTGGCTGAGCGAGCACCGCCTCTTCCTTGCAAGTTTCAGGTGATGCAATTGAAAGCTGTATGTGCGAAGAATATGTTCTTGATGGCTTCGGAAATCAGCAACGTTACTGAGCCCGTATTTTACCATGGAAGCACATCCCTTGCGCAAGACTGCGCTCCTCACATCCGCATCTTCATCATGATCGGAAAAAGAACGAAGGAGGGAGGGAGGGAGGGAGGGAGAGAGAGAGAGAGCGCAATAATAGCAACCATACCACCATCAGCAAATAACCTCGTTATCAGCAGCGGCATCAGCATTAAAAGCATCAACATGATCATCGACATCAGAATCCTCAGCAACCTCACACCTTTGTTTTTACTCTGAAGAACTGCAAGATCATGAGCAAGCACAAGAACCAGAACAAACAAACAGGAGCAGCGGCACCACCACCACCACCACCACCACCGCCACCACCACCACCACCACCAGCAGCACCAGCACCAGCACCAGCACCAGCACCAGCACCAGCAAGCAAGCGTCATGTTCGAGCCACGGAAATAATCCATTACATGTGGCCTGGCCGCTTGGAGCTTCTGGAAGGGGCTTTTGTGTCTCCAAAGGAACTGCTTGTCTCAAGTCCTGAAAATTGCACATTGCTTGAATCAGATAGCAACAAAATATACAAAGTCTGACTTTTCCAGCATGCTGCATGCTGGTAAATCAGCTCTGTTTCTGCTACAGTCCACATGAAAAAAGCAACCTTTCAAGGAGCCTATCTGACCTTTCAGAACCTAGAAGGAGATGAACCATGCATTGAAAGGTTGCAGGAGTGAACCGAAAGGACAAGTTCGCGTGCACAGAAACATAAAGAAACCAGAATCCATTCTGCAGCTGAAGCTGCAATTTCACTGAGCACCTAGCTTGCTTCAACCAAGAGCAGCCGCGATTCTGGGGGCAACCGTAGGCACCTCCTTTGCTTTCCAGTTGCCTCAGGCTTCCAGCGGGTATTACTGGTTTTTGAAGAGTCCATGCGCATGTACACATGCAGCCGCATTGTCCTTCTTAAGGCAAGAAGCAGCGACTGTGAAATGCAAAGTTCCTCAGGACCATCGTGATAAGTGAAAAAATGCCAACTTGGGAACAAAACAGGGCTTCAGGTCACTGTGGGGCTGAGCGTCTTAAGAACGTGGATGCATTTGCAAGCATTCACAACACAAATGTGGCTGGTTAGCTCAGCCTGGAGGTTCAGCATCTTCAGACAGTGCTGGTTCGGCCAAGATTGCAAATGCTCAACCACTTTGTCCAAGACATCGTCAGCTGCAGAGCCACACCATCGGCCAAAGAGTTTGCTATAATTACCGTTCCTGACAAGATTGACGAGACATTGTATGAAGTGCTTTGAAAACAATGTCTCTGATGCTTCTCAATTCTTTTAGCCGTGATTCCAGTGCGAGCTGCATTCCTGGCTGGCTCGCGCCAGACGTCCCAGGGCTTCTAAAGTCTGTAGGAAATGCGTACCCATAAGTTTCGATGCATCACACTGAATCATATCCAACCTTGCCACAGGGCCAATTTGAAAATCAAATGCCCATGCATATACTGGAGACATGCTTTTTTCGCATTGCCAAAATTGGGATAGATGGTAACCACAAAGTACGCTCCTTGACAAGAAGCAAACCTGGATCCACAAGCCATGATTTCTTGCTGTCATTCACAAAAATGGCATCTAGCGTGCCATCCAAAAATTGCCCACAGAGACTCAATGCCGCTGCGAGGCGCAACTGCCCCAGATCACGGTTTGGTCGCAACTTCTTGCCATGCTTGGAAATCACTCTGGAAGGCATGTAAGCCTTTCGTTGTCCTACGCCATTGGTGTCTCGGAAGAATTGGTGGATCACACCGAGCAATGAAAACCTTTGCTGAGAGCATGTCTCAAACACATACTGAGCAAAATCAGGGGACCTAAGGTATGTAACTATGATCACAAGCCCGAGCTGCTCACGACTCTCAAGTCGTTGCACATGTGGCGTCGCCAAGATCTTCACCAAATAGTCCGTCACCTTGTCACCTCCTCAAGGAGAAGACAACTCACAATGCAAGAGGGCTACATGATGCCATGGATACGCTCATGAGCAACACACATGGACACATCACTGGAAGACTCGGGCAAGTTCGGTTTGATAGTCAAAAGCAAACACAAAGGGTAAATATCTAAGCATTCTGAAAGGAATGGCTTTTGTAGTGCCCCCAGACCAAAGCAAGAAATTGCAACTGCTTGCGCTCATGAGAAGCATGCCTGGGCACATGCCCTGCATGCCTACACCTCTGCATCTAAGCCTTGCAATCAAGGCTCTGTGCTTCATCAATGAATGCAAGAAGCTGCCTCTACAGCTGTCTAGAAAGGTAAAAGGGGCCCCTTCCAGTCTCAAAAAAGGGTTGTCGGTGTGCAAGATCCGCAGCATCACGTTGTCAGGATCCTCCCAAGGTGCTTCACTCAGGATCCCTTCAGGAATAGCTAGCCAAGAAAGTTAACTGCAGCACGATAACCTCTTGAACTACCCTTGGTTGACTGCGAGCAACCCTTCTATGCCCAACTTGCTTCTACATGGCAAGGGAAAGGTCCCACAGGGACATTGAAAGGTGGTGCCATGACAAAATCTTATGCTTTGTCAATCAGTATCAGTAAAATATCATAGACCTATGCAAATAATAGAAATGATAGAACATGATGACATCTGGAATTGTCCTTCCCTAGGGGTGGAATTCGACAACCGGCTCGATAAGTCATGTAGGCAGCCAGGGCTGCCTTGGATCCGAGGCCAAGCACAAAACTACTATAACTTTCTGGCAGTCAGGGCTCGATGCAATGCAGGCCAGTGGCAACAGGAACTACAGCCAGGTCAAAATCCCTGAAAAGAAATTGCACCAATGACAGCAAGTTGGCATCCTTTCCCTTAACGCAGCTCCGAGCAGCCTCAGCGCAAAAAGATTGCAGGATCCAGCGAAACAGCTTCTCAAACAGATTGCGTTTCAACCTCCCTATCCAAAGCCAAGAAACCATCCAAGAAGCTCGCTGGACACGGCCCCACTTGTCGCTAGCTTCCCCAGAGTTTGCAACCTTTAGCCAAAGCTTGACGGCAGCAGCAGGGTCAACAGGCGTTGGCGCCATGGCCTGGCGCAGGAAGCAACCCTTCAATGTCAGCTGTGCAGCCTTGGAGGCTCGTATTGGCCCATTTTACCTTTCAATGTATAGTCCCCTGAGCTTTCGATGACAAAAGCTTGAAAAATGAGTTTTTACACCTTTCAATTCCATGGCTTGACCTTTGGTGGCAACCACAAACATCAGCCCAATGGGTTCTCGCGAGCCAGGGGCGTATTGCACAGGGGCAACATATGCAATAGGAGCGTATTACATGGTGGAAATCCCTCTTGATTACGGGCCTGGTTCTTAAGAACCGGGAGCGTGTTGAGAAGCATGCTAACTTTAGGAATTCAGAAACTGAGGTGATGCGTAATGTGAAGGGCAATCCCCTTTATAATACGCAGCTGGTTCTTAAGAACCAAGGGCGTATTGCAAGGGGGAGCTTTTTTGCTAAGATTCAGAACCCCCAAGTTGAGGCCGGAGCATGACAGTGCTCTTCACTGTCATCCAACCTTCGTCAAGAACATACCTGACACACCCCTTGAGCGGCGAAGCATGCGAATTGATCGCACAAAAGACCAGAAGTCCTTCCATGTCACCACCTTCTTTACAGGCACCTTCTTGCTGGTATGCTTGCAGCCAGTCGCTGGTTTGCCTAAAGTGTGAAGCCGCCAGCGGGAACCACGAGCTTCAGCACATATCTTGAATGCTGAAGCTACCAGCCCACACCTGGCACACATCTGAATCTGCAATATATGGATGGGATCTTTTGCTTCAAACCTTTGAAACTTTAAACGTTGTACTCTACGTGACAAGTTCTCAACAAAGTCTTTTGACATTGTGAATTCTGTCCTGGCAACATCGCCAGAAACCTCTAACGAAAGAGCTCGGGTTCTCGCTGCAGCACTGAACCAAAGGAAGGATTCTGGATTCCAGTTTTTCCTGTCCGGCGTCTCCACAGCAGATTTCTCCGCAACCACCTTCCCCAGGCCATAGCAAACCAGCAAAGCTGCAGCCTCAGATGGTCCAATGTCAGATGCTGCAGGGGGGAAACCCCATCGCTTTCCGAGGTTTGGTGGCGGCATGAAAACAGCAGGAGTTCACAATGATTTGCTTTAACTTGAAATTTATTCATTTCCTACACTGCCTACTCCCCAATGTAGAATGTCAATGATAGTTTCAAGCCTACAAACCTACAAACATCTTTGCCAAATCGCCTCTGAGCCTCTGAGCAGCAATCCAACGCAAAGTCTCTGAAAAAATGTCAACAACATGAAATAAGATTAATTATTGTTATATGCTTCTTCCCAACAGAAGCCTCCTGGCTGTGCATGCCTGCAACGGAGGAGGCGCAGCTGCAGAGCTGCAGTAGGGCCACACCTGACCAGCAACGAAACATGCAAAACAAGGCACATTGCATTGACAGAAGAAGCGGCTAAACCAAACCAACTGCAGCTGCTGTGCAACGTAGTAGTAGAATATAAAATTCCCTGTGCTCTTGGCGCTAAGAATGATGTAGTTATCATAATTTGAATGTTTACTTTTGGGCTTGGAAGCAAGGAAATGCGTCTTGATCCCTTTTGGCGGTGTTGAATGGGAAACATTGGGAGGCAGACAACCCATCTCTTTTCCACGCGCTTGCCATGGAAGAAGTCTGTTCAAAATGCTGCCTCATGCAGCTCGTCTGCCAGAAGATCATTGATGTGTCTGCCAGGCATCAGATGGATCCGCAAAGCCGCTGTACCCGCCATCGTTGCCGTCCCCATCATTGCCCACATCGTCATTGGTCCCCCATCCGGCCCATGGATCTGCCTCAGGAGCCGCAGAAGCCTGAGGAGCCGCTTGAGGAGCCGCTTGAGAGGCTGCTTGAGGAGGCGCTTGAGTTGCCATCCCTGGGCCAGGACGCACTGGCCCTTGAAAGGTCGTGGTTAACGGTGCTCCCCAGCCAGTGCCCTGCCCGCTTGGCTTGCCCCAGCCGCCAGAGCCGCCCTTGCTGCCAGAGCCGCCCCAGCCGCTCCAGCCGCTGTTGCCGCTCCAGCCGCTGTTGCCGCTCCAGCCGCTGTTGTTGCCCCAGCCTTTTTTGCCGCTGCCCTTCTGTGCTGCAGCGCGGCTCTGCTCGGCATCTCCGGTCTGCCGCATCGTGTCCACGCAATACTGCTGGGCTCCTCCTCGCAGCAATCCCAAGTGGAGGCCTCCCGGAGCCCTCTGGCATCGAGCAACGCAGATGCTGTAGGGCGCGCCAACAGCATCCAAGCGGCGGATAAGCTGCAAGGCCACCATGTGGCAGGTGCCGCTCTTCTTCACTGCGATAGCCCGTTCCTGAAACGCAACACCATCAAAACCAGACCAATCTGTTGTCAAAAAATGAAATCGATCTTTCATTGAAGCTTGTTTTAGTCCACTGTGCAACCATGAAAAGAATTTGAACATCCCAAAAAAAATGCCTTCCAGATACGCACAGAATAGAAAAGCGTGGGCGCATTCTGCAAGCCCTGGCCCAAAACAAACCAAGAATCCACCTGGTAGCCATCCCACACCAATCCAAAATCATCTGCTCCACCCCCGGCGAACATCACGTCCACTTCCCTTTTCTGTCGGACCATGAAGTCATCGTTGACGAAGTCCCCCTTCACAATCTCAGCCTGAAAAATGGAAAAAATGAGGCGAGCCCTGAGATCTTCATATTCAATTTTGAACCTTGATTGAAATTGTTTTTTGCGCCATTATTGTCATTATTTTAACTATTATTATTAATAATTATTAGTGTTGTTGCCTATAAAATTATGAATGATGATGGCTATTGTCCTTCTGGTCGCGCCCAAACATTGAATCATGTCACCCCAGCCTTCAATGTGAACAGCGGGGTCACGAATTTCTTGTTGGCCGTCTGGATGGGTGCAAAACGCAACACGTAAAAGAAGCCGCTGGATGTGACCCAAATTGACGAGTTGGTCATTGCGACCCCGCCGTCCACAAGCTGCGAAAAGCCAGGCTCCAAAGTGGAAAGGATGCAGAGCATTTCGTTGCGGACGGTCTTGTCGTTGTCAGCTGAGAAGAGCAATCCAGCCCTGTGCATCTCCTGACGATGCGGCTCGAAGGCGGCATGGAAAAAGCTGTTCTTCAGGGCATCTTGTTGCGAGCCTCCAAGGCGACCGTCTCATCCTCATCCCCTTGAAGAGCAAGCAAGCTGCGAGGCTCAGACCGTCCGACTCCCAAGCCAGACTTGTTCAGGAAAGCCTTGACAAAATGCAAGCAATCCCTGGCGTAGATTGTGATGTGCATGAGTTTGCCATCGTCTCTGTTGAACGGGAGGGCCCACCCAGCCCAGCCGTCTGCCTGCAAGATGGCAAAACAAAACATCCAGTGAAAACGAAAAAAGTAGCGATGATTGATGCTGGGTGTTTTTCTTTATTATTAAGTTTAGAGGCAACTTCCTACTATTTGTTCTGGATAGCTTTGGCTGTGCCAATGAGTTCCAGCCCTTACGCACGATTCACGGTGCTCGAAACTTGAAAACTTAAAATCAACATGTTTGGCAGCTGTTCAGAACCCTGTCCTCGACTTCTTGAAGATCATAGCCTCTGGCCTGTCCATTCATCACAAAGGGCAGCAGCAGAATCTTCCCCGTGTACACGGTGCCCTGCTCTGCGGGAGTAACTTCGCAAAACTGGTCCAGAATCTCCCGGGCACAAGATGCAATCTCAGCGGCCGCGGGTCATTGAAAGGTTGGACAACACACACACACACGCGGATTACATTGCCCAGATCTTTTAAGCTTTGTTTCATTTTTGTTCCAACAAACTTGGAATGCTTAGCCAAAATTCAAACCCATGATGCCCATCCAGCCAAGCAGCGACTTGCCAGCGGGGGGGAACGCTCTGACGCATTGGCATGACCTGCAGCAAATTCTTGGCTTCGTCCACCACCGATGGATCAGGCAACTTCATACCTCAGACGAGCACAGCTCGCGCGTTGGCTTAAGAAGCACTGGCCAATTGACCCCAGTCATGGTCTCTGAAATAGCAAAACAAATATATTTATTATATTACACTAATATCTTATTGTATGTGTGCATGATCATATGCGAGTAGTATAACCATAATCAACCTAACGAAAAACAGATTCACCTTGAATCCTTTTTCTGCCCCCCTTTTTGCGTACTAGGGACTTGCAGCCACTTCATCCATAGCCGCCTTGGTCTTGGTGCCGCCGGGAAAGAAGGAGCTCAGCAGGACATTGAAGCCAGCAAAGGCCCAGGTAAAGTCCACTTCAGTGTTGTAGGTGTTCTGCATCCAGTCTGGAGCCATGGCAATGTCACAGGCGTGCCGCAGGATCTGGTCATTGCTCAGGAGGCAAATGTTGGGGCGGAATTGCCTCATGTTGCGCACCAAAGCCTCTGCAATCTCAGCACGTTGATCTCTCACCTGCTGCGTCATCACCGTGAGATCCACAGACGCTGCAGCCGCTGAAGCCGAAGAAACCGCTTCAGACTGTGCCACTTCGGAATCCACAGGAACACCAGTCACAACCACATCTCCTGGTGCCGGCCCGTCTTCATTCGCAACGTCAGCACGGTTGGCAGATTGCCTTCCTCCGCTGAAAAGACCGCGAAATGCTGCAGCCATTGAAGCGATTCAGCCAACAAAAAGCCGCAAAGCCGATGGAGACGCTGAGCCGGTGGGCTGCACTGCTGGAGGTATGTGAAAATCTCCCCAGAGGATCTTGGCAGATGAAAGATGATGCTGTCTTCCAAATTTCTTATCCCCAAAACACCAGCATGGAAACTATCAGCCACACCGGCTCACATGGGGCGAGCCTGTGCTGCAAGAGGCGCTGCCGCAAGTGCCAGAAGCAACCACCTGCCGAAACACAAGGATGCCAAGATGGGCCGGGAACCAACAGGGTAGATGAATGGGGGGATGGCTCACCATTTTAAAAAGTATATGTCCATGCCGCGAACTTCTGATTGCATTGTGATACAGGTCCGGTTAGTTCTGTCAACAGCAGCTGTAATAAGTTTTTCACCACACCAGCCAGGAATAATCAGTCCATATATTGCATATGTACCTCCCTCTAAAGATATTATATATAATATATACACAAGTTGTAAAAGACATTAATTTGTGCATTTATTGGTTATTGTAGTCATATATGATATTTTAAATAAAATAATATAATAATATATAATAGTTTTTTTACAAGACACAGAATATGAATGAAAATTAGCACAATCACCATCATCATCATCATCAGCATCGAATCATCATCATGCACTTCCTTACTATTACTTCATTATACCAAGCTCAGGGAAGCAGTCATTAACACAGAAAATTAGAACTGAGAGAATCCATCAACGGCCCTAAGCACCTCTGGAGAGCGTGCTGGCTACCTGCACAAGTGGGCTGTCGGTGGCAAAAAGGTTCGGGGACTCTAATGGATGGATCTGGCTTTGAGTGGCTCTCATGAAACCATACCTAGTAGTAGATTATCTAGATGGAGGCAACTAGGGACAAAGCTGCTCACCCCCAACAGCACCTGAATGAGAGCAGCAGGCCAGAGCAACGCCGCGGAAGGAGGCGCAAGAGCCGCAAAAGCCGCAGCGCCCTTCAGAGCCGCAAAATCAGCAGCCGCAACAGCTACAGCAGCCGCAGCAGATGCCAAAACACCTGACAGGGGACGTGGCCCGCAAGTCAACTAATGATAGTAGACTAGAAACCCTTCGACGAATGGAATCCACCCTTCCCTATCCAAAACTAAGAATTATGGCAGGGAAGGGGTGACATCTGCAACCAAAAGGTTTGTTTACCCCCCCCTTTGCACACGACGGAGGCGCGCCTCAATTTGGGAAGCTGCTCACAGGAATGCAGGGCTTAGAATGTAATTCGTGACACATTACTGCACTGCTGTGCTGTGTGTTTCTTCCTGTGTCTTGAGCTTGAAGGACGCCGGCCAAGCGAATGAGGAAGCAAGCTTTTTAATTCTCCAGCCACCCAAAACGCAAAAAAATAAAAAATGTCCAAACGGCTAACCTAGCATAGAGGAATAACTGGAGGTTTCCAGAAATAGGGGTACCCTCCAAATCATCCCCTCCAAATCATCCAAATTTTGACCATTTTAGTATATTTTAGTATTGCAACCCATGGTGACTTGGGGATCCCCCATTTTCCCACTTTGAAGAAAAAACATCAATGTGGGATTTTAGCATAGTTAGGCATGGGTGATGGACCACTTACTGATTGGGATATGCAGCAATTAATTAGTGTGTTTTACCGTTATACCATTCTACAGTTATGGCCATTTACCAGTTATAAGTACTTATAACCCCATTTATAGAATGTATAATCCCATTTATAACCACTTATAACTGGTAAATGGCCATAACTGTATCCATTCTGTTCCTTGAACTTGGCTAAATACATCGATGGATCCGGTTATCTCTGCCGCTTTCCTGCAGTGGCGGGTCTTTCTTTATCAATGACCAGGTCGTGCACTGGTTCTACGTTCCCATGTTCTACCAACCAAGAGCATATTTTCCTGTATTGATCGCATATGTTTTTAAACCTGGCCTGTTATTCATTATTAACGATGTTTCCAGATGTAGACATGCCATATCTGAGTCAAATGGGGTTGATCAAATCCCCAAATACTTTTTTTTGCTGCAAATATCGCCATCTTTTGCATGTCGATTCACCATATTTTCTTGGTTACATTCCGAACGGATCTGCTTAAATCCCCATACTCGTGGGCCACTTGTCATGGTATAATGAACACCCTCATTGAACCACCAAAAACAATACACCTTTCAATATCTCCCAACGTTTATTTCGGACCTTTCTGGCTGAAATTGTCCATAGTTCGCTTTTTTATCAACGCTTCAAAACCTCAGTTTTCTGCCCTAAAACCTGCCTTATGATCTCTGGTTGCTGGTTTTAACCATCTTGAAAAATATAAGTTCGTCAATGGGACGGATGGCATCCCAATATATTATGGAAAGTCATAAAAACCATGTTCCAAACCACCAACCAGATCCCACCAACCAGATCCCTATATTTCATGAAACAAGGTTTCAAAAACGACGGTTTTCTCCATGACGCCACGGTGCCATGGCTCAACCGCCACTGGGCCTCCGTGGTGCGGCGCGAAGTGGCACAAGAGGCGGCTTCGGAGGCTTCGGAGGCTTCGGGGGCTTCGGGCCTGGCGGTGCACTGAGAAATCATGGGTTTAGACATGACATTACCCTCTGGTTATGTCAAAATAGCTATTGAAAATGGCCATTTATAGTGGATTTTCCCATTAAAAATGACGATTTTCCATAGTTATGTTAAATTACCAGAGGGTACCCTCCATGGGGATGGATGATCCAGGTGAGTCAAGCCCGAGCCAGCTGTGCAGGACCTACCGAGAAGTATTGATCATGAGATACCCCGGCCTGGTAAACGTTTACATAACGAACTGGAAAGATCCACCATGCTATTCATGGGAAAATCCACGAACTTTCGACTGGGCCATGGCTTCAATAGCTATGTAACAGTTATTACCAGAGGGTATGGTGAATAATGGTGATTTATGTTTATGAATCCTCCATGGATGATGGATTATCTTTAGTATTTTTTTTAAATCGAGAATTATACTTCTCAACTATGATTACAAACAATGATCGGGAAAATCATCTGTAAATATCTAACAATGATCGGATTAAGAATTATAATCATAGTTCATAGAATCATAGAATATGGATGGAACAATTGTTTTAAATTACTATAGTAATCCATATATAATCCACAGTGATCTAATAATAATTATCTGATAATGGTTACAATAGATTGGATTATCTATTGGATGTCTTGATCATTAGCGGACCTGCTTCAAATCATTCATGGATGATCCAATCTGTAATTCATATCAATGATTAAATAGTCAACATCATGATATCTAATGTCACTATCAAGCTAGATAATATGGAAAAAATGAATATGTATATATATATATATATAATATTAAATGCAATGATAATAAAAAAAATCAAAACAATAATAATGATAATAATAACAATAATGATAATAATAATGAAAATAATAATGATAATAATAATAATAATGATAATAATAATAATAATGATAATAATAATAATGAAAATAGTAATAATGATAATACATATATATATATATATGCATACTGATGTTTTTTAAACTAATAATCGTTCATGATCGTTGAACACGATGGAAAATAATGGGCAATAAAGGATAATAATTATGAATAGTGCTATTGTTAGATGACGGTGTGTCCCAAGTCCCATCTTTGTGGTTTCATCATCTCTAATAAACCATGGTTTCTGGGGTATGTTTAATGGGTGGTTGGTAACCATGACCAATCATGGTAAGTTCACCTATGAGATAATTATATGAATGATGAACCACCTACTCAGTGAATGCAAATCCAAGTATCGCAAACATGTATCCATCATAAATTGTGAGCCTCAGAGTAAAATCTATCCAGCAATCATCAGCTGATGGTTTCAACACCCTGAAACAGGTTAGTAATTGGGAATCATCCCAAAGATGGTTGCACATACACACATTTCACAAATGGTTTTGAGTCAAAACCCTGGCACCCGAGGTACACCAGGTACCCTAAAATAGCTGGCTAATGGTTGTTTATTCCCCTAAATGGTTGGTGGTTTCAACCCCTCTGAAAAATATGAAAGCCAGTTGGGATGATTATTCCCATATATTGTGGAAAATAGAGCATGTTTGAAACCACCAACCAGGTAATAATAGGCTTTGAACCATCCCCATATATTTCAAACCAGCAACTTGTTTAGGCTAATCTAAGATGCGGAAACTGGCCCATGGCCTCACCAAGGATCGCCGCCGCAAGCTTTGCAACTTGCGGAGGTCTTGCAGGGGCCGCGCCACCACATCGAACATCTGCCGGGAGATGTTGGGACCAATGGTTTACTTGGGGAATACATGGGGTTTCTTGGGGTAAGGATTGTACATGTTCGCCGCACAAACGGGCCAATGTAGAGGACCATTGGTTTCTGATTGGATTATAATATCCGATAAAATCATAGATAGCTTGAGAAACTAGATTTTCATAGATTTACTTGGTTTGCGATGGCTTATTGTGGTTTAAAGTTGGTTCCTAGATAACTCGTTACCGTTACGCTAGAGGGAATCTGCCTGGCACAACCAAAATGGTGGGTGGATGGGTGGGAACACATTACGTTCACATTTCTTCATCATACATCACGCATATATTACATATTGTGGCTGGTTGGTGGTTTTAACCATCTTGAAAAATATTAGTCAATGGGAAGGATTATCCCAAATATTGTGGAACATAAAAATGTTTGAAACCACCAACCAGCATATTATGGGGTGGTTCCAAAATACGGTCCCCTTCTGAGAAGCACAATTTTTGGATAATTACGCCAATTTTTCAGACATACCCTTTTGTAATTAAACTAATATAGCTTTGGAAACCCACATTTTTTATATTAATCCATAAGCCTATGATGTTGAACAGCACTTTATTTTTATGGCCACTATGGAAAAATCACCGGAAAGTCAATTTCCCCCTAGATGGGGACGTCCTGGCCACAGTCTTTCAACACGGTTTCATGATACGAGCGAAGACTTTCAAGTGATGTTTCGCCCATCAAGCAGGCACTATTCAAACTTGGCCATGAACCTAAAGTACCCCCTAATGGTTCGATAGTTTTCCCCACAAAAATAAATGTCCTATGTTTGATGACCAGAGGGCATCCCATGAAAAATATCCCATGATTCTCGGAAATAAACCATGATTGCAATGTTTAACCCATTATAGTCGCATTCCTCCCACATTGTTTGTCCTCTTACTACGCCAGTTTATATTCCAATACAGGGTAACCATGATCATTCTTATATAACCCATCATGGCCCCGTTATAATTGGTCATTGGTCCCATTCGTCCCAGATTTTGGTTGTCCTCTTACTATCCCCCCAAAATTGATCAAAATTGAGGCTTTAGAAGTTTAGAACTTTGTTTTTCCACTTAAAATGACCGTGTGGGGTACACCGGGTACACCCAAAAAGATCAACATAGATCAACTCAGCGGTGACCACTCCATCGTCACCTGATATCGCGCAGAGCTCCTCCTCCGATGTGCTCCCTGCGCGCCCGTGCCGCGCCGCGCTGCGGCAGTGCGCATGGCATGCAGGGAAAGCGGTTGGCCGTGGCGCGGCTGCGCAGCATGGAGGCTTTCCTGTGGTCTTTCAAAAGGTGGAGAATTGCAGTACAATGTGGGCCCCCCGTTACAAGTTGGTTTAAACCCCAATGACCATAGTATTACATAATGTTATAAAAGCGTTATAAACCATTGCTATTGGAGATCCAAGGCAACCATCTAAAATGGTGATGCTTGATGGTGATATAAAGCAGTACGAAATGGAATATCCAATATCTACATATTGAATTGGTACAATATGACATAAATTTAACCAATTCAAAATGGAGGGTTGGCCGTTCAAACTACAAGCATGTTATGAAGATATTTGAAGTTCATGCGATTTAAAGCAGTATAGATTAGATGTTTTGTAGTTTCATGCGATTCTGGATCTGGAAGGAGTGTTGAGCCGGTAAAAAATAAGAACGCAATGTTTTGAACGCTTCCCAACGCAACTCTAATGGCTCACCCCCTGTGCTGAGAGAACCCCATGGGTGGTAATTATAAACAATCCCAACGGGAGATTCTTCTTTGGGCTTACATCGTTCAACGAAAGGTTGGGTCCATCATTTGGACAGCAGGAATTGGCTTAGAGAGTTTCTCGGACGCAGAAACTGGTCAAATCCAGCTGTTGCAGATGGTGTGTGTGTCGGTTTTCTGCGTTACCCAAAATGGTATCAAAGTAGGAATCAAATGGAAATCGTACTACAGGCTGGGGTTTTGCCAGCTGCAAGTTGGTCTAATTACAGCCATAGAATGGTCATTTGAAGGCAAAAAACAATCCATAGTATCAGGAACCACCAAACCACTCCTGCCGCATCGTTGTGTGGGTTTTGACCCATACAACACAGTTCTATTTTTTAAAATAAAGTACAAAAGACGTGTAGTGGATGCCAACAAGTGTCAACGGCTTTAGAACCACTTCCTTCCAATCGGGGTCACAGAAACCGCTACTTCCAATGCGAACCCCAGGCCCCATGTGCTCTTCCTTCGTATCTTTTTGCAGTCTGGTGTTCACCCTTCAGGGGTCTGGAGAAGGGGCCCGATGTTTGCTATAAATCCCTGTGGAGAAGCAAGATCATATAAACATTAGCCTCTGGTGGAATGCAGTGGAAAACATTCACTGGTTTCAAGATAACATACAATCATATCACTGTTAAACTGTTAATCTGTTAATCCAACATGGTGTGCCCTAAAATCCGGCGTTTATAAATGATTGATAAAGCTCCATGTCGATGTTCCAGCCGGAATTTTTCGCGACAGGCGTTGGGAGAAGGCCAAAAAGTCCCATCTGAAAACCAACATCTTTGGATCATGATCGATCGTCAATTGGTTTTTCGTGTCAAACAACATCCTGATACATGCTATTACGCTATCTCACTGGATATTGATGACTTGGACAAAGTGACCCTCCTACTTCTTTACAGCGCTACAATTTACAATTCTCCTACTTAGCTGCTAAAGCAAGAGCGATGCTGACGAGTCTGACAAAGAACGAATTCCGCGTCTGCCAAACTCAAGATGCCATCGGAGTCAGAGACAAGTGACTGGAGAGCCTGACCATATTCTTAACCCTCCTGTGGTTTAATAGGAGAACCCCTGAACCCAACATATTCCCGTTGAATGTCCATTCTATATCATTTTAATCATATCCCCCCCAAAAAAATTAGCCATATCATGGTTGGTTTCATTCCCATTTTGACTGCTCAAAAGCGAACCGCTATTTGAAATTTAATCCTTTCTATGCCCCAAAATGGCCCAACAACAAATATCCCAGTGTATGCCAATAGTGAAACCCCTATGGTTGGTTCTAATCCCTACTTAGATGTTGCATCCATCAGAAACTGGTGGTTAGTAACTGGTATCTAACAAGGGATTTTTCTACAACTATAGTTTGGTAACAGCTTAGGCTAAAGGAATCTATAGGATTTGATTCCGAACTCATCAATTTATTATTTGGTACTTCTAAGTCACTGTTAAAACTGTCACGGTTTACAGCGGACTATACAGCAAAGTCGGTAACCTGGATCATCAATAGCAGGGCTTGGTAAATGTCCAAAATGTCCAAGAAGGGACATGTACCAACCCCTGAATAATAACGATCACTTACCATCAGTCACCCCGTTATCTATTTTGTTTTCACTATGATCACTAGTCATCCTATATACATAATACCACACTATAAATGTTAGTTAACTAACTAACTAACTTACTTACTTACCAAACTAACTAACTAATTAACTAAATAAATAAACAAGCTAAGTAACAAACTAACAAACTAACTTACTTAAGCAACTAACTTAAGTAACTAACTTAATTAAACTAACTTAACTGACTGACTGGCTAACTAACTAACTAACTAACTAAATAACTAACTAACTAGCTAGCTAACTGACAAACTAACAAATCTAACCTAACCTAACCTAACCTAACCTAACTAACTGAGCTAATCTAACCGACCTAACCAATCTAACTAATCTAACTATTTTAGCTAACCAAACTAACTAACTTAACTAGCTAACTTGACTAACTAACTTAACTAGCTAACTTAACTAACGAACGAACGAACTAACTAACTAACTAGCTAGCTAACTTTCTTGGGGGTTCACTATAGCTTGCACCACCGCACCTTAGAGCTGTCGCTCTGCAACGATGGAGCCGAGGCCGAAGCTGACATGCCAGTGGCATCACCTGGCGTGAAGGCGGTGATTTGCCCAGAAAAACACGGATGAAACGGGATTTTGTGTTTTTTCCCCACCTGCGAGGTGAGGGTCTCTAGGTTTTATCAGGGTTGCTTCCTCCTTCTCCTCTTTCTTCTTTTTCTCCTCTGGCAGCCTCGGAGCTCAACTGGGAGCTCCAAATCTGAGTGGCACTGCCGCCTCAACCGTGAGCTCCAGATCTCAGTGGGCACTGCCGAACCTTGACGGCGAGCGTAAGATGTCAGATAGAATGCCACAAAGACTGCCACATAGAACGTCAGAATATAGGTCAGATAGCATTCCAGATCTAATGTGGGAGCGAATGTCAGATCAGATAAAATATAAGTTGGTGGGGGCCACTCGAAGAAAGTAACTTTATTGATGGATTTTTGTAATGGCATTCTAATAAGATGTTACTAGGATGTTACTGGCATCCGAATGGGATTCAAACGGGATTTTAATAAGATTTATGTTAAGCAAAACTGTTGGTTGATGTTGGCCTTAAGAGGTAGCGGTACAACTCTACGGATCTAAAGATTGAGGATTGATAGAAAACAATATGTATACAGTATACACAATAAGCTGATATAAGCTGATATAAGCTGATATATGCTGATTGCAAAAAATCAACGACATGAACGATACGGCTCGAAAACAAAGGTTACGCATTAGATTGCATTAGGCTGTCACATATGTATTTTACCGAATGGTATGGGTACTTTTACCAGAATACTTGGGCCTGGGTCTTGGTATGGGGATTCCAGCAGCAAGAGGATTGCAAGTGGACTGCTGCTCCGGGCTGCGGCTCAAGAGTCTGCAGGTATATGAGGGGCTGTTGGGATTCCAAGCCATAGTGGAGGATGTAGCGCATGAACAGAAAGACGGTGGAACAAACATGGGCATAGTTTAAACAACTGAATGAATTTCAATCAACCAATCGAAGATGGCAATCAAATTGGCCCAATGAAAGTTCCACGCCATGCAAAAACTATCCGGTGGTTTTCAAGAAGGGATTAGTCAACGCATTTAACACTTTATATAAGTCGAAAATTACTTACCTTAAAGTGATCCCCACCTTGATGCACTATTCTGGCAGCCTGGCAGAGTTTCTGACATACCATCTGGAATCTGGAAGCATATATGACATATATTTGTATATTCTGACAATCTATCTGGTATCTTTTCAGGCATTCATTCTGGCACCTTTTCAGGCTTTCCTTCTGGCGTTCTATCTGGCATCTATTTTGACATTCTATCTGGACTATATTTTGACAGCCTTTCTTTCTGGCATTCTGTCTGGCATATGTTCTGATATTCTATCTGCCAGTCTTTAGTCTTTCTGGCATTCTATCTGGCAAATGTTCGGACATTCTGCCTGGCATTCTGCCCCACATTCTGTCTGGCATTCTCTCTGGCGCGTGTTCGGGTCCAGTCAGGCGTGGCCGACTGCATCCGGAGCTCGCGATAGGGTTCAGGTCCACACGTGGCCCACTGCATCCGAAGTTCGCGATATGGCTCGGACCCGTTGATGCTCACAGTCTCGATGAGCTGGCAGAGGAGCACACCGGGAGCAAGAGAGGGAAGTAGGAGTAGGAAGAGTAGACGGAAGAAGACAAAAAAAGAAAAGGAGGAGGAGTCGCACCTTTGTTTCAATAGACCCTGACCTGGCAGGTGGGGAAAAATCAGGAATAAGAAAACGCGACAGGGAAAGGGAAACGTATTAAAACAGCAGGGCAACTCATTGAGATGCAACCCATGTGCACCGCGCCTCGCGTAGAAATTGCTGTTTTTTGCCTGGAGGCTGGGCTTTCCAACCTTGGCCAAAAAGAAAGCATGGAGCAACATCTCGAACGGTGTGATGACTGGCGGCGTAGCTGGATTCATGATGACACTCAGCGAAAAGTAAAAAAGAAATAAATGCACGCAAACAATATGCTTGGGCTCAGTATGAAATGAAAAAAGAAGAGAACTATGCATCCTTTGTGGTTTTGCGGCCGCATTTCCCAACAATCCGGCCTTGTCATTGTACCAACCCACACCACTAGCTCCCCGCGAGGTGCCCGGCTGAAACGTCAGGGTCTGCATGGACAGCACCGGAACGCTCTTCACCATCTCTACCTGCAGTTTGCCGATGCCTCCCTGCAAAAGTTGCAGAAGGTGTGTTTGAAAATGGAACGCAACCAAATTCCCATGTTTCAAAAGGAAAATGATGATGCCCCAAACGGTTTAGAGATACCCTACATATGTTCAGACAAACCTACCTTCGAAGTTGCCAACTGTTGCGCG